TACATACATGATGCAAGTCGATGCATTTTTTTTTCTGAACAACTACATACATGATGCCAAGTTCCCTTTTTTTTTAGGTCGGGACATGTACCATTAACATGACGGTGGTGTGTTGCACGTATTATTACCCTGCTCCTACTTCCTACTACTTCCTACTACTTCCTACTACTTCCTACTACTTCCTACTACTTCCTACTACTTCCTACTACTACTGATTACCATTTCCATTACCATTACCCGCATAAACAAGAGTACACAAGCTCGTTTCCGTATGTTGGCGTTTTCCCACATTTTTCCAGATTACAGAATTAATCCTCGTTGATGGTGCGAGTAGAAACGCTTCGCTTCTTACATCTGGGGTATTTCTCTTGTGGTCCCGTGTATAGTACAATCGATGTCAGTGAATGGGTGTGTGTGTGGTGAGTGTAAACAAGAACCGCCCAATGACAGTAGTAGTAGTAGTAGACATGATCGTGTGTTGATCGAGTGAGAGAGTAGCAGCCATGATCGTGTGTTGATCGAGTGAGATAGCAGCGAGCGACTTTACTCGGCCTCTGCGATGTCGGTGTGGGCATAGGCGTCAGCGTCGTCGTTGTCGTCCTCGGCGTCCGCACCATCAACACCCTCCATCTCGTCGCCATGCTGCATCATCTCAGCAGCACGCTTCTTCTCGCGCTCGAGAAGCAGGTCGCGGCCAGCAACATAGATGCCCTCGGGCTCCTTGGGCTGCACAGGCTCGGTGCCGTTGCGCAGCGAGACAGCCAGCTCATGCACGTTCCGCAGCGTGTACGCGGCATTGTGCTCGACGCAGTACTTGACGCAGCGGGTGAAGATGCCGCCGGCAACGCCCTCGCGCGGATGCTTCTTGATCTCCAGGTCGAGCGCACGCACATCAAAGTCGACGGCGGAGCCCGCCTCCTCGGCGTCCAGGTGCATCAGGTCAGTCGCCTTGAGATCGTCGGCCCCGGAGAACACAGTGCCCAGCTGCTCAGACCACACCTCGCCGTAGCGCTCCTTGCCCTTCTTGATGGCCGTCGTGCACTTGACGCTCGCCGTGTTGCGCAGATAGCCGCCCTGCACAATGCGATGCTCATTCAGCGTATCCGCAATGTGCGCAGGACCCCAGTTGCGCGAGTACAAGCGCAGCGACACAACGGGGCGCACGAGTGACTGGAAGAAGTACACGACAATCTCCGTGTCGGTCAGAGGCAGCAGCGGCACCACGGCGTTGGCTGGCGGAAGAAACTTCTCCAGATTGTGGATCTTGCGCTTGTTCACAATGTTGGACGACCGCAACGGTCCGCCGCCACACAGAGGCCCAATCACGCCTGGCGTCAGTGGCGATGGGTTCGGGAGAAGCAGAGTCGATGGCGTGCGCATGTACGCAGAGGGAGGAGCCAGGCCGGCGCTGAAACCAGCGGACTGTGTGTGAAAGAGTTAGTCAGATGTGGTGTGGTGTGGATATGGATATGGGAACGGAGATGGGGGATGGGACTTACAGCACCAGACTTGCTCATGGGAGTAGGCAATCCAGCCATCGCAGCACCCAGTGGACCTTGGCCGGGGACTTTGATCTGCAGGTCCTTGCGTGCACGCGTCTTCTCGCTCTTGTGCTTGTTGAGGCCCGTCAGCTTGCTGCCGAACGAAGATACCTGGCCGCCGCCTCCACCGCCAGTGGTGGTCGTAGGCGTGAAGCCGCTGTTCTTGCCGGGCACGCTGTTGTAGTGCTGAGCATCCAGTGGAGCGGGCCGCGTAGGCGTCACGGGAATCGAGTAGCGGACATCGGCTGCATCGCGGAAGCGCGAGTTGCGGCTACCGAACTCTGGGGCGGTCTGCGGCGTCGACGTGAGCTGCATGTTGGTGTTGCCGCTGCCGCCGTGCTGAGACTGCTGCTGTTCGAGGGCTGCGCGGAGACAGTCACGCTCGAACTCGGCCTTGGTCATGCGAGCATTCATCGTGTTGGCCAGCTGCGTCATGTTGTGCGTGAAGCTGTTTACTTCCTTCATCATGGCCTCGTGGGGCGAGTCTGGGTTCAAGTCAGTTCGGTGTCTTGGGAGATGTCTGCATCTGGTAGCAGACGACTTACCGATGAATCCGCTGGCAGTGGAGAAAGACTGATGCTTCGTCTGCTGCATCTTTGCCATGGGAGCAGGCTTCTGCATCTGCTGCTGCTGGTTGTGGGGAATAGGGGAAAGATGCTGCATCTGCTGGTTGTTTGGCATGGGAGACAGCTGCTGCATCTGCTGTAAGTTGGATGTCTGAACAGGCTGCTGCGAGTTGGACATGGGAGCAGTCTGTTGCATCTGCTGCTGCAGCATGTCTGGCATGGAAGGGAGCTGCTGCATCTGCTGCAAGTTGGACATAGGAGCAGACTGCATGTTGGACATGGTGGCCGGCTGCTGCAGGTTGGACATGGAAGCAGTCTGCTGCATCTGCTGCTGAGGACCAAATGCATTCTCGAAGTTGGTGTGCAAGCCATTGCTGGACACCATCTGGTCGAGAGATTGCTCTGCGGGACGCGTCAGTGCCTGGATTTTCAACGACGACGAGCAATTGAATGCTCCTCTACCACCTGAGCGTGTAGCTTCTTCTGCTTGATGCAGGCGGGATGGGATTGGCAAAGAATAACTCACCAGAAGACACTCCGCTCATGGGATCATAGCCTGGAAGCTGCATCATACTGTCAAACTCATTAGCATCTTGGCCATTACCGTGGTAGTCCATGGCTCCGAAGGTCTCGAGTTTGCGGCAAGAGGTTCGGCTTGGGTGATCAATGGAGGGAGGTGCAAAATGGAGAGAACAAGCCAAATGTGCAATGGATGTGTTGGTGGGCAAAAGGGCAGAGGGGCAAGTTGTTTTGAAAGTGCGCGAGCCGACATAGCGAAATTTTTCGCGCCACGTGGGTTGCCATGGTGCTGTGCAAACGCAAACGACAGAACAACAACAACATGAACTATGGTGAGGTGAGCGTAATGATACGTACCGTGGAGCAAACATGTAATTTCCCTGATAGTGGCTGCCATATGCATGGCTGATGTGGGGCGGATATGCGAGCATGGCATGCAGTGCTATGGCCGAGTGCTTCACATCTTGGTCTTCCTCTTCTTCTTTTATGTCTTCCTCCTCTGACAGCGTACCATCTGAAGACTCTTCGTACTCCGGTGTAGGCGAGGACGTGCGCTGTGGCGTCTGCGGAGCCAGTACTGGGCTTTCGACCTTGATCTTTGGAAGTGACATGATGATGGTGACGAGTCAGTTCAATATGTATTAAACCAGAGTATAGTTTTCAGGTATATGGCAATTTTCAATTCATGATATATACAGGTCGGTGGCGTGCTCGTGGCCATGGCCTGTGCGCTCGCCAGTGCGATAGCGATGAACGGTGAGGTCATGAGGGTGAAGTGGTTGCCTTGTCTGGATCTTTCGGTGTTTCAAAATTGCGGCTTTTATGAGAGGTCAAAGTTCAAGTCTATTGTTAACGGGCTTTTGCGAGACAAAGCGTTGGCATGACTGTCCAGGCTTGTCTGGAAGATGGGCGGACCGTAGACGTCTATGGTCTGCTTATGTATGGTCGAAGGTCTGTCCACAGACATCCCAGCACAGTAAGAGTTATGAAAAAGGCTTTTGGTGACATCTATGTAGTCGTTCCGTAAACCGATAAGATGAGAAATTGGAGGACCTGGTGCGCTAGACTGCCATGAGACCGGCGGTATGTGTGACGATTGACGGTTAGAGACACGAGTAAGTATAGAGTTTTTCGTCTTGTCATAATTCATGTCATGAATCGATATCAAGATCCAAGTAGTTTCGCGTAAGCCCACATGCAGCGTGGGGCAACGGACAGAGTTTTGGTATGGAGACATGCTTTGGCGGATCTACCATGCCCAACACGCTGACAGACAATGCCTTGTTGAACAGAAGTAGTTCTACTGTATAACAGACAGTGTATTTACTCAGATCCTCCATAGGAAATGTGACAGGTTGAAACAGAGCTGCTCAGTCCTGACAGGCACGTCAAGCTTTTCCACATTTTCTCAATCAGGCGAAAATTTGCATAATTGAAGAGCATATCAATCCATGATAAGTCATAATATAGCAGTCAGACTCCGAAAAAGATCATGGGGTGGCCATTGCCCGCAGAAAGTAGGTGAGTGCAGACGTGTGACGTCTGCAAGCTAGTGACGCGACGTTCCGCGCTAATCCCCTTTCAGCGCCCCTTCCTCCACGTTAACTCTCTACTTGAGCTGTAAGCCATGGTACACAATATCTTCTCATAAGTGTAGAAACATATTGAGATCAGTCTATATACTTATCTGGTGATTTTGAAGGGTATGTCTCGGCAAGGGATCGCAAGGAGTTTACTTCCGTGCACATACCAAACACTCATGGGTCTTGGATGAAGAATCAGACAATGAAAGCTCACGCTCATCGATATGTAAAGAGAATACTGTTAGCAGCTCCAGTATATGTGCACACCGATACCTTCGCATTTTCTTGGTTTTTGTGAGTAAAAATTCTGATTTTGACTAGTTCTCTCCAAAACACCAAGTCCATAGAGTAGCAAAACCATCTATCCCATTGCGTTGTCAGATTCGCTGCGTAAGCACATACAGATAAGTGATGGAAACGAATAGCATTAGCAAGAATAAAAACACATACTTCTCCTCATTATCATCCGAGACTCGACTGTCTGTCTCATACGATTCACAGTGAATATTCGCCAGGTGAAAATGAAACCAAACACGGTTAGCTCACCTGCGGGAAACGGAAGGTACACCTAAACTTATTTCATTCGCAGACCCAAGTCAACTCTGTTGCGACTTCCACTTTTCACTCAACTACTTTACTATTGCAAAGCCAGTCGAGTTTGACAGACTTCTGTCGTTGCCGACCATCAACATGAAGGCTTTGATCATAGCATGTCTTGCTGCTGTGGCTCTTGCAGCGGGATTCCATTCCGTCGAAAACAAATCTACGGCAGTAGTTCACTCCAATGACATTTCCCCCGTCTATCATGCTTCCAAAGCTCTCATCATCCGTGCTGATGAAGACCCCGACGTCATCTATCACAAAGCAACTTGCAAAGGCCAGAAGCTCCTCTCTGCTACGACCTCTCCCCGAAACGTAGCTGCCAATTATATCCAGCCCATAGACAGCCCCTGGATCGGCCCTCTCGTACAGTCACTCGCGACCTGGGGTTATTCAATCGAAACCGACGACGGTACTCCTCAGTGGCGCGCAAACCACTTTGATGAATGCGAGCTAGCGACGAGTCATAGACTCAGGCCCATGTGTGACGCGCTTGGAATCGATACGCGAAGCAGTTACCAAGGTGGAGCAAACCAGTGCTACTACATCTACCACAAGAATGGCCCAGCGGTATTGCGCGATGCGTGGGGCAGGCTGCCTCCAGTGAACCAACAGTACTACAACGCCAACGGATATCAGTATCGCGTGAGTGGAAGCCGATACTAACATTAGTCTACATACTCACAACTACATCCACAGGTCACCAACGCAGAGTTCACGATTGGAGTCAACGTCCCCTCAGCCATCTTGATCATGACAAATCGTCAGAGCCCCGCTACCAGCGCCAAACAACTCTGGGGTCTTAGTACCCTCCCACACAACAACTTGCTCCCAGCATTGAGGTCGAGTTCGGATATCATGTGGGGCCTCTGGAGCATGGCGAGTGGTGGGTGGGTTCAGCGCATCAATCGATTTTTGATCACGCCAATCGTCAACGACGACACGGTATCCATCATCGAGACAATCTTGGAAAAGTATAACTTGGACATTAACGGTTTGCCGGGCTGGCCTGGACTTGAATACACTACAAACCATGAGGAATACAAGCCACTTCTTGGTGCGTCTCTTCATCCTTTTGGTCGATGCCCGCAAGATGGAACATACTGACGTGTGATATTTCCGCAGGATCACCAAATGTACAAGCGGTCGGATACTTTCTGGCCCAGCACAAGCGAGAGCTAGGCGGCAAGTACATTTCCAAGATCAATGTATTCAAAGCAGATACCAATGCTGCTGTGGCTGTTTGTATGCTGCTCACCGTCGGAAATATGCCATCAGCGGCTCAAGCCGAAACCAACAGCGAATCCGATGGGGTTGAGCGTCTTGCTGAGCCAGTAGTGGTGAAGCGGAGCGAGGATGGGATGAGTGTCATTAGAGAACATGTCGTCTGGTCGAGGCTGTAGATGCGCATAGTGAATGATGCGACATGTTCATTTCGGTAGCGTCAAACACCCAGTACAGCAGCGCGACACTGCATATAGAGTTGTCTCTAGTCTGCATTGGGGGCCGTTAAAGTCGCCTTTACGAATAACTATGGACCAAATACCTTCTATACAGAATTTCTGTACCATTCTATCGAGAAAGATGATACTAAATTAGTAGTGCATGATAAATTTAAAGTAGAAGAATGAGTAATCGCATAGAGGTACCTTGATAGGCCGGGACAATGTGCCGAGGTTGAACTTGTATGCATTTATCGATAAGAGAGCTTCAGCATCTCTGACACGGACGACACTCTTCCTCCTACACTAAACAACAACCCCACAATGTCTGTAAATGTTCTGATAGTCGGCGCGGGCGCCATTGGCGCCTTTTACGCATCGCGTCTCGCGCTTGTGTCGGGCACGTCGGTCTCGGTCATTTGCCGTTCAAACTACAAAGCCGTCAAGGCCAACGGCTTCCAAGTCACGTCTCCACAGTACGGCGATTACACCTTCACACCAGCAAACACATTTGCGAATCCTGAAGAGGCAAAAAAGAGCGCAATCGAATGGGACTATGTCGTTGTGAGCACAAAGGCGTTACCGGACGTCAGCGACGACTCAGCGATCCTCGAGGGCCTTGTCAGCGATAAGACCGCCATTGTGCTGATACAAAACGGCATGGGCGTCGAGGACCCCTATTCAAAGCGCTTCCCAAAGGCGGCCATATGCTCAGCTGTCACAATTGCAACATGCGCGCAGCCAGAACCTGGTCACATCAAGCACAACAGATGGACGCGCATCAATAGCGGTCCCTACCTACCTCACCTCGACACTGGAGCGCCTAAAGACAGTGATCCGAGTATCATCGAAAAGAACGACGCTTTCATCGCATTGCTGAAAGAGGGGGGTATCAAGGACGCAGAAGCTTATTCCCACGCGAAGCTCCAACTGGTCCGTTGGCACAAGATCGCCATCAACGCGTCCATGAACCCCACCTCTGTCCTCACCCTCGGCTCTCCAAACAGCCTCATGGCGCAGGACCCTGAACTCCAACGCCATCTCATGGGCGTGATGACTGAAATTCTCGAGACTGCCCCTAAGGTTCTTGGCCAGCCCATGCCCAAAGAGTTTGCCACGCCAGAACAGATTATCAAGTCTACGTTGAAGAACACCAGTGGCAGCAAGCCTAGTATGGCAATCGACTGGGAGGGTGGGAAGAAGATGGAGATTGAGGTTATTCTAGGCAATCCGCTGAGGATAGCAAGAGAGAGGGGTTTTGAGATGCCTAGGCTGCAGAGCTTGTATGCGATGGTGAGAATGGCGCAGGAAATTCGGGACCAGAAGAAGGTCAAGCTATGAGACTGCTGCGTATTTCAGAATCCTTCAAGTAATTATGACCAGCCGTCGTCTCCAAGTCTTATTGGCCCGCCAGTCATGTATCACAGGGTGAAGTCACAAACACAATCTGATCTGTCGCTTAATTGTCTATTGAGTATGAAATTTGTTGGTGATACAAGTCACTGGGTCTCTAGATGAGAGACAAGTGAGAGACCGATGATATTGAGCTCTTGCTCCCTCACTGTCTTATCCGTCGAGTATCTCAGTCCAATATTTAAATTCATCTCGGACTGTTCGACTCCAACTCATTCTACCTCTCAAACAAAGGATACTACTATTCAACGCGTAGGGTAGGGTCAGGAATAGCTTGCATTGATCAGAAGCACTAGCAATATCTTTTGTGGTCAATGACACGACTGACGCCACGGAAACGCGAGTCAAAGTGGGCACAATGGGCTCGACGTGAGTCAAGAGAAAGGACTCAGCAGCGACTGGTGATTCCAGGTCAAACAGGCAACGCGGCCGCTTTGAATCCTGTGGCAACTCCTCCTCGCCGTAGCTATGCCGGGAAGTCTTTCAGCCAGACGCGACCTCAGGTCACGACACCCCCAAGGACTGGCCCACGCCCACGTCGACAGGGCATCAAATCGCCTTCCAGTCCAGTTCCACTGAGTTCAACATCCAGCGTATCGGGCGACTTGGCATTGACACCTACTCGGTTCCCCAAACAAGACAAATCGTATCATTCTGTCTTACAAAATCACCCCACTGCTACCGACCTGCTCCAAGAACAAATCGCCCGCCAGCAAGCCGCAGCCCTCGAACGCGAGCGTGCCGAGAAGCGCAAAGAAGAACTCCGCAAAGACCCCAGCGCAAACTACAGACACATCCTTGAAGTCTACAAACTCATACCGCTTGATCGGAAGCATGGAGAGCTTCCATCTCCTTATTTGCTGAGGCTACTGGCAAATCGCCCCATGCCAGATGATGAAGAGAGTGAGCTTGCTCTGGCGATTGTGTATGCGAAGGATCATTGGGGCGACTTTGCCATGTGGCCACAGGATACGAAGAGGTATGCGGATTATGAGAGGGAGAGGAGGAAGAAGGAGAAGGTGGGAGTTGCGGCTAAGTAGGCTGTGGGATATTGAGAAAAGGTAGTAGGGTGGTGGCACGGGCTTATTGCAGACGGGTGAAAGGAATGGGGGTTTTGGTCAGGGACCTTTTGCGAGCTGAATCTTTATTTGATTCCAGTTTTGAGACAGCCACGGTTTAAAGGCAGTAGTTTTAACAACGGCTTAGGCACAGGGCAAGTCACCATGCACGATGGATGGATACATATTGCACAACTCATATTTCATAGGCAGATGAAACATATTTTTCATTGATTTGTACTATTGTTTTTGAATTTGCTTTTAATTTCAAAATTCCTCAATCAGGAATCCTTCATTCCTCGAAGATGCTGGACTTGCCATCCAGTATCCTCTGAGCCTCCTGTGCTATTCCAGCAGCCATGAGATGCATAATCTGAGGGCCTACGCTGATTCTCGCAACGCCAATCTCTTCCAACTCTTTGATCGTCAAAGCATCTTCGTTCTTTATATCGAGAATGACATTCAGCCGGCCATTGAAAGCCTGGCATGCTCTTTTGACATCGTCCCTGCCCCAGCCCTCCCTGCTAGGACCGCCCCAAACAAAGACATTCCATGCGCCGGCATCAAGGTAAGCCTTACCACGCTCGATGGCGTCTTCGATTCCACCACCTGCGAAAAGCGCATCTGTGCGCGCGTTGATGACAAAGTCTTCCAATCCTTCCTCGCGCGCGACGCCCAGCGCGCGACGAATACGATCACATTGGTTTTCGATACTGTAAATTTGACCTTCAAAGCTGCAGTCTTCAAGATTGATGCCCACGGCGCCCAATGTAATGACCTCGCGTAAGATGTTTTCTAGTTCCATGCCGTATCCGTCTTGCAGGTCTACAGTGAGCGGAAGATCGTGCTTGAATGCTACCATTGCTACTGGGCGTATAGCGCGCAAATTCTGCTCGAGGCTAAGGGAATCATCAGAGGTGCTGGCAGCCGCAGCTATGGCAGCGCTGGCCGTTGCAATTGCCCGTGTGTGGGGGAGAGAGGCGACGGCGGAAGCGCTTATTCCATCCCAGACATTCGTCAAGACGAGGGGGTTTCCAGGAGAATGAAGGGATTTGAAGTGCTTTGCACGGGCATTCTGAATGTTATTTTGCATTGCTAGCGGCATGTTAGGCGTTTCGTGCCGCTACTAGTATCATCGCACTGACCTCTTTGTTCGGTCACGAAATTATGACTATGCTTCCAAACGGCGCCTGGGGTGCGTGGCACTGTATATATCCCCGGACACGGTGTTGTTGAGCTTTCATTCAATAGGAAATTCAACTCGTTTTGAAACTGACCATTCAGAAGATTGGACCATGACTCATCGCCGGTAATATCCGCTTTGGCCCCAATTGCTGACCGGACACCACTTGTCCCTTGCTGAACCCTACACCGACATGCAACGCTTTTGGCGGAGATTCGAGTGTGGATGTTGCTAGATAATCGCATTTCCAGCCAAGTCTTCGTGATGTATATGATGGAATATGGAAAGTCTTTTTTCTACTGCGCTCTTAAAGCCGCTGCGTCAGCACGTCGAAACTACCCATGAAACAAATACTAAGAGATCCGAATTACGTAAGTACATCTAAATGTTCTTGTATTCGAGAAAAGTGTTTTCCGGAACTTGTCCAACCCTTTCCTCACCATTGCCACTGCCAAATATCCCAGTATGCAACGTTTATTTCATCGATTCCCATAATCCAAGTGCTTAGAAAATAACATAGAAGCCCATATTGTATCGTGATTTCGGCGTTGCATCATCATGCGCGCGCATCTGGACTACGACGCTGTCGGTCGCTGGGACAAAGTCTAGTCCGCTACAAAACCAACAGTCACATAAGCACACATAGCCTACCACTAGGATAACTAAAATTTACATTGCAGCATAAGCGGGTAGCCGAGCAACACATGATGCAATGCCCTGTAGACGACCAGTGTACTCAGAAAGGCCAAAGAAAAGTTACCCAAACGCATAATCGCCACACCAGCGGACAACCTCTGTCAGGAGTTGCGACCAATCCATCGCATTCTGTCATGTCTGCAAACACAAACACGTTCTGCAGATGGAAGCCCAAAATTCAGAGAGCATTTGCGCCGCATGATCACGCCCAAGCTTGACACCATGTTCAATCAAGTAACGGCGCATAAGACACTCAAATGGGATCCTAAGGGTATTAGAGTCAGTGTATCCAACAATAACTACAGCGCTTCTCCTATCACTTTATATGAGCAGTCTGTCTGACTTGACTCCACAAGCAAGCCATGTAGCCATCACCGCGCCCAGCACTCCAAATATGTTTCTCCAGGCTGAAGCACCGCAGAGCAGCGCCTCATGCGAATCTGATGACTTGATCATTAGCCGAGCCTTCCGTCTTGCATGCGCTTACTTAGACATCCTTTTTCCCAAGTTCGTCAGCAGCGACGACGGTCGATGACTTTGAGCTTTTCGAAAACACCCAGTGGATCTGTTGCGCGCAAAGCAGCGTCGCGACGCAGAATTATGGGAGGACTTTAAGAGATAGTGGGTGCGGCATAGGCGACCTCGATAACATGTCACAGAATACCATATGCATGGGCGATCGTAAAGTCACTAGTCCAACCCTTAGACTGGCTTTGTATATTTTCCACTCAAGGTATCAGAAGAAAGCAGAAAGTCACACGAGTAAGCGCATATAATACATGAAAAGACATTCATCCATTACAATTCCTATGCAGTTCCACGCCTTGCAATCGCATCATTATTATACAAAGTCGTGTGTGTGAGAAAAGAAAAACCCAATCCATCAAAGGCCGTGTGCTCGAACTCGTGATATGAAAAAAGAAAATCCCCCAAAGGCTGGCTGTACGTGCAAAATTTCGCGTCGGAGCATCATCGGCATCAAGCAACCCAGACCATGTAGGTATCCCAGGAAGCGACGCGCGCTCTCGCTGCTGCACCAAGCCAACATATACGCCTCTGCAAATGCAAACTGGAAATCAAAGAAACAAAGGTCACGGCGCAACCGAATGTGGTGATTGATGGATTGGAGTAGATGAGATCCAAGGCAATGGATTGGATTAGAAGTGACCAAAGGCAATGGCCTCCTTGCTGATCCAGCCAGTGTGCAGGCGATGCGCGGTAATCTGGTGGAGATGCTCAGGCAACTCAGTCCAGACACTACCGTAGGCCTCCCACTGCTCCTTGGCCCAGCGGATGTTCTCGGCAAAGTCGTTGACGTCCTGGGGATACGGGTCGCTCACGAGATGCAGCTCGCGGAAGGGCTCGAACGGGCTAGGGCCATAGAAGCGCGCGTAGTCGTAGATGGAAGCATACATGTCCTTGAATTCAGTATACTGGCGCTCCGAGAAGTCCTTGACGTTCCACTCATTGATGATGAGGCGGTTGGGGTTAAGCAGAGGAGGCTGCAGGTAAGCGGGGGCATGCTCGGTGAACATGGTATCGGCGTACGCGGATCCAAATGAGGATGCAGGAGGCCCAGCTGAAGCGCGAGCTCCATACATATCGTAGGGTCCATATAGAGCAGCGCCACCAGGAAGAGAACCATATGTAGTACGACCATCGTTCGAAGCAGGAGCACCATACGAAGGAGCCGACGCATATGCAGCAGGAGGCGCATACGCAGTGGAAGGCGTGTACGCAGTGGACGGGGCATACGAAGCCGCAGGACCAAATGAAGCCAGAGATCCATAAGAAGCAGACGGTCCATACTGAGCTGGCTGACCATACTGAGCAGTCGGTCCAGATGAAGCAGGCGCCGCATACTGAACAAATGGCTGATACGAGAAGGGCTGTTGGGCCTGAGCAGGAAGTCCATGCGAAACAGAGCCACGAGTGCGATGAAGGGACCTGGTAGTGTAACGGCGTGAGCTCATGTCCAACAAACAACAAGACAAACTTGGATACTCACCGAGTGAATGAAACCTCATGGGGAGCGCGGTCAGGCACGAAAGCGGACTTGATACCAGCGCGAGCCTTCTGTGCAGCCTTACGACCACGAACCGAACCAGTCGGGGGCAAGGGCTCCTCCAAGTCGCCATCGTCTTCGTCGGCAATATCATCATCGGGCTCAGTCTCGCCTGCGATGAAATCCTCGTCATCGGCAGCTGGGTTGGTTGAGCGACGAGCACGAGAGACCTTGCGCTTCTTAGCGGCGGGGGCGGACTGGGATGCGAACGAGTCCTTGTCCTGGATACATGTTAGCATTCGTTGAGAGAAGGAGAAATGGATGGAACTGTGAGTATCGCGCAAGCCGCAGTCGTACGTACCAATAGATCAAACTCGGAGTCTTCAGCAAAGTTAATGTTCTTGCCGACGAGACGACCGCTACGGCGCTTGTTTCCAGTCTCCTTGTTGTCCAGGCTATCGGCCGAGCGCTTCTTGGATGTAGCTGAGCGCGACATGGTGCCAGAGGTGGTTGAGTTGTCGAAGCGCTCGATCTTGATCTTGAGCTCAGTGTCAGAGTTGTCCTCAGGCGACTGCTTTAGCGCCGGCTTCGAAACGGGGAAGCGGATATGGTTGCGTCGAGCAAACGCCTGCCTATCGAAGTGAGCGGGAGTGACGGGAGCAGCCCCACCAAGGTGAATGATAAGGCGCTGGAAGTCGGTCGGAAACAGCCACACCTCGTCCGGATGCTGGAGAGCGTACTGTACACAGCGAGCGAGATCGAGTGCGTCGTTACCAGAAGGATGCTTCTTGATGTTCTTGGCCAGAAGCTTGAAGTCCACAGGCGGATACTCTCGATTGGATGCAAGGTCTTGAGACGTGCTAGTCGTCAGGACCTTGGGGTGGGTGATACGAGGCGTACGAAAGTTTGTTACGTCGAGATCATCGTCTGGTCGCGCGAATTCCCGAGGAAAGTGTAAATGTGAGCCGACCGACCACTTGAAGAATCCTGCACGACGCATGGAGTACGACATCATGATCATTGTCGAGTTGGGCTTGAAAATGCCATCTTCCGGAAAGCGTCTAAACTCGTTGATGATTGCGGCAATGTGCCTAGTATGCGCTCCATGACAGATGAACCGATCGATAACATCGATGGATTTGAGCCAATGCGGAGCGTATGCGAGGATCTCAGCGGCGGTCAGGTTGCCGGCTGGGAACGAAAGATTCCAGCTCACCGCATGAGCACCAAAGGCATTGTTGCTAGGAACAGCTGCCATGGTGCTTCGCCACAAGGTTAGTTGGGCGACAATGTCGCAATCCCCGTCCCCCACACACCAACCCCGTTGGGGAAGATATCAAAAAGCAGTCAAATAAAGCAACGCCTGAAAGCTTACCTACCCGATAGAAGAGTTGAAGATGTGTCGAGCGATTGAGCAAAAGATGCGGTAAACAAGCTGGATCCGAGAAAGAGCAAAATTTATAGCGGGAGGGGTAGCACGCGGAGGCGGCGAGGCGCTTGGACCCGGTGAAGTGATTGTTTTGGCGCTGCGGTGAAGACGTAAATAGAGCAATGAGGGGATTCATCGAGCACGTGGGCTTCAGTAACGCGATCACCGGCGTCGAGTCTTGCGCGAGTGCATTGCACGCAGCCGTTGACTTGAATCCCCCTTTGTTGTCAGATGTGTATGTACACTCTTTTGCCAGTTCGATTCACTCAGCCATATATCGCGGTTGCCTGGCCGCCCACATCTGGTACGCGTTTGCCAGTCTCGAAGATACAACTCAAACCCGGACAGCGATGTCTGAGATCATCCAGGGCTGGAAGAGTTCCGTCCAAAGAACAAACACCGTGTCTGCGGTCAGCTCAACCATCTTTCGAAGACTCTTCTCTTTCTTGACCATGCAGTGTCACGGTTGTCGAAATGCCGTCAGTCCTATCCACCACGCGTCGGTATTATCTTTTGACTAAGCCTGGACAGAGTGACAGTCGGTACATTATAGGCGAAGGCAGACAGGCGTAAGGGGTAGCCGAAAGGAGTCTGGAATACTGGCATGATATAGCCCATGACCGACAAACAGGATAAGATGGGAGATTCGGATGTCCAAGACACACCATGTCTTGCATGAACGGCGTAGGTCGACATGAAATTCGCAAGTCTAGACATGGCGAGCTTTCGCAGACCAACTCTTGTCAAAGACAGCAAACCACCAGTGGTTGGTGTTTTTCAGACTGCGATGGTCGACAAGGCGTATCACAAAAGGTAACAACGCAATGTATCTGTCCGGTATGGTTATTACATCGCTCAAAACCTACAGGGACCTTGGTTTGTCCGAGCAACTGAGATGCATTGCCGAATGCTCCAAGTGACGCAGTCGAGACCTGTCGAAGCCATGCCGAGCGAGAGGTCCTCAGGCGATAAATGGATGTTCACCTACTACCTTCAATCGCACGGACGAATCTCTTGCTCGCAGGTGACGGATATGATAAAGAATGCAACGGAATCTGTCAAGTGAGGGACACGAGCGTTGCATGGACAGATGATACCAGTGTTGACGTCTGCACGGGTGGTCTGTCACAACCAGAAATGCAGCAACAGGAGAGTGCAGATAGCGAGGAAAAGAGAGAGAGAGAAGGTCAGCCATCAGTCATATCAAGCAGGCGGACGAGTTGGTTGACGAGGAAGAAGACAAGGGCATGACAGGAAGAGAAGACTGCGCTGGACAACAACTCGAGCCGGACCACAAGACGTACGAACAACCTCACTGGCAGTCTCCAAGCCTGAGTAAAAGGCGATCAACCTGGAACTCACGAGAGAAAGTTGATTGAGACAGGCGGGTCCACATGCCGCCTACATACCGGCTGTCCTGACTGCGTATCAGCAAACCAACACCCTTAGCGCGTCCAACTGCCCGCTCTAACAAACGACAGCGGGTGGTTGAAGAGCTTGTGATAAGTATCCAAGAATAACGACACCTTTGATATACGCACCGCCCGTTTACCGGAGACAGGTGACCCGCGCCGCATCGTGCAGACTTGAAGAGAACGGTCTAGACGTCAGAGTAGATGTCAGAAGAGCCGGCGGAGCACATCAAAACAAGGAAAGGAATGCGCAGTCGGAACGAGACGTCACGAAACGATCTTGGTTTGTGAGCTGCATTCCGTGGTTTGTGAATGGCCAGTCCTGTCTTGCACTTGTCCTGCGATTGTCCTGCGATTGTCGGGCAGGTGTCATGAGCAAACGCCGAGTGCGGGTTACAGGCTGCGAATGAGCGGTGCTCGTGGTCCTGATACAGTGGCATGATGATTCTTCCCGAAAATAGTCCAACGTCGCAATACCGGAGCGCGCATAATAGGGAACGACGACGGCCATATGCGGAGAGAAAGAGGATGGAGAGAAGAGGTGAAGTTGCGACAAACTTCGGACGGCGTTTCGGCTATGCACAGACTTACACTAGTTAGCGCCACCCGTGCCGTCGTCGTCTTCAAACTAGCCGAAACAAACTTCCTACAACCATGACATGCATTTTCCCAGCCCTTGGCGCGCCCCATGGCGGCGCATCGAAACGTTCAGTTTCACGCTTCCCTGCGGCGATGAATGGAACATCGAGCTTCCGGTAACAGGTAGCGTCGGACATGCGACGAAGCGCGACAATGACAATTGCTACACGTGTCAAGCACCAGGCTACGACACTGTAGACTAGACTCCAAGACCTACGCGCTACATAAGCAGTGCGACTTCTTTCACATTGCAGTCTAATAGCATCCGTTTACTTGTAAATAACCCTCGCAAGGCGATACTACCAATAAAAAAGCCCCAAAAGTACCCGAGCCGGACTCACCTAATTCACTCCTTACGAACCGACACACACATACACGACGCAGCAAAAAAAAGAAAAAAGAAAAAAAAGTCTCTTTGTATTCTACCCCTTTGAATCTTTCAAGATGCGCTTCTCTATCATCGTCAGTGCGCTCGCCGCCATGATCCCCGCGGCGCTCGCCGAGTCATCAGCAACAGGCTCCATGGTCCCCATGATGTCTCCTACTGCGCCGCCCGTCACCATGGCATGGAGCGGCGAGGCATCCACGACTGCGGGTGGCTCCATGGCCATGGCCACCGGCAAGAGCAGCATGATGGGCAGCGGAATGAAGGAAAGCGGTATGATGAAGAGCGGCATGATGATGGAAAGCGGAATGAAGGAGACGGGCATGATGAAAGAGACAGGAATGAGCGGCATGACCATGTCCGAGGGTATGCCCAAGACAACCGGTAGCGCCATGAGCGCCATGGCCGGTATGAGCGGCTCCGCATCAAGCATGGAGTTGAGCACAGGCGCCGTCTTGACTGCTGCCCTGCTGCTTGCTCTTCTCTAATCCGTGTGCCCCATTACACACGCTGTACGCCTAGCTTCTTTCCCTCTTCTTTCTCCGCGTCTCTCTATCGGTAATACCGCTGGTCTGGGCATCTCATCCTCCGTGTCTCGACTAGCTGCGCAATGTATATATATTTGCTTAGATGTTCCAAGCAATGCAAATTATCAACCGAACTTTGTTTTGATTTGAGTGCTGACTCGGGTGGTGTGAAACGGTATACTTACAGGTTAGAAGATTGTTTGAGCGCGTGCGCGAGTTTCTCACATGGACGTTGGCTTGACACATGTTACCAAGACTGACGACTTTCGTAGTTGAGTACCCCCAACCAACTCATCCAAACGTGCGGTAATAAACATCTTGCTATTCTTTCCACTCCGATGATGAAGATACCCAATGCGAATTTAATATTCAGAAAAGGCTTGTAGAGTACTCGCAGCATCGGCTATTTGCCGAGATCGATCAACCCAAGAAGCGCCAAAAGACCAACTTCCAACACCTCCCCCTCAGAGCCTCTCGCAACACTTCCCCCACAAACTCTCCAACCACCTCCTACATCCACCGCTGCAACAAGGCCAATCCGGAAAACACATGCGTAAACCTCATGCGGGGTCCTCAGCGTAGACATGACGTCACGTGGGATTCATAGCCGCTCATGAACATCGAGTGCTCCCCTCTTGTCGTGCTATCTCCAGACACCTTCATCCTACTCTATGAACACCATGGCAGCCTCCGACACACAAACCAGCGACCCACTCCTCGCGCGCGCCTTCGCCGCGTCTTCGCCCTCGGAATCGCGCTCCCTCTACGACCAATGGGCCAGCACGTACGACACATCCATGTCCGCTCACAACTTCACCGCGCCCCAGCTCGTCGCCGCGGCCGTCGCCCGAGGCCTAAAAACAAACCACATTGCGCCGTCTGCGCCGCTGTCCGGCCTCAAGATTCTCGACGCGGGATGTGGGACAGGGCTCGTGGGTATCGCACTGTCTCAGCTCGGTGCGACTGCTATCGTCGGCGTGGATTTCAGCGAGGGCATGCTGGCTGTGGCGCAGAACACGCGTGCGTATAATGAGTTGCGGATTGCGGATTTAACGCAGAGACTGGAGTTTGGCGATGCGACGTTTGATGCGCTGACGTGCTGTGGCGTGTTTACGCATGGCCATCTGGGGCCCAAGCCGCTCGAGGAGTTTGTGAGGGTTGTCAAGTGTGGGGGCGTGGTGGTGGCGACGGTGCTGGAGAGTTTTTGGAATGAGCAGGGGTTTGAGCGTGTGATGGGGATGCTGGAGGCAGAGGCCAAGGTTGATGTTGTGGAGAAGAAGTTGTGGGCGTATCGCGAGGGTGTTGAGGGGAGAGTGTTGGTTTTGAGGAAATTGTGAGGTGGGGAGGGTGTTTGTTTGGGATGAAAAAAATATACGTCTACAATAGTAAGAAGAGAATATGTTAGACTAATGGAGTAGGGTGTCGATACAAAAATGGGATGGGTGGAATTTTCAGTCAGAGAAACTCATGTTTTGTTTCAGAGGATTATGCAATATCGTATAAAACATTACCATTTATCTGGCGCAGTCGTGCCATTGTGACTGTGCCACAGAGCTGCATAGTCGACCCCCACATGCCAATATAACAAGATTATCGTGAAACCAACACTGCCCCTGATCAAATGTATATCCTACGCATGAAAGCAGTTTGATGTGTGGGGTAACTCTGTATTTGCGTCCGAGACCGTGGAGATCGCGTGCTTTGCCGAGAAAAGGGTCGAAATGAAGATGGTACCCAGTGAAAAAAAGATGGCAAGTTGTTGAATGGCACTAGAATTGTTGTCTCATCGCTTGGGTCCCGGGATAGGCTGCGGTTGAAAAAGGCCCTCAGATTCTGCATTTGCCATTTGCAGAGATGCATTCGTAGCGGCGTTTGTCCCCATAAACTCTGGTAACGCATCCTGGTATCTGTTTGAGGCGGCGCTCTGGAGCTTTTTACGGCGCCAGAGATATATGAGCGCACCGACCAGAGCCAGACCAGCTACTGCGCCAACCACGGCGCCCGCGATGAGACCAGCTCCTGCACCGGATTTTTTGTTGTTGTTGCTTGAAGATCCGTTTGAGATGGGTCCGCCGTTTTGCGGGCTTGAAGTAGATGAGGGAACACTCAAGACGGTGGCGGATGAAGGCTCGTTCGCTGAGGGAAGTGCTATTCTGATTTGTTGGGCCCATGCAATAGTGAGATATGGATAGTCTGAAAAAAAGATGGTTGTGGGTATCGGCGTTTCACCAGAACATGAGAAAACTCTTGTTTTGCTGTCATGATTGTTGACTGATTTTACGCAGCTAGTCGCATCGGGAGCCGACATAGTGTAATCGCTAGATATGTTAGCCAGTACCCGCCTTAGCATGTGCTTCTCTGGAGACGTACGAAGGGCAGCACACGGCATAAGTCTGTTGCATTCTGTCTACCATCTTCCCATCTGTCGTCCATCCAGTGGGACACGCGATGGCGGGCGAGTATAACAGGGTGGTTGATGGGTAAGGATTGCCTGGGAAGCAGGAACCGTCAAGGGTGACTTGGCCATCTGTGCCGCATGTGTTGTCTCGCTGAATGTAGTCACAAAACGAGGAGATGGATCCGCTGTTACTTCCACTTGATTCTGTACTGGTTCCGCAACCAGACAGGATAACATCGGAACAATGGTCGAGAGGGGTGAAAGTGGTCATCAATGGCATAAAGGAGTCGGAGGTTGCGGTTGAGACGAAGGACGTCACGGGTGAGATGATGGATTCCATGATCGACATGACTGCAGTAGAGAAGCGAGGAACCGGGAAGAGGAAAAGGCTCAAGCATGGTGCAAGACGACGAGGCTATGTACAAGGGAAAGGATAGGCCCAAGCTCAGCCTTGTGTCGCCAGACTCAGCCTCCGCGCTGTGGTACCATGTGGTGTTGGTGTGTGGTGTTGCTGCACCCAATAAAGTCGGGAAATTTTAAGCGGCGTATGCAATGCTCATGCATGCGGCGTCGATGAGCAGGAGGCCTTATCCAGCACATGGGACGCGACGAAGGATCTCGGAAGATGTGGACAAGGGCAGGTCGTACACGATCAGACTGTCCTGGTTATTCGGTTCGATAACAACCGCTGCATGCGAGTGGGACGGTTGCTTGAGCAAGACGGCGTTTGGGTTCGCGACACTGTATTCACACAAAACTTCTCATTGATGCAACATGGCGCAGCCTCTCAGAAGCTGCACCTTTCTTTTTTTTGGAATCTGGAAAGGTTAGCATACATGGAGGGCGTGGATAGTTTTGGTGGATTAGCCATGGCTGTGTATTCCAGGTGCATTGCAACCTCCCGGCTGGCTCGACTTGCCCACGCATACGCCATCTGGCGCCATTTGACGCTTATCATGCTGGAGCTGAGGGAGACATACGAGCGATAACTCGGAGCTTGACCCAGGTGCGATGGAGGTGTCATGGCGGCTTCGGCATGGCAGTGTTGTCCGGGATGCGCCAATCAGCTCAGTCCAGCCAGCTGCAGTGGCGTGCGGCTGAGTGCAAAGCCGGTCAATGACTAGATAGACGACGATGGGCGGGAGCATGCAGTCATGTAGTCGCGATGCTGACATAAGGCCAGGGTGAAGGAGTGGGCCGCTCCAGGCCCAGCTCCACACCCGACGGGCGTGGCGGGGTGTGGGGAGACGGGACTTGCCGGCTGGCGCGGTGCCAGTGCAGGCGTGGCATTCTGTTCCTGGGCGCAACCACAGCCCGTGTGTCTTGCTTTTGCGTGTGCTTACAGCGATGCAGATGGAGGGGGGCCAGGGGTGCTGTGGTGTTGTGGTGTTGTGGTGTTGTGTGTGTGCCGGCAGATGGCAACAGGCGCGGCGGCGGGTCCAAGTCGCGCGTGCCATTGCCGAAGAAACGTGACCTGGCGCTTCGGCCTCCGAGATCCTCGGCTCAGCAAGCTCTCGCGCCCGCCCCACAAGCAGAGTTAAGTAGAGTTAAGAGACGTGCCTCTCCGCCTCCGCAATCTGCCTCCCATCGCCTCTAACCCTCGTCTTTGCCCTTGCCTTGCCTTGCCTGCACATTCCTTGCCTGCTACGCTCTTCGCCCAGTCGCATCTTCTCTCTCTCCACCGCAAACATGAGCGACCGCCTCAAGTCCATCGCCTCCCACGTGACGCCCGCCACCAGCGGGCTGTCGGCCATGTAAGCAGTGCCACCAAAAACGCGACGCGCAGTGCGTGGCATGGCAGTGACTGACGGCAAAATGACAGCACCACCAAGAACCCCGACGACATCGTCATCACATTGGCCATCCGCACGCCCCTCACAAAGGCCTACAAGGGCGGCTTCAAGGACACGACGCTCGACGGCATCGTTGTCAAGACGCTCAAGCAGGTCGTCGCCAAGATGAACATGGACCCTGCCCTTGTAGAGGACATTTGCCTGGGCAACGTGTCCAGCGCAAAGGCCGCCTACTACATCCGCGCCTCGATGCTCGCCGCCGGCTTCCCCAACACCACGTCCGGCTCGTCGGTGAACCGCTTCTGCTCGTCGGGCCTCAAGGCCGTGCAGGACATTGCCAACCAGATCTCTCTCGGCAACATTGAGATTGGTCTGGCCGTCGGTGTCGAGAGCATGACCGAGGGAGGAGACAGGCTCGAGAGGCCCTTTACCGGCGAGGTGCTCGAGAACCAGGAGGCCACCGACTGCATGCAGCCCATGGGCCAGACATCAGAGAACGTCGGCAACGACTTCAACATCTCGCGTGAGCGCCAGGACAGGTTCGCCGCCGAGTCGTACCGAAGAGCCGAGGCTGCCCAAAAGGCCGGCCTTTTCGACGATGAGATTGTGCCCATCCCCGTCGAGATCAAGGACCCCAAGACGGGCGAGACCAAGACCGTCGTCTTGACAAAGGACGAGGGTATCCGACCAGGCACCACCTTTGAGAGCCTCCAGAAGATCAAGCCAGCTTTCCTTCCCCACGGCGACAAGTCTCACGCCGGTAACTCTTCGCAACTTACCGATGGTGGCGCTGCCGTTCTTCTTATGAAGCGCTCCACTGCCCAGAGGCTCGGCCAGCCTATCCTCGCCAAGTACGTCGGTGCCACAGTTGCTGGACTCGCCCCAAGGATCATGGGCATTGGCCCCTCGGTTGCCATTCCTAAGCTCCTTGGCAAGTTCAACCTTACCATCGACGACATCGACCTCGTTGAGATCAACGAAGCCTTTGCATCCATGGCCGTCTACTGCATGGAGACACTCAAGATCGACCACCAGAAGCTCAACGTCAGGGGTGGTGCTATCGCCCTCGGCCACCCGCTCGGCTGCACAGGTGCACGACAAATCGTCACTGGTCTGAGTGAGTGCAGGAGGCAAAAGAAGAAGATTCTCCTCACCAGTATGTGCATTGGTACTGGTATGGGTATGGCAGGTCTGTTCGTCAACGAGCAGAATGTTTAGTATGTTTCATGATCTCGATAGCACTTGTAAAATTTCACGGGTTGGGGTTTTTTCTTAGCGGCCATGTTATGCATTTTAGCCGTGTACGAGATACTTTGCGAGTGGATAGAATACAGCTTCATGCATTGATTTTCACCTTTGGGTCGCAATAATATCGCTCTATCTGGAAAATGCACTTTTCGACAAGGCTCGGTTCTTCGTCGTGATTATAATCGCGCATTGTAGTCGTGCCTCGGCAAGTTCTGTTACGCGCTAACCAATGTTTACTCATCTTTGATATATATGCCGACGCCTGTATCCGACAGTAAAGGTCCTGAATTTACAGCTGGTTATCAATGTGAAGGGTCTGTATGAAGTGTGTGGACTGAGAAACAGTATTGACCAAGCAGAATACACAGTCTTGAGATTGTAGAGCTGGACAAAATGCGCCGATACCATTGCTACATTGGTTTTAGAATCCCCAGCGAGAAATTTCCTAAGCAATACCAGAAATTAGATACACACAGCTCCAATTGCAATATCTGCTTCCTTACCATACATACTCTTGCTTTCCCTGTTGCGATATGTGCTACATTGTCGCGATGTCTACACATGACGTCGCAATCCATTGGCGTCTGCCCCGGTGCTCGGTCCGCGCCATCACGGACCACGCTACTCCACTCGCACTCCCCAATTCGCACCCACACAAAACTTACGCGCTCTCCATCCTGTCATTGCGCAGCAAACTCCCACATTACATGACAATGCAGATCACACACGCCATTTGAAATGGACGCTGATGAGGAACCCATGTCCAGGTATACAAATCACCCTAAGTACTTACTTCCTGACTTGGCTCTGATCAAAATTTGGTTTTTTTCGACGCAAAGACAGAAAGAAAAGGGCTGACGGACCAATCAGCAGCAATACCAACTCCGATACTTTACAAAATGACTACCACCACCATCTAGATGGCCCGTATTTCTATCGTGTCACGAGTGAATATAGCGCTACGCTTTTCCATATTCCTGCTCAATCTGCTGCACGAGGCCAGAAGAAGTGCTTGTTCCAGACAACATGTGCATTCGACTATTCGCATCTAAGCGGCGAATGTATTCAAGAACACTTAAGACTGAGGGATTCAGGACCGAGTCCGTTCATCTCCGTTTTTGACGATTTCGGTAGGCTATTTCTGCAGTATCTTGATAACATCATTTTGTGTACAGTGGACTGGAACTAACGTTGGAATCCTTAGCTGAGGCACTACGCGTGGCGTACACTTTTTATTTGCGTGGCCATGAAGCTATTCAAATAGTCCAGATCGATGCTTCGAATCTGATGGCTTCGCTTGAAGTGGGAATAGGGAACAGCCATGATGCAGTGATACCGGTGTGGCAGGGCAATTTGGGTGGTAGCCTCCAAGAAGATATCTGGCTTCGGGTGATGGATATCGGGCCGCTTTTCGCCCTGGATCCAAAGCTCATGCGGTCGTCGGAATGGCTAGCATGTGGATCGATTGTTGCGCCACGGTATTCGGCCTCGTGGCCTGTTCTTGCTGGGGAACTGTTCTTTGAAGAGACGTACGGGGAGGAATTGGTGCATCTGCTGGAGGACCATTGTGGGTGTGCGCCAGAGTATTTCAGGGAGGAGACCGACATGGCGGCAAAGTATGCGTATGATTGGACTGAGAGAAGATTTCTGGAGATCACGCCGAGAGACCGACCGGGTGTAAGCTATGGTGGGATTCCCACTGCCGGCGTAGGATTGAATCCGGTTTCGTCCATTTTCGCGCGTCCAACGCTATTCGGGTATGCGGGATATCTACGAGGGATGATTGTCATGGATTGATGATGTATGATGCATGTATTAGTATTGTAGTATTAGGAAAACACTCAAGTGGTTTTGAACGTAGTATTAGGCTAATGAACAACTTGTCACCATGCAGAATCCCTAGTGTCTTGGTTTCTTTGTTGCAGGATTGAACTATTGTGCTTGACTTGGATCGAATGAGCAACCATCGACTCATGAATCTGTTGGTGAAGAAATATCGCACTGGAGCATCAGTGTTCAGAGCCTGACAGAGCCAACCTCGTACTGGTTCTTGCAGTATTCGAGACAGTCTCTACCCACTATCGCTTCTTTCACTGTTTAGGCAGAACTTTCCGACTAACCCCCAATTGGAAAGTGAATGTAACCAAAGTAGAAAATGCGATCCATCGTAGAAGATAGAGTGAAGGACAAAATTTGCGCGACTCCGAGTTTTTAACGTGCCTGAGCTCTTACCTCACCAAATACTTCCAACTCTTATCCGAGCCTCAATCGTATCATCAATTTGCTCTCTTGAAGCACTCGATTCTGACTCTTGTTCTCCATTGGATACTTGGCTACACCGAGATCATGTCAGCGAACAGATCGAGTCTCGAGGACTTGCCGCAGCACACTGCCGAGGATAGATTCCTCGAGTTAGGAGATGCTCTCGAAAACTTGGATGATACGGAACAAGACCAAGACGAAGCTGCAGATGAGGATGGCGAAGCCAGCGCCACTAAAGACGACGATTCGGGGCTGCGCTTGATGATCAAAGACAAACCCCGAGCGCCATACAAGTGGACCATCACCCACCAGCTCGTCTGGATGAAGGAAATGGGCCGAACCCTGCCAACTAATTTCTTCTCATGGGCCGAAACGCCCTTGGAAAGCGTCGCGACGCCAATCAACGTCGACCTGTCAGTTCTCACAATCGAACTGACAGCAAAGGAGATCTTAACCGCAAGTAAAACTCTCCATATACTCTTACATCTATCTAAAAATCATGCTAGTTCTTTCCCAGCCACTTCGTTATCCCCGAGATCCAAGACCGCTTCAACCGCAACGGCATCAAAGGCACCTTCCAAGCCATGTTCATCGTACGTACCCCAACACCTCCCAGCCCACACATCAAGAAAATCCCACGTACTAACCAACATCTGCACCGAAGAACATGCAGCGCACCCTCCGCACCCCATACATCGTGATGCCGCGCCAGGTGCGCGCGCAGATCAAGCACGCTGTCAAGGTCTACGGCAAGACCGATGCAGCGGGGCCCTGCATGACATTCACGACGCGCCACTACACCTTTGCGTGCGCCCAGGAAGACAAGATCCCGTACCCGCTGATCAACTGCGGTGACGGGATCCATCCGTCTGACTTCCCACAAGGCGCTGACGCAGGCCCTTTCACCAAGGCGCTCATAAAAGCGCAGGTCATGGCGCACAACGAAGTTACGGTCCAGGAGTTGGATACGTACCTGGCACTTGTGGGCATTGACAGGGGCTTGGAGCAGGGGTACTCAGATCAGGATTTTTATCAGAGACATGTGGATTCCGTGAGGAAGTACCAGCAGGAGCTGAGGGTTGAGGCGGATACCAAGGGGTATAAGTGGGAGACGTGAGGGGTTTGCTGGTAGAGAGACTTTGTGGAGGTATTTGGGTAAGAGGGGTGATGAGGGGATAATGCGGGCTGCAAGGGCAGAGACAGGTTTTCTTCAAACAAGTTTGTGATTTCAGCTGCGAGGGAGTAATACGACGATACGATGGTGGAGTAATGGAGTCTATCAACTTGGTACTGGTTTTTTCGGAATTGGGTTTGTAGAATAGTAGATTCAAGCATGATCTGGCTGCTTGTAAGAGATTCCTGTATGAAATTCAATGTCTCTTCGTTAGAAGACCCTACATATGTTGCTAGAAGATAAAGATTACAAAAGAAAATGCCGATGCACGGCTTTCTAGCACGAATGGCTGTATCAAGGTAAACATCTCATTGCAAGATCCAGCAAGCCAATATCTCTTCCCCAAAGATATTCATCACCGAAGAATGATACACTCCTCCGGTATCAAGTGAAAAATCCCTAGTATATAGCAGAGTGCCTTTCCTTAGGGCTCTGGTGTTGTACATAGCATGCGTAGTAACTACTGAAGATGTGCGACCTCAGTCTCCAAGTGCACTCATCTTGAGTTTTACGGGAGCGGTTGGATCGGGTAAACTCGAAGCAGGCGGTTTCCAGTTGTCGTAGCTAGAGCCACAGATTTTCTGTCCAAAGCAAAATTAGCCTTCTCTCGTTTCTTGGTTTGGAAAATCGTCTCAATTCCCTCTCACCTTACGGTTGCTGGCATAGTCTTTATACAAGCCTAGCCAGATATCGCGATCCCTGCAATCCTGTTCTTTTCCGTCGGTTCAATTCCTGCACTTGGGTTGGTGCTCCTCGATTTCCGATTTCAAAGCCTGGCGCCATGGTTTGGGCATTGGCCAATCTGAAAAACGAACAAACTTGGCTTCCTCCAATGCTTTTGCGCCGTCCCATGTCTCGTCCGCGCCGAGGTATTTCTCGTGGGTATGTGATCGGAATTCAGCGGTAATGAGGTCGTATCGGCGGTGCGGTATTATTATGCATGTGTCTTTGTATAGTGTGTTGAGTATGTCCATGTCAAAACCCGAGTCGTTGCGGTTCATGAATTGTTGTACACGGTGCCATTCTCTCGCAGAAGGCTCGATTACGACCGATTGGCTGGATAGAAATGGCTGGTCGAGCCAGTATGCTCGAGGCATTGCAACCGCTGATGATGGTAGCAGGAAAAGCTCGTCCATGTGCTGTTCGTAGGAATTGGTTAGTACGACCGGGGCCATTTGGAAGGTCAGGGTAGCGACTTACCTCTCGAACAATGGCGTCTGAATCGAGAGATATGACGCGTTTATACTGAGTTTGGTTGAAGGCTAGCAGTTTTGTGAAGCTTTCCCTCCACGTTGTATCGCCTTTCTCAAATGATTGCACCTGTATTGGTACAAGTTTGACTTGGTAACTGTCCCTGGCTTTTGCAAGAAGCTTGCTCTCGGTTGAATCATCGGTTGTGTTGTCTTCAGATACATGCCAGTCTTCTGGATACATCATGACGCGGTCGGCCTTTGTCTCGGAGCGGTGAAGCGCGTCGAGTATCATGAGGGAGTTGCAAAGGTAATTTGCATTTGTGACATATTGCAGATATGCAAAGTCGCTCCATTGTACACTGGCATCGCTTTTTGGGGGTGGAGACGTATTGGTAGTGTATTGCAGTAGGTCGGCTTTAGTAGGAGCCAGAGTAATGGAGCATAACAGAGACCAAGCCATAAGCAACAATGTAGTTGCCATCAAAGCGGTGCGAACGCGTCGAAGCGTAAACCACTTTGGAAATTGTGCTGACGGCGACATGTCAGCGGGGGCCTCGGTTTTTCCATTCAAGTGCAACCGTTGGTACCGTGGATAAATCCATTGCTTGGACATAGTCTAACTGTGAGAAGATTGTCAGGTTAGGACGGTATAGGTAGCAATGGAAGATAGAGCAGTATCAGTACTAGTGTCGCACGAGGAGAAACGCTAGTGAGCTGTACGAGCGATCGGAGGTACGTATGTATATACTAAGCTTAGGTCAGGGCACGTGATAATGCAATAAGGTTTCGTCGGCTGACGCGGATTATGACACCACCACGGGTCAGAAGTTGTTATGCTCAGGGTGTCTCAGGTTTTATGAGTGCGTTTCAAGGAATCGGAGCTTTGGGCGAGCGGAAAAAGAGCGTATAATTATTTCGTGGGAGTACATCAGCGCGAAGGTTAGTTGGAAATCATTCACCTACAACCCGTCACTCAGAGCGGCCTATTGTCACGTGCTTTGCGGGACGGCTCGTCGAGTCATGGATTGAGCATGACTGAATCCGTCACAAACTCAGGTTTGTGACGAAAAGGCGTCGATATATAGCTCTTGTCGCCGCGGTAAATGCATGGTAGACGCCAAGTTGCTGCATGGATTATACACCCCTTTGACTTTGTCTAACCCTATTCTGTGCTATCTTCTCTAGTACCAACATCTGTGTCGCGTCAGCGAACGTGATGCTCTATTTCTACTTCGTCTTGCGTTTCTAGCGTTTGTGGCTGCCACCTAAAACTCTTAGTGCCCTGTAGCAACAAGAGATACCGTCTTGACGAGCCCTGATGATTCTCCATAGACACAACATGAAAACGCAAACAGTATCCTCGATCACACACCAAAGCACTTCATATTCCCCTGTCTAACCAAAAAGCTTCCATAAATCTATAAAGTCTACCGTGGCACTATGCAGGCAATTTTCGCATACTACATGTAGTACCAGGGGTAATTGATAATCATATGTTTACCAATTCCGTCAAAAGCCTGGCTCTTGGCTTGCAAACTCGACTGATAATTCAACTGGCATCCACATTGACTCTGCTACATGCAATTGCCTTCGTTTCTTGATGTTGGGGTCCATGGCAAAGGAAGGGTTATAGAACCAAGGACTTTGTGTTCAGATGAAAGAATAGTATGATTGATGGACATCAGGATTGGAATTGCATATGAAACTCTGCCATTTTGCTTTGCAAGCAAGAAGCTGCTCTCTAGAGGCGAAATTTCACAGCTTGTAAGACGAAGCCATGGAGAATGTCAGTACATTGAATTTTTTGACGATTCTATGAGAATTGAGGAGCTCCAGGGTGATGATATGTTCATAGGTAGCTGGAAAGAGCTGTTTCCACTCCTGGAACGTGAAGGAAGTGGAAGAAATTAGCCACGACCTAAAACCACCTTGATGGAGACGGCAAAGTCCCTTTATTGAGCCATATTTCTTTGATTAGCAATGTCGCATTTGGTTTCGGCGCTTACTTGGGTGTCATCATCCTGGTTGCTATCGAGTTTTGGTGGAAGCGCTCGGCGATGAACAAGCATTATAACGACATGTGCACGAGGCAGTTGTTCATCGCACAATGTATAAATAGAAAGTATCAGAATCCTGGGTTTTCTCACAATTTCATTTTGAGACATGCTTTCCCTTTGTATGGAGATATGATTGACTGTGTGTCATGGCGGTGCGCACAGCACTCATAGCAACATCCCATACCGGTTTCATTTCCTGAGAGAGTCCGAGTATGCTGTCCAATACAAATACGAAGGATCAAATTTTGGATAAAACCAACAACTATTGCCGGAGTAATATGTGCGCAAACGAGCCATGTTTATTGAGGCGCTGTAATGTACGCGTGGGGTTTTCCGCACTGATCATGAATCAAGTGCCTCGCTGGGGCTGTCAACGCTAAGTCCCCACGCCACTGAGACCCGAATGCTTGGATGCTGCGACTAAGTTGACAGGATTAGCGGATTTGGAACGATTGGGCCGTCACTTCCGTCCAGCATCGGTAAATGCGGCAAGAATATCCTTGTCATCTGCTTGACAGTTGGGCGCAGCAATATCAGCTATTTCACCAGCTTGAGGGATATCCGCCTACGGGAAATAGCAGTTTCGAAACGAAGTGTATTACTGTACGAGACCATCAAACTCTATCTAACATGACGATGGAAGAATAACCAAAAAGATTAAGCATTTATGAGGCCTGCTTTAATGCGCAACACTGGAATGCATTGACAACAGCGTACTCCTTCATTTTAATCATGTCGCATCTATGTCCGAATATTGTGTGGCTTTTCGATCCCATCACAAGTTTAGTGATGCGAATAATTTAGAATTTTTTTTATAGAATGACGATGCGACGGAGATCTGCACGAAGGAAAGAAGCGTTCCTCCAGTTCGTGCCGTCAGCACCGGCCTCTCACTTGACTTCCATTTGAGTTATAGCGATTTGGGTATCAATTCAAAGATATTTCAAGTATCATCATCCGTTTTTAACCACTGTCGTCGATGAAGAGCTACATAACTCAGAAGTAGATAGTGCTGTACCGAATCTACAAGACAACACTGGATTATTACCATGGTGGATAGTGACATAGAAGCGCACCGAGATGAGCTACAGAATTCCCAGTGTTACTAGCAGTGCTAGTTATACGTAACATGTAAAACTATTCATGAAGCCGCGAAGACATGCGGCGCGCGCAGCACACTAGCTTCTATAGTGGTTACATCGCCAGAGCAGAGGTATCTCAATTCCAAACCTGAGTAGCGGAGTAAGAAGAAACCATAGCAATTAGTAGCTGCCCGGGATATCTAGCGTAGCATTAAGTGTGGGTAAGTCTGAGTCTGATAACTAGACCAGAGTGAACAGGAGAGTCACGTGAGTAATTTTAGTGTACGTGGAACGTTTGAACATTGATATCGAAACGGCCTTACTACACATTAAATACTTCGTGTATGAAATAGAATCGGTATGTTACTGATAATGACTCCTGATGATCAATGATAGCAAGCGGTCCGATTCTCCAACTTCCCCCGTTCCTGTGCCAGGACCAATTAGCCGAACACGGCTAGCTGGATATTCCTCGGCGATCCTGCTATTCGCGCGGAAATGGATGCCGAAGCCCGTTGAAAGGGGCCTTTTGATCTGCGTTATGTCGGATTACTTTGTGGTTTACCACGATCTTCATACACTGTGAGATCAGCCGTATTTCGCCCTACTCGTAAGCGACACACCGCAAACAGGTCTTATGCAATCGAGAAACGCTTGTTGAGCTTTAGCAAAGTAGAGATCGGGATTATTAGAACTCTGTTTTCAGGATAACTTGGTCTGTTCATTGCTTATTGGTAGAGTAATATGCGATTAAGGTTACGGCGGATTCTATACATGTCAGACAGTAACGGTTCAACGTCCTATCAAGACGTTGATTGTCCTACTACGAAGCAGGCGTCAGCATTAGCGCTGTAGTATCTAAATTATATAGCTAGTACTATACCTCAATATCTTAGCGCTTATCTTTGTACTTGAAGATAATCGGGGCTTTAGCATTCGATACTATTAAGTCAGACTGCCTAGTTTACAGCGGTCTTCGCATATGCGCCGCGACGAATAAAGTGTAAAAGCACATTCTGCTAGGAGCTTCCCGCTTCAGAGCGAGGTGTACCGGAAAAACAAGAGCTTCACAACAGATGTGCGCAAGATCCGACAGCCTACAGATGTGTCGAGAACTTGTGAGCGACTAAAGAGTAATGGGTTCCGCCAAAGAGTAATGGGTTCTGTTCCGCCGTACCTCCTGGCACGCTTGGATGGACCATATTGGGATCCTCCAGTAAGCTCTGTAAAGTGCTACACTAGCGTACTGAGTAGTGGTTTTAGAGGGGTCTTGGCAGATTGAATCACGCTCGCTACTGAGCGACACTTACTCGTGGGATGTGCCAGATCTTCAAACTCCAGACTCCTGGCTATTCTCAAACAGATACAGGAATAAACATGAGGTCATAACCCAAGTTCCGTAAATGCAGCTCGAAACAAGACCCATATCCGTACCGTAAGCGAGAATGGGGTATAGACAGGGTGATCTTAGGAGTAGTGTTCTGTACTATACATTATGCTAAAACTTATTCGCTACATGGCAGCTCGAATTAGACCGTTCCGCGCATTTAGCCGAACCGAGCATTACGCCGTGAGCTATAGAGCATTGTATGGGCTGCCTCGCTTGGAAATAGCTGTGAAAAGGGTTATCAGACTATACTGGATCAGGGAAAACTCCGAGGCCTTAGATTAAATGGACGGAATAATAGTACTGGAGTGAAGTCCACACATAAACAGCGGTGAGCCAGGGACCTGGTAGATGGATGTGGAAATTCACGTGGGATACATCCGCAATGCGCATCTTGAATCTCCGCCAATGGAACCAAGCATGGGGAAAAGCTTCTGCTGCCAAGTGTGGAGAGGGCGTGATGCTTGTTTTGTTTCTTCACTAGACTCAGACACTGTTAAAACCAGGGAAACACACACCATGCGCAGACAAAGGCTCCGGTCACGACGACGATTTGAATGGAAGCCAGTAGGAATGTAGCGGCTGGTTGTTTAGATGCTATCCGGGTTTCCACTGGAAAGATGGCTAGATGCGGAGGTGTTGCGCGCTAAGTAAGTACTTAAGTGGACGCACAGATGCTGACGCCCGCTAGCACGTTGGCGACAACGAAGACATCTATGTGCTCCGTCTGGCTTCTGTTGCATCGCTTGAGCTGTGTCTTCATCAACAACCCTGTCTATACTGCGATCTTGACAGCGATATTGTTCCAGTCCGGAACCAATCAACATAAGTACCTTTTAAGCATGCGCCTGTTATAATTGGCTGGGCGCCGAACCGTGACTCGAGTCAAGCGAAGAATGTCCTAAGAATAAACAAGAAACACTCGCTGATGAGCTATGACTTCGTGGTTTGCAACTTTGCATTCATGCGTAGTGTGAGTCTTCTCGTTGTTGAACCATTATCACAGCATGAAGTACGGGAACTCGTTTAGCCCTTCATGCTTCAGGTCTGGATTCGGCGTTCCGCAAACAGGGGTACGACACGACGCGAGGGCTCACGGACCCAACCGCGACATGGGCAAATCTAAACCAATTCATCTACTTGTTTAGATTAGGGCCGACACTAATTAACGGAAGCTGGATATCGTTAGTATCAGTTGCTTCGATTATGATAAGAAGGGCTTCATCGAACGTCCATCTTGTCCATTGTCCTCATCCACAACGCAAAAGCCTTCCAGACAAACCTCGTTTCACTCTCCAACACCATCATCATGAAGTTCCAGGCTATCATCCTCTTCTTCGCCGCCACGGCTTTCGCCGGGGTGAGTATTTCTCACCCAGCTTCCATTTGCAGAGACTGACAAAATTGCAGCAATGCAGAAGCCGCGGGGAAAAATTCACCCAAAGCCATGCCGAGCTTCCCGAAGCCACTGATAAGAACAACGTATTCAGTTACTGCCCGAATGCTGTAGGATGCTGTACCGATGGCAGTGTGTGGTATGCATGCAAGACTGTAAGCCCTTCCTCTTCCGTATCTATGAAACTAGTGTGCTGATAATTTGCAGTCATGCCCTGCTGGTGCTGCTTGCAGTGGTAGCTGCTAGGCTCAACAAGCTAGGAATGTGAATAGTTATGATTGGAAAATGTAAATATAATCATGAGCTTTTAACACTCCAATGTTACATGCAGTGATCGGCCACGCTACCTTTTACTATACGACTCTACAGGTGCTGTTCCTTGTGCAGCAACAAAATACATCACGATATTTTCGTCCGAACAACCTCTTGGCAGTTCATTCTAGCATCTGTAACTGGCTCTATGCACTGGTCAGCTATGACTGAAATATTGCATCTTAGAGGTTGTTGTTGCGATAACTACTTTCGTATGGGCTATCTGATTTGTACATGATCAAGCGTATCTTGTTCTACTTTAAGCATGGTCATTTTGACAATATGAAGCTGCCTGGATGGCTTAACAACCGTCAAGAGCATCTCTTCAATGAGCAGACGTGTAACTTAGGCTACAACGCTCAATCAAATACATGCTCACGCTTGCCCTAGAACAGATTAGCTAATGCAGGCGCTTTATTAGCTTCAGGGAAGCACCATGTACCCCTGATGATCTGTACGAGCGGTGTACCATTAGATTACTACTAAGCCAGTTTAACAACACTCACCGCTAAACATTTCTTGGCACACATGTAGAACATGCACGACCGAGTAACCACACCGCAAAACATCCAAGGACCTATGTGTGCAAATGATGGTTTTACTAGCAGCCTAAATGTACGCTACCCTAGGCGTCTTGACACCTTTCTAAAAGCAGAGACATTCCAAAATATCCATGTCATTTGTTTTCCCAACTAGTGATCTGACTCATATTCCCTGTTACGATGTACTCTACTCGTACTATTCATCTCACTCACTCTGCGTGCACCTAGCAGCTAAAACGCAAAAAAAAATAGCTACATGATAACCTGGATCGATCTCAAATTAAAATGTCCAAGTGAAGTCTGTAGGCGTAGCGATCTGGAAGCCACCCGGCGCCTTCATAACCAGCTGTAATCCAATCATAGGCAGAAGATGGGATGAAAGTCCCGCAGTCACGACTAGACTTAATCGCGCCCAGATTTTCAATTTGAAATATACACTGAACCCGTGTGTTGTTGGGTCATGTATAACATACACTTCTGGTGCTGGTAGGCTGAGCTGTGGGAGCCGGGGGAAGTGGATCATGGCGCTGTGCACGGATATTAGAGGTGCCTTAAAAGAAACATGTCCTTTTTTATGAAGTAACGGTGCAGATATCACGGACTACTACATGCCAGAGTGTGAGGGGACTGTGAAGCGACTCGGTGCATATATTCAAAGTAGCATGTGTTGTCGCTAACTGTAACACAAAGTTGTCAGCTAACATCATTACACCGAGCATACAGATTGCAAATGATGGATTCTTTCACAACTCACATATACGTGTTGATATGCTATTTCCAACTGTCAGAAAGACGCGTCTCATCAGTTCATAAAAGCCACCATGCCGCTTCACATAATGCTTCTACTATCCAGACTATAATTTCTGTTAAAAAAATAACTTCGATACTTGATATCCCCACCTCCACTCCAGGAACGCCAAGTCGCAATAACGCCACATCAATATACCATTTCCCTAATCAATCCTGTCACCAGAAATATTGACCGAAAAGACACACACACACACACACATACACACATCTCCCGCATATACGAAACAGATCCTGCCAAAAAACGCGTCCCACCACTGCTCCTTCGCTCCCAACCCCCCAATCAACACCTCCACCAATTTACCACGAAGCCTGGTGCTTAGCAAACGAAAGCGCCTTATCCGCCTCCTTGACCTTCTTCTCACACTCTTCGAGTTTCTTCTTGGCCTCCTCATACTTTTCCTTCGCCTTGTCGTGTTCCTTCTGCGCCTCGACATGTCGGCGCGTAGCCTGCTCGACATTATTCGGCATATCGAAGTTCGGAGTAGTCCAGCTGATATTCCACGCCGGGAACCCGTCCATGCCGCCCACGCCGGCAAAGCTGGGGGCGTTGTATAGCCGGTGAATGTCATGGAGTGGAGGCACACCTTTGTGGCGGCGATTCCGATACGGTGTTACTTCGTACATTGTCGCTGTAGATCGGACATGTGGTTGCAGCAAGGGAAACTTGCTTCTGGACCGCCTCGGTTCGAAAGTGGGTAGTGTCGAGCGGACTTGGATATCGAGGCGGGCGCGGGCGCGAATAAAGTGCGGAAACTTGTAAGAGCGAGACGAACGAGATGCGGCGTGGATTTATAGCACCAGCACCTTTCTCAAATCGGTATGCCGCCCTGGTAGTGTACGTCGACGGCTCTAGTCCATTAGATAGACAGGGCTGGAGCTGTTCTTTGAATCGTCAGTGCAACCCAAGTGGTTTCCCCATCGTGAGTTCGTTGTCGGAAACCAATGCGCCGACAAGGAGTATGGTCGTTTGAGCCCGGTGGTGGTATCCTTCAATCTACCGCTCGGAAGCTATTCTCCGTTTGCACAAGCTTCCGTGCATGCAGAGAATCTCAGCCACGTCTTCCCCTTCGCTACCCACCCATCCGCCAGCAAACGGCGCCGTTTGTGCGATCTTGGAATGTGACGAGCGCAGGCCTGCCTGGATAGCAGTTGGACTTTTACATACATTCCAGGAATGTACACCCCAATCGTTGCTTCAAGGACTCGAGTGGCTGCGTCGTCTATCTGCCTTTGTAATTCCAATTTCCATTATTCAAATCCACAGTGTTAACATTACGAAACCCCAGCAAGCAAACCGACCAAGTTGATGCATTACCATCTCCAGCCAAGACATTGCCTCAAACGACTGTAACCCAAGGTATACGTCTTGTTACTAGCAAGCTCCCACAACACGCTCGCTTCATTGCACGCACCCTACGCAATCTCAGAGCCACCATACTCGATGGCCGCTCCCCCTGCAATCCAGAAGCCCTTTTCACCAAGATCGATTCGAAAACTCTCCACAGAAAAACACCAGCGGCCGTAACACATGCGCCTCATTTCCTTGCGCGCCGCGCCGCGCCGCACCAAACCAACGCATGCATCAGTGCCCCATCCCTTTCCCTCCCAATCACCCATGGCCATCCCACCTCACGCAATCGTGTCACAAAACAGCCCCTCACCCATATTCCATTGATTGTTGCATGTGTACGTCCCGCAGGTCCAGCGCCGCGGAACCGACGTCAAGACAAACTTGCGGCACTGGCATTCCCCGCTCAGCCTGGGTGCGCACGGTATCCAAACGCGAGCTATCTATTTATCTATCAAGAATGTGTATGATATAGGAGTATAGAAGGAGTGGAAAGTCATTTTTATTCAGCGATATCACTATCAAGTTTGAAATACACTTCCTTTTCCCTTTCTTTGCTTTCAATTCCCCCCCCCCCCGCCTCTCCCCTCAAATACCAAATGCCTTTTCAAATTCTTCCCAGAGCCGACTCATCCAAATATCTACCCGAGGATCTGGCACCCAGTCCTAACAGGGGTATTTGGAATCAAGCGCCTCTGGTACGTTAGTAGTGCAATTAGTGGGTGGGAAGTTGCACCAGCTCGCACAAACGCGGAGTGATGGGGGGAATGATGTGCTACGTATAAGTAGTATAGTGTATTCTGCTACTAGGACTAGGAATACGTATGTAGAACGAGCTAGATCGCTTGTGCGATCTAGTGGTTTCTTTCTCTCTCTCTCTCTCTCTCTCTCGGTGAGATGTAGCGGTCCAGGGCGTTGGGCGCTTGATTAGTGGGTGAAATATTAGAGTTACATAGATCAGTGCAATCGGACGCTGTAGGACAAGATAAGCTAAAAAGATATTAGGGAAAACATGTCGAGAATATGTATATAGATTTCAGTGAAGATAGGGCGTCCCCATCATCATCATCATCATCATCATCATCATCACTATCATTCCTGCCCTCCCTTCCTCCCTTCCTCCCTCCCTCCCTCCCACCGTCCTTTCATCTCCATCTTCTCCTTCATCATCATCATCATCTTCTTCTTCATGTACAATCATCTCACCATGGCAATCACATCCACGCTTTATCTGGCGCAACCAGCAAAAAGCCGAAAAAAAGGCCGAAAAAGAAGAAAAAAAAAAGATACACACACAGATACATGAATCATGTGTTGAATTTTTTTTCTCTTCTGTCTCTCTCTCTCTCTCTCTCTCTGTAAAGATGGGGGCATAAACTCTTTCTTTCTCGTAATTGATTGGTTGGTTGGTTGGTTGGGGCAAAGAGGCACAGGCAAGGTAAGTACCACCAGAAACTCTGTCTCTCTCTCCTCTCTCTCTCTGTCTCTGTGTGTGTGTGTTCATCGTGTTTTGACTCCCGCAAAACGCTTTTCTCATCCCCCCAAGCACACATACACACGCATACACACGCACATCCCAGCGACCCGGCACAGCCGTTCAACGCCATCAAACGCCATCAAAACCACGTCAAGCAGCTCTTGTGACTCCAGGGAATTATCTGAATAGGCTTCGAAGTTCCTCGAGTCGCTGCTTGGTCGCTTCCTCCTTGCTCTTACGCTCCCTGGCCATTGTCAAGTCAGCAAGGGCCTTCTTCTTCTCCTGCAGCACGAGCATCTTCTCCTCGAAGCTGTCCTGCATGATGAAGCGCTTGATCATGACTTCTCTGTCCTGGCCGAGACGGTGCACGCGGTCGACGGCCTGCGCTTCCGCTGCGGGATTGAATTGCGGTTCCATCATGAAAACTTTGTTTGCGGTTGTGAGGTTAAGGCCGAGGCCACCGGCGCCGATGGAAACGAGCATGACGCGCACAGAGGGATCGTTGCGTAGTGCCGCCATAGACTTGTCGCGCGCATCGCGGCTCATGCGGCCATCGAGGCGGACGAGTGTGTGGCCAGCGGTCTTGAGTGCGATTTCTATCAGGTCGAGGTGAGTTGTCCACGAGGAGAAGACGACGCTGGGTGAGGTGTTAGTAATGAAACATGCCTAAAAGTAGAAATTCCATACCTCTTGATAGGTCGCTCGTCGGGATGCGCATCGCTCCAGCGCCTGAATTCATCAAGATCGTTGAGAAGCGCCTTGGTCTTTGTGTGCGGACCGGTATAGCTACCCACCTTCTTGGCCAACTTGGGGTCTTTGCGGATACGGTCTTGCTCCTCAAGGTAAGCGAGGAAGTCGGCTCGCTTTAGTTCGAGTACAGATGGCCGGTTGATATCGTCGCAAACATGGCAGCGAACAAACCCATCGTGTTGGACAAGATCCTTCCACTGATCGCGGAGCTTCTTCACATGGCGCGGACAGACGAGGTGGTAACACGTAGTCATGAATCCCATAGTGTCCTGCGCATTTCCTTCTTCGTCCTCATCATCTGCATCGCCGTCCAATATTGACTTCTTTCCAGGGCAGTAGAGACAGTCGGCTGCGCTTGTAGACTCGAGGAGGTTGAGCATCTCATATGCTTGTTGACGCGTGAGCTGGGGCATCTCCTGGCCATCTTCCTCGATTTCCATGGGCTGCTCGTACGTCATGCCGTCTGTAGTCTTCAAGGCTTCTTCGCTCAGCAAGTCGCGACCGTGGGCGCAGATCAGGCGTAGGTTGAGGATGGCCGTAAGAATACGCGCGTACGACTTGCCGCCCATCTTGTCACCATGGGTCACAGCGAGCACCTTGCGCTGCGTATCCTTCTCAAACCAATCATGCAACTGCCTCTCTTCCTTGGAAAACTGTAGCTTGATGACATAGTCAATCTTCTTCGGCACCTCATCCTTGATTATCTCTTTTGTGCGGCGGATTGTCACCGTACTCACGAGGAGCTGCAGTCGCTTGACCACGTTAGGATCGGCGTTCTTGAAGGGATTGAGAATGTGCGCGTTGAAGCCCGAGGGTGTGTCAAAGGGCTTTAGCTTGATGAAATTGAACAGTGCGCCAAGATCCTCAAGTCGGTTCTGGACTGGCGTACCAGTAACAGCCCATCGTCGCTGGCCCATCATATTGCAGGCAGCCTTGGATTGGTTTGTTGGGTTTCGGATGGTGTGGGCTTCGTCCAGCACAATACGGAACCAGTGGAGATACGGCAAGGCACGTTTCTTATCCATGATATCCTTGGCGATGATATGGTACGTAGTCAAGACGATGTCATGGTCCGCCAGCTTCTCGGGCGTCATGGTGAATCGTTCAGCTCCATGGTACCGCGTCCACTTCAATGCGCTGCCTTCTGGGAAATGTTCCTTGATTTGTTCCTTCCAATTAGTCATTGTACTTAGCGGACATACAAGCAGCGTCGCACGAGTGTTGATCATAGGCTGGATCATTGCAGGAAGGGGTCGCGGAGGAGGCCTCTTTTGGCAAAAGACTTGTGCTGCAGCAATGGATTCGTCGTCACAGATGAGAGACAGGACACTAAGCGTCTTTCCGAGTCCCATCTCGTCAGCCAATATACCTCCCAAGCTTGGGCGTGGTTTCTGCGCTTGCTTTTCGCCAGTGATGATATGTACGTATGAGATGCGACCATTGTCATGCGTCTTGGTCGTCCACATGGGATCTCTTCGCCGATTCAAGTCTTGGGCAGTGTGATCCTTTTCATGCTCGACCATGAAATGAAGCGCTTGCTTTTGATGTGGATACAATCCAGTCTTGATAAGGTTCGATGGCTCACGGGCTGGCAACGCTTCAGAGCTGGTGACGACCGTGTCAAAGACATCGTCTACATCCTGGCGAATCTCATCGACACTGCGGACCACGTAGTTGCTCATGGTAGGGTACTGAGAAGGCATCTGAAAACCATGCTGTGAAACCTGCGTCTTCTGAAAGCCATCTTTGGTTTGCGGGTTGTAGTAGTCATGACGCGCGAGCTCAAACACGGGGGCCTCGAGAATGAGGCCTTTGCTCTTGAGAAACTTGCCGAGGTTATCGGCCATTCGGCGTGGACAGTACAGCTGCAGCGTCATAGTAATCAGGGCAGACGACTGGCTGCCGGGCGGGCCTTCACCTGGTTGCTTTCGACGCGGTTCTGTCCAAGCCAGCCACTTGAGGCCGTTCGTATTGGCGCTGTCGATCAAAGGAGTAAGTCCTTGTGCTGTCTTCATGTCGACCCGACCAAACTCTTTGCCCATGCCGTCCAGAACCATGATGATTTGGTTGCCCTTGTTGCCGCCACCCCTGCGGAAACTGACCTTGATTCGGCTTTGACCGCCGTGGTTGCCAGTGAACTTCTTGGGATCAGGAAAAGGCACGAGGTGAGCTTGAATGTAAGTCTGCTTGACCTTGCCGATGCAGACGTCGTCGTCTCCATTGTCGCGAACGACCTGGACTTCCTCATCGTCGTCACCTGGACATGTTAGCCATACTTGTGTGTTTGTTGGGCGCAGCTCTTACTCATGGTTAGGTCAATGGGCGGCCTTTGCGGAGGCGGGTGTGCAGCAGGGCTGTTTTGATTTTGCAGATCAAGCGCGCTTCCGGCAGCAAAGGTCGGTCTGCTTTGAGGCTTCCGTTGTGGGTCTTCGGTCTTGACTCGCTTTGCAGGCGCCGCCGTGCGCTCTTGAACGTTGTGCAAGCGTTCGACAAGTGAGACTTGGCCGCCGTTGCTGGCTTCGGTGCGGCCGCGGTCAGTGTCTGCACCAGATGAGGCGGGCCGCTTAGGATTTGCACTCTTTGGATTCAGCAGGGCTCGAGGGTCAAACTGCGACAGCTGAGGTACAGGCGATCCATTGTTGTTGTGGTGGTGATGCTGAGTTTCGCCTGGCACGTGCGCAGTTAGCTCGGCGTGAACGAGCATGGAGGATTGGTCTAGTGAAGGCTGGTGGAGGGAAAACATGTCATGCATACTAGGGCTGGAAGTGTCGAATAGACATGTCTCAGGCTCGTGCATGGCAAGCGGGGAGATTGACGTTGTATCCAAAGACGCGGCGTCTGCCATGTCCATGCCCAGACCTGATGCTGCCATGTTGTAAAGAGTGGCTGAGAATATGGGATGCTGGACTTTTCAAAGCAAACAAGAAGGGATGGTGAGAGACGAGAGAAAAGAAGTGGATCAAGAAGCAGACAAGAGAGGAAGAAGTAGAAGAAGAAGAAGAAGAAGAAGAAAAGTAGAGAAATATACCTGTCCTCCGCACCCCTCTGGGGTCAAGTAATAGAGCAGGCTTCATGCTGCCTAGGAGACTGTCGCGGGCAAACGTCGAGTCGTCTCTTTTACCTGCGAGTTTTCTTTTCTTTTCTTTTTCCTTGCTCACTTGTGAGAATCCTCCCAGTTCTTCCCGCGGCGCCGTGATGCTATCCGGCGCAGCGCATCTGATGCCAAGGCCGTGATATGGGCTTCGCGTCGACACGTGGGAAAGGCAGGACAGAAAAGAAAAACGGCCGTGGGGTCACACACACACGGCGGGGGCGTCTCTCTGGCAGGCTCTGATGGCTCTCTGATGGAATGCAGCTGGTCCTGGGCTCGTGGTGGCCGCGGGCGGGATGGCGTAATGCTGATTACTCGGGCGTGCTCCAGTGTGGCCCGGATAAGTAAGTCAGTAAATAAAGGCCAGTGCGGGCGGTGTACAGCAAGTAGAGGACCGGTCGCGGCGAGAGTGGCGGGTTGCGCGAGGCGGCAAGCAGAGTGTCGTCGCAGGGCCGGGCAAGGCAGAGGCAGAGCAGAGACAGGACGGCGTGGGTGAATGATGTGCGTCCGACTGTGGGCTGTTGCCTTTCATGGTCGCCTGTACGGACGTCTTTGGCCTGTGGTGTGGCTGGAAGCGGCCTAGCTCGAGTGCGGTCGGGTATGTCAGATGACCCATCGATTCTTCCGCCTCGTGTGGGTGTGGTGGGCGTGCCTTGCCTGCACACACACTCACACTCACACACACACACACACATACACCCACATCCACGCCGGAACCGAGACGCTGCATGTGTTCGCAGCGCCGTGCCAACGACATCGGATATGCCCCTAATGCACGCTATCCTCCTGCCAGCCTGCGCCGTGTCGTCGACACCAAGAGCCACGACGGCCTGCCGCCTTGGCATCCTCGCCGAATATGCTTTGCTAGCTGTGATGCCTGCAACGCCATGACTGCTCCAGCTGACAGCCCGCACCGCACCACCACCGCTGCCACACTAACCCCACCGTCTTATTGAATTCAAGAGTCCCAACAATGTCCCACAGCCCCCTCCCCCGTTGCTCCTATCCGACGCGCGTTCAACAATGCCACACTGCTGCACCCACTCTCTTGTGCCGCTCACCATCGTCACATGGCCGCCAGACGGGTCCGGGGATGTCACCGAGGAAGCGCCGCCAGATGCCCTCGCTGAGCAACATGCAATTCACCTCATGGGCAATCACGCCTCCCACTCTGCCGCTCAAATGACCCCTGCGCGTGGGGGACGTGCAAGGCACAACTGTGCAACCGTCCTTTTAGCATTGTTACATGCCCGTCTGTACAACAGCAAAACGCCGCCCATGCAACCAGCCCGCCCGTCTATGCCCATGCCAGCGCCATGATATCCTACCCTCACCATGCAAACAATCGTTGCTCTCATAATGCATGTCCTGGCCGACAATCCAGCCCCCGCTCAACACCACGTAAAGACCGGATTGCGCCCCTTGACCATCTCCAGCCGCTCCACAATCACCTTTTTGCGGTTCCCCTCCATGTCCTCGTTGGCCGCATACCCCAGATCGCCTTCGTCGTCAAACCCGTAATCATCAATGTCTCGCCCCTGCGTTAGCGAAAACCGCCGGTGGTGGCGTGCATCGCGAGCATGCCGACGAGGCGCCTCGTAGCTCATCCGCGAGTGTTGCACTGGCCGCCCATTGCCATGTCTATCCACGTTCCGCGAGCCCGAGTATACATCGCTCCTGGTGCCCGGCGATTCGGCGCGGCCATCGGTCTGGCGTACGTCGAGCGACGACGCGCCGCGCGCCAGGTTGAAGCGGTTGCCCGATGCATTTTCTAGCGGAGGCGAGTTCATGAGAAGGTCTGGCTGCGGCTTCTGTGGTGGCGTCGAGATGGCCGTGATATCCATCTCCTCCTGCTCTTCTTCTAGTCTGGGAGACCTGCCTCGCTGCCGCTTCCGCATTTCCGCAGATGGCGCCCTCAGTGGAACGGCAATCGGTATCTCCACAATGTCATCCCACACGCATACCCGCGCTCGTCGTGTGAGCTCAAGAGGCCCCAGGTCCGGTGTCTTGAGTGTTTCCACCACGTTCCAGGCTTGTCCCTTCATAACGGCAATCTGCTTGGCATACATGCGCTCCTTGAAGTCGGCGTCCTGCGAGAAGCACTTGCGGAGGGCCGATTGGGTATCGCTCCACCATTGCTTCGAGGTGAGGAGAGGAAGAAAGTGGCGACGCGTGGCTTCGGAGAAGGGTTGTCCAATGAGGGACACGGGGAGAAACAGCCAGCCAAATGGATAGCTGCGCCACTAGGCCGGTGTCAGTGTGCTGTCGCCCAGCAATCAGAAATGGTACTTACGGCATCTGGGTGCTTCCATGGCCAAGATAGAGAATTGTCTATTGCGCCGATGACCGCCCTAGGCGTCGACCCGCTTTGCTGGGGAGTGTTGGACCGGCTAGCCGCACGCATCGGCTCTCGTCGTCCGTACGGGTCCAATGCCTCCATGGAATGCCTGGTGTAGGCGCTTGGCTGGTGGTCCTGGGCATCCACGTCTTCCTCGAGCTTGGGGGGCTCCGCCACAATCGTCGCTTGCTGTGTCTTGTGGTCGATCTTGATCATCCAGTTGTCCAGCCCTCTGTCCGTGTTCCGCATAATGTAGTCTAGGATGACCAGCTTCTCCAGTTGCTCTCTGAACGACTGTTGCAGTGCTGGTGTCCAGAAGCCTCTCCGTTGGCTGTGCGGATCCATCATGCTCGCTTGTTCCTCGTCATCCTCGCCGTCGGACTGCGCTCCGCTTGGTCTGCAGTCCTCTGCCCACCTCCGCTTCTTCTTGCGCGCCGCTCTGTCCCCGTTGTATCCCGTCGCGTGCTGGTCCGGCCAGGGGTTCTCTTTTAGGAAGATGTTAGCATCCTTGAAGCCTTTCAAAAACACCTGGAAACTACCGAGCTTCTCGGGAAACGGCTTTCTTTTCCGGTAATAGGCCCGCCTGTCCCAGAAATCGTAGTGGAAGGATTTGGACGAGAGGCCCACAATGTCGGTGTAGGGCACGAGGTTGGTGCGCAGCTGGGTGTCGAGGACGTATGCGGCGGCTTCGGAGACGTAGCTGAGGTTGGGGATGAGACAGGCGCGGCCAAAGAAGAAGGGAAACAGGTTGCGATGTATCCACTTTGTCCACTTTGGATTCCGCGACGCGTACGGCTCCTCGTCCTTTGGCTTGAAGACGCCCACCACCTTTCCCTGCGGGTTGCGTGCAAAGTAGCTGCCTGAGCTGCCCTGTGTGATGAGCTTGGGATGCACCTCCATCTCAATGGCCGTGCGGACGCTTTCTACAATGTCGTCGAACTCGAGCTTCGTCAGGCGGTCCGACGGGACGTCGTAGTCGAACGTGAGCGACTCGGCCGTGGCGGGGCGCACCCAATCGGGGGCTTGGAAGACCGAGTGGTGTATCTCGAGCGGCTCGTCTTCAGCCGCATCCTGGCCCTTTTTGATCTTGAACTTTTGCGCAATCTCCTCGGCCCACCGCTCGAAGCGGGCGTTGATGGCCTTGATGTCGACGCCCGAGTTGGAGCGCGGGCGTCGTGCAAAGGGCGAGCTTTTGAGGTTGGGCGAATTCTGGCTGGATCCGTTGATACGCATGCCCGAGGTCCGCTGGGGCTGTATAGGGGCAAACTGCGCGTTGGCCAGGGAGCTCTGGTGGTAGTCGCCCTCCAACTCGCTGCCAGAGTCGTCCTCTTCTTCGGCTTGGGCGATGCGGGCATAGCCCGACGTCGGCGGTCGTTTGGCCTTTGGCATTGCGAGGCTGCACACGCGAGACGGTTCCGGGGGCTCTCGTGGCTCTGCTGTCGCCTGGCGGGTGCCGGCAATGGTGATGGAATGACGATGCAACTGTTGCATGGGGTCGCCGGCGCTAGCGTCCGCCGCGCGCTAGCTTGCATCCACTGTGGAGCCTCACATGCAAGGTATTCGGAGCTCCCCCAGCCATCGCCTCGACTTGTAGATTTATGGAATGCACCGTGGGGTATAATGCTCTATTCTCCACATCCTCCTCCTGCTCCTCTAGAAACTGTCGTCCAGATCCACCTGCCGCCGCACCACGCTCGGGCTGTCTTCGTCCATGCCTCCCGTTGTGTCCGTGATGTCGCCTCCTGCAGTCATCAAGAGGTCGTCTACAATGCGCTTGCTGGCTTCGCGGGCTGTGCGATTGTCAGTCGATTGTACTTGGTCACAGTGGCCTTGCACATACCGGGCGTTTGCAGAAGCTTGCTCTGGGGAATGTGGAACTGGATCGTCTTGGGCGGACTGAAGATTTCAATCTCGTCCTCTTCCTCGTCGCTGTCGTAAAAGATGGTGCCCCCAGTCCTTGGGATGCTCATGGGATGTTTGCCTTTTGCGGGTGTCTGGACGCTTACACCGGGCGTCCGCGGCGTCTTCATGGGCGAGAAGATGTCAGCACGCAGTTGCGGTGCGGGAGACGAGGGCGGCGACGAGTCTTCGGTCCATGCTGGAAATCTGGAGGTGACGCTCCGGGGCGTGGGTGCGCCACGCTGCGCAGTGCGGGGCGTGAAAGCACCTGTTGGCTTGTACTTGCGCGGACTGATGATGGGCGTGGCCTGCACACGGTATGTCTTGTCAAGCACGCGATGCAGCAGCGGGTCCTGGTTCGTGTACGACTGCTGCTTTGTCGCCGTGGGCTGCATAAAGGGCGAAGAGTCGAAACCGCTCATATCGGGCAGCGCTTGGCCCTTGCCCGGAGTACTTGGGTCCAGCCTGGGCGTCTTTGTGTCGCCCAAGTTGGGCTGGAATTCAGACCTGAGTGCCTCGTAGGGCGACGACAGGCCGGCAAACTGCGGCTCTTCCTCGCCGTCGCTCATGTCGCCTTCCATCTGCATCGTCTTCTTGTCCGAAAGGGGGACGCGTGGTGTGCTGTGACCCAGTGAAGGCGAGTCAAAGGCAATGGTGGACTCGGGCTCGTCGTCTTGCGCAGACCTTGGCCGCGGCGGCGTGGTTGTTGCCCCCGTCATCGTCTCTTCGTCTTCGACCGTCTCGTCTTCATACGTGTGCGATTGCTCTGTTTCGTCGTGCACAGCCGATTCATCCTGGTCGGGCGCCTCGTACCCAGAAAGCGAGACGTTGGCGCTGGCCTCAAAGAACTGCTTCCAGAACTTGGAGCCCTCCCACACGGCTTCCGAGTGCTTCCCATACTGCTCGACAATGGGCAGGATGTCGGATGTGACGATGCGATGCGCGCGGCTGAAGTTCTGGTCGATTTCTGCCCTCGTCAGTCGCGTTGGCGGGGCATGCGAGGCCTTGTTTACCTTGCAGCGTCAGGGTAATGGACTGCTCCAGCTTTTCCAATTCCTCGGTGAGCGACAGATTGCGCTGCGGCGCCATGCTTTGGCGCGACATGGTGCCGTCGGTATTGTGGCTGCCTGTGCCAGTACGGGGGTGTTGATGCTTTGCGCTGCCCACGACAAAGGGACAAGACAAGACTGGCATGGCAGACGCTGGCTTGGCACCCCCGAAGTTCCCCGCACCAGCTCCTTCACTCACCACCTCTCTAGCTCCATACACAAACACATACGTGCATTGCTGCGCCACCCAGCGTCTGCCCGGGGAGAGCAAGCGACTGTCCAGGGCCCGATTGAGCGTGCGGAACCGTGCCGTTGGTCTCGTGAGCTTCCCACTGTATGCCTGCGGACGTCATTTCCCGGGCCATTTACACCCGATGAGGACGGTTGGCTGTCCATGATGCGGGCGACGGGACGCCGCAAGAGGGGTTCATATGGACATGCACCACCCAACCTCCGCATGCCCGGATAGCCCGTATTGGCATTTCCGGGTTGCAGGTGCGGAGATGGTGCTGAATCAGACGTTGACGCAAGCCATTTGAATGCTGCGTGTAACAGCCCGCACGCATTCATATATCTACTCATCTTGCCATCGGCTTCTCATAACAGAGCTATTCATCATGTCCTTTCGTCTACCAGTCAAGATTCTCTCGTATGCTGCACGAAATCCTACAAGTCTTATGCGGATCTCTGGTCAAGCCCGTCCATGGATACGTAACTATGCCATCACATCCAACGAGAAGAGAACAGCCATTGTAACGGGCTCTGCACGTGGAATGTGAGCCTACTCTTCCACAGTGTCCGTCGACCCGGCTGACTTCAACAGCGGCAAAGCCATTGCTCTCAGACTAGCCAATGACGGATACGACGTGTGTATCAATGACATTGCAGCCAACAAATCCGAAGCCGACAAGGTTGCCCAAGAAATCCAGAATATAGGCCGCAAGTCTTTTGCATACACAGCCGATGTATCCAATATGGCCGAGGTACAAGGCTTGGTGCAAGCATCAGTGTCCGAACTGGGTCCACTCAACACAATGGTGGCAAATGCCGGTATCGCCCAAGTAAAAGCCTTGCTTGACCTGACCGAGCAAGATCTCAAGCGCATGTTTGAAGTAAACGGTGCGTTCCAAAAAGACATCCCCCGTTCCATGCTAAACAGTCTCAGTATACGGTGTATACAACTGCTACACCACAGCTGCCAAACAAATGATCTCCCAAGGAACCGGCGGTAAACTCCTCGGTGCAGCCTCCATCGTAGCCTTCAAACCCTTTGCTCTTCTCTCCCACTACAGCGCCTCCAAATTCGCTGTCCGTGGTCTCACCCAAGCTTTTGCCATGGAAATGGCCGAGCACAAAATCACCGTGAATGCGTATGCCCCTGGCATCGTCGGCACCGCCATGTGGGACTTGATCGATGAGAAGTTGGGGGAGAAGACTGGAGCGAAGAAAGGCGACACGATCAAAAAGTATACAAACGAGTTGATAGCCCTGGGTAGGACAAGTGTGCCCGAGGATGTTAGTAGTACCGTGAGTTTTCTGTGTAGCAAGGACAGCGATTATATGACGGGGCAGACAATCGTCATTGATGGGGGTATCATCTTTACATAGGCTGTCAACACGGCAATGGTACAACTTAGTGTTGTTGCGGTGCCGTTGTTGCTAGACTACTCTCTTTCCGGATTCATGACAAAGCCAGTTCTTCAAATCTCTCCTAAAATTCTATATAGCTTTCTAACAACGAACATATATCATCACTCACTACATCAGATGAATTGTCAATTAGATGTCGGTCAGTGAAGCCACGTGCAAGGTGTGTTGGTGTAGTTGTCATGACAGCTAAGCAGTATCTATGCGATGATTGTACTATGCTGGCATTGCAAACATCAAACACCAAACAACTTCATCTCCGTTGCAGAACAGTCAGTCACTACATCCATGTCAGCATGCATAATTCTATATTATTGTCAAGATTTCAATACTATACCTACAAGTATTGACTCGATATTCTTATTGCGTAAAAATATATTATAATATTCTTTCTTAAACATAACGACCTATCAATTTCATAACTAAACAAAACAAAATGCAATACGCAGTTCATTGCTTAGGCGCTTGGCGAGCAGAGCCTTAGCGTTCCCCAACATGGGCCCTTATCTAGGGCACATATGTACCAGTTATTTATAAAGGCAATCGATCTACTAGACCTGCCGAATATCCTACTAGATATATACCATCTTCTTTGTTAGATATTCAGGAACTCATAACTCAACATGAGCGATCGATTTACTATACCTAACTAATGACTACTTAGTTTAGAAGGCACTAGTGTATATAACTAGAAATATAGTCCTCTGGCTAGACATTGTGCATACTATACAATAAAAACATACTATAGCTAATAAGAGCCTTCCAACACATTATCTTAGAATCATCAAGGGAATCATCCCTCTCACCCTAACGCCTCTTCTCAGCCCCGTCTTCGGCGACACATTGTTTTGTTCCGATTCATTCAACCATGGCGATTCTAGTTGTGATGGCTGACTTGGTAGGGTTTGTGTAACTAACTCTACATAATAACGTCTTACCTTTCAAGGTTACGACTCTGGCGATACACTATAGATATCTGGGCTTATCTAGTATATCTGTATATAGTGCTACAGATTGCCAAGAGACGGTTATAAAATGCGTTACGGCGGCGATTTTAATGAATTTGGTACACACAATTGCGTTACGGGTGGAAATGCTCCAGCTGATGGTTTGTTACTGTACTGTGTGCATTGATCCAAGCCACGGGGTGCATGCAATTATCAGGGATGTCAGAATGTATCATGTTACTATCATGCTAGACTTGGAGAGGAGAGCGTTCCTCGTCTACCATTCCGGTATCCTTGGGGACGGAGAGGCTGGTAGTCATGTTCATAGGGTGCATAGCTTCCATCTGAGCCTTGTAAGAGTAACTATTACCATAAGAATTTGTCTCGGTTCGAGCCTTACCGATAACGCACTTATCTTACGCGCAAGTTGCCCACTTTTGCCAATCTCTCCCACCAAAACACGTATTGCTTCACCCCAACGTTATAACAACAACAGCAGCAACACTTGAAGCCTTCTTCTAACCCTTAGATTCAGCTCGCCCTTGAGGTATCAAACAAGACGCAATACCCCCCAGGGCGACGCGCTGTAATTATCTACAGCGTTAAGCAGAAGTCACTAAGTCAGTACACGCACTAGACGACCTGAACGCCTAGATTGTACGCCAAACTCAAGTAAATCAAGCTAAGCTTGAGGCGTATAAGTATCCAAAAGTGAAATAGTATTTTTTTTGCTTCGGGACAAGGCTACCAGGTGTACCAAAGAAACCTATTTTGCTGGAGAAACGGATGTACTACATACAACTGGTTGTATATGTGTAAGTACAGTTTGGGATAAATACACCCAGTCGCCTTTTCCATCTGCATTATTATCTCAGAAAAGACTACTCGATTAAGTAATTCAGGGGCATACATTCATCTTCTTGGCTAGTAAAGGAAAAAAAAACGAACAATAAGTATATGAGGTTTTTCTTACCGGCTGATACATTTCTCTCTCACTCTCTGATTTCTACTCCCCACTTTTGCAGCCTTGGACTGGAACGCTTGCTGTTTGTTTTTCCTTTGGATTATGATATTCCGATTGACCCTATCTTCGCTATGTGATGAAATGCTCCCTTTTCCACACTGGGTTCTGAAATAAAGCTGGATTATATAGCGCCGTATCACCAATCAATACGAGTGCGACACAAGGTCTTAGCTTCTGGGTTGGAAGAAAAGAAAAATTAAAGCACTAAATGACTGATTATGGACCCGGACAACAAAGACTAATGCACAGCATATTATCATTTCTATGGTTTCTTACTAGTTCTATATAGTTTCTAGCCGAGTAAAACTAACTTAGCATGTGCATACCCTCTGATACCTATTTCCCAGTATAAGCGTAGCCTTTTAGACCTTCTTGCCTCTGTCATCGTTAAGCAGAGAATTCTTCTTAGGGTAGTTACTTCTCTGAAAACCCAAGCATCTACCGCTCTACAGCATACAGCCGCCCCATAGTCTTCTTCGTCGTCGTCAGCGGCACTGCGCCTACGACGTTAACTCACTGCCCTACAGCCAACATGCATATAACCGTGATCTTGATTGTAATGATAGTACAGCACGAAAAAAAGAAGTCCTCAAAGCGTTTACACAGGTGTTCCATGCGAAGTGTTAGATTGAAACAGATGTGTTGGCGCTGAAACGCGTGTTGAAGGGAGGGTTATTGGTTGAGCGGTTTGGCGGGGGCGTAGGATGTACGTATGTATAAGTCGTTTGCGCTGGCACACGAGGAGAAGAGGTGGTATGGCGTTGGGTATGCTGGTAGTGTGTGTTTGTGCGTCTTGGTGTTTGAGGGTTGAGGGGAGTCGTTTGGTGGCAGGGGAGGGCATGGTGTGGTGGCTATATGAGGTTTTTCTCGTGCGTTGGTAGTGCTGGGGAGCGTTGGAGATGTGGTGTTTGGGTGTGGGGGTATATATCAACAGAGAGATGATTTAGTTCCTTCGCTCTCCAATACTACCTGTTGCGCTTTTCTTGGATTCCGAGCCGTGTTCCAAGGCAAGCCATCATGTTTTCAGGTCAACAATCAAGCGTGCCGTCGTACTATGTGCCCCAGCAGCCGAGACCGTACCAGTATCGATATTCACGGAGGAATTATTCTGGGGAGCCGTTATATCAAGGCTACGAGTGGCTGTATATGGCTGATAGGCTGATTCATGATATACGGATGTTGGCGCAGGATATGAAGAGTAGGAGGGAAGTGTGGCGCGAGGAAAGAGAGAAGCGGCAGAGTGCTGGGAAACAAGGTGCTGGCAATAGATAAATGATTTGGACATCATGACATGTAGTTTCCGTTGAATTTGGAGATGATTATTTGGCTATGAGTATGAGGTGAGGATAGTGTGGCTGTATGGACAGGACTGATTGGCTCTAGGTTTCCAATGGCGGTCTAGCAAGACAATGGGATGCGAGCTAACTAATGACTCATACCTCTGGCCTGGTATGCGGCGAGCAGACCTTCGATTCAGGTCTCGGCAGAGTTTGAATAAAGTTAGCAATATACTAAGCTTGGATTTCATCTTTTAACCGTCGTTCTATCATAATCGAAAACAATCATTCTCCACGGCAGATCCTTTGATCATGGCAAGACCTCTTGAACAAATCATCACCGCTCAGACTCAGTAGAGCCAGCAACAAGAGCCGAAAAGATTGTAAAGATATCCCCATGGTTCCCTCCCGCGATGACAAGGTGCCAACACCAGCTAATCAATCGACAATCAAACGATGACTGGAAGGATTCCCTTCTGTCACACGGCATGCCCCAAAACCAAATGCCTAGGACTTCCAAGATGTCTTGCCATGCCGACGAGCCGTTCATGGTGGCCACGCTCGGGTATAAGCCGGAAGCGGCTCGGCACCATGTCTTGGCGCTCAACGTAGACATGGCTGAGGCCCTGCAGAAAAAGGTGGTTTGGACTGACAAGCCAATGCCTGCAGAATGGACCCAGAAACTTGGAAATCCTGGGGTTGGTGGGGATGCTTCTCGGCGGTGGAGGCTGGGGGAGACTGGGTATATATAGCTGGCGAACATCCGCTGTTTGCCTGTCAGTACGATTATCACGATATCACCTCTATTGCGATGCAGTGGAGCTTTGTTTAATACATGAAGAATTCGGTTGTGTCGAGTCAAGATATGTGCTGGCTACGAGGAAGATGAGGGTGGTTGGAAAAAAGATGGTTATGCAAGACTTGTGTTAGTCAGCAGGAGGATAGTGAAAGGCGAGAAGTGGAGCGACTTCCCTATCGGGGCGAATGGCGTCATAACGCTGGCACAACGCGACCGCGGCCGACGCCAGATGCCCTCGAATACCACCGCCCTTCCATTTGCACAAGCAGCACTCATCGTGTTCCATCACTTTCATCTCGAGGGGCTTCGCTACTGGTGCCTGATTTCCGCGGCCGCTCGGATGAACGGCATCAAGCATCATACTTACCCGAACGGCTATAGGCGCCCTTATTCCCGAGTCTAACTATCATCTCCACGCATCCTGACACACCACATCACTCACACCACACGCCATGCTGCTCACCAAAGGCCCAAGGTATGGATTCTTTTCATTGACGTGAGCTGGCCGCATACACCAGGCCTCACGATTCTAATGCTGATGATGATTCAGCCGAATTGGGTCCCAACTAGATTACCCCAATGTCGCGGGTATCTCAAAGAAAAGCACGGAAAAGCTGCTCGACGAGGACGGGCTGCACACAGAATTCTAACTAAACACGATGATAACTACTAGGTAGTGTAGTAAAAGTCCGGTCGCTCGTCGCCCATCTCGGCAATCTCCTCCTCGGTCTTGCCCTGTACCCACTCGTCGCGCTTGCCCTCCTTCCTCAACTTGTTCTCGCGCTTCAGGGCGAGGTGCATGAAGAGAGTTCCGCCGAACAAGAACAAGGCCATGTATCCCAAGACGATGCCGTGTCCGGTGCGGTAATGCGGCTTCTCCTTGGGGTTGTAAATGTTGGACGACACAACACCGTTCATGTTACCCCAGCCAACAACCACGCCGACCATGACACCACGCTTAAGCGATCCTTCGACGTTGTTAGAGGCCCACGTCAAGGTATTGGAGACGGTTGGATAGATGCCCATGGCGCCGAGGAAGGTACCAGCATACTGGACATTCGGCTTGGTTGTGCCGAGTAGCATGGCGAAACCGACGCACCCAATGGCTGATACAACCAGATTACAGATTCCACGCTGCTTGGTCTTGTCGGCAATATATCCGATAATAACAGTCAAGGTAGCGGCAACGGCGTAGGGTGGTACGGACAAGAGCTGAGCCTTGGTACCCTTGTGACCCATACCGAGAAGGATGGTTGGGAGGAAGAGGGAGAAGCAGTACAGCGGGCAAAGGCAGCCCATGTAGATGACTGAGTATCCCCAGGTCTTCCAATCCTTGAGGGCTGCAATAACGTGGCGGCGATCGATACCGCCCACCTTGGCGCGAGACTGTCCATCCAGTTTGAGGCGTCGCATGGCGCGCAGCTTCTCGTCCGCGGTCAGGAAACTGGCAGTGTCGGGGAAATTGAACGTCATCCACCAGCAGAATATGCCAACAAGTACCGTCATGAGACCCTCGATGATGACTGTGTGTGTTAGCCAATGCCGCGCACTGGAGCAGGACAACAACTCACAAATCCATCGCCAGCCTTCATAACCAGCGACGCCATCCATTTCGGTAATGGCGGCAGCGAGGAGACCACCGAAAGATCCGGCAAGAGCGGCTGCGGAAAAGAAAAGAGCAGCACGGAAGCCAAGCTCCTGGCGCTTGTACCAACAACTATCTTGGGATTAGTCAGGTTGATCTCGGGCACGGACGTTGCGAACTCACGAGAGATAGTAGTTGACTCCGGGAAACAGACCAGCCTCAGCGATACCCAGGAAAAAGCGACTAGCCAACAGACCCGCCTTGTTGTGGACAACACCCATGAGAGTCATAATGGCACCCCAAGTCAGGATGATGACGGTGAAGAAAACACGAGGAGACCACTTCTTGATGGCAATGTTGGTCAGCGGCTCAAATCCGGCATAGGAAATGAAGAAGATTGTCAAGGCCAGGTTGTAATCGCGGCCTCCCATTTTTAGGTCCCTTTCGATGTTGGCGGCACGGGCGTTTCCGATGTTGGTGCGGTCTAGGAAGGAGAGGAGATACAGCAGCGACAGCCATGGAATCAGCCACTTGTCCATCTTCCGTACCAGGGCTTTGTCCTAGCATGGGTTAATCCTAGCCTTGGCCAGCAGCGTGTAGGGGCACATACAAGTTTGGCACGCTCTTCATCGGTCTTGCCAATGTCTGGATCTGGGTACTCGTCGAGGTCGGCCGGAGCACTGCCCTGGGAGCTGTTGACATCGTTGGAGTAGACGGCCTGGCCTTTCTCATCGGCGTACAGGTCCCGGCCCTTTTCGTCAGCCACAAGGGCGTTGTGGTGGTTGATGGACTCTGGAGCGTCAGCCATTGTGCCTTTTCTCAGCGGGAGAGGAAGACAAGAGTCTGAAGGGAGCTCACGCACAAGAGGGCAGCCAAGGGTCTATATGTACACGGGCTCGGACTTGCCCTGTGTGTGTGACGCGGAAACGAGACAGGGCTTGGCCAGATGGAGGCGACTGGGGTTGTCTAGTGCCCCGGGACCCCATGGGGCGGTTGGATGGGACATGAGGGTGGATCTCACAGCTTCGTCTGATGGTGGCGGTGGGCCAGGAAGCCCAAGAAGGAATGGGGCGATGATCTCGACGCACGTCTGCTTGGCGCTAGCGGCTGCGGTGCGACGATGTGTGTGCCGTTATCAAGTGCGGCATGCTGCGAGCAGGCGGCGCGCTGGCTGGCGTTCAGAGCCAGAGCGGCGGACGGCATGCTGGTGAGATCAGACATCGAGGGCGCAAATCGACACAAAGCGCGGGGCCTTTGATTGGGTTTCAGCCTCGCAGGTGCGCTCCCTTGTGCAAGGAGCGCGGACGGATAGCTGGGCGGCGCCATGCCAAAGCAATTATCCCACGGCCACGACCATGTCGGCGTTTTAGGCAGACCCCTCGCGGTCGCGGGCCAAGAACATGTATTGGGCGTTGGCTGCGTTGGAGAACGGACAGGCCTGGTGCCAAACGCATTTTCTAGGCGCCATCGACGCGGCCATTCAAGGCCGGTGAAGGCGCCACCCAAGCCCTTGGCACAACGCCCGCGAGCAGACGAGGCGCTCATACGGCAGCGCCGGCAGCACACGGTCGTTCAGCCGGCAGGGCGAGGCTTTGGCAAAGCATGCGCGCCGCAACGGCGACAGCGCCGTGCTGGAGAGCGGCGCATTGCACGAGACGTCGACGGCGCGGCCATGGTGTTTCTACCTGGCGGGTGGAAGCTGTCGTCTAATCTGGGGTCGGCGCGGAGGGGCTTGGCACAGCTAGCGCGGCCTTGGCGAGGGCGCGCCCCCGCACCCCAGGCCTCAACTCCCGCTGGCCGTTACCGGGATAATTCACGCCTACAGCTGACGGGGCAGCAGGACAGGCCGGGTAAATGGAGCAGCGGCCTTGCGCAATTCGATGCGGCCTTCGGATGTCGGTATGCCCAGCGGGACAATGGAAGCTACTCGCACTTGCGCGCAAACCACGGCGCCTGAACCTGGGCCGTGGCATCGGAGCAGGCGACATGTGGCCACTGCAGCGCACAACACCAAGCCCTGGGCTCCCCGCATACGGCCCTGGGCTGCGCTTTGCCGCCGCTCAAGACGTGTCGATGCAATTGTAAGCACGGCGGGCAGTGCCTTGCCGGCCCACCATGTGCGTGTCGCGTGGCCACGGCAGAGTCTGGACATCATCACCAAGCATCGGCTACCGACCCACACGCGTCTGCCAACCCAACCCACACGCCCCGGATGCTATCGTATCCATTGATGACTTGCTGCGCCGTCATCCACGGTCCAGAGGCTACCGCTGCACGCCTGGATGCAGTCCAAACGCATTGGCCAATGGCCGCCTACACACGAGAACCCTTGCTGCATGTCGCAGCGTGCAGAGTGTTACTTAGCAGGCGGGACGTGCGTCTGCTTCTGTTTGGTGTCTGCATGTACAAGGAGATGAGCAGCTACGCCGCAATAACGCACGATATTAATAGGGCACACAGACACCTCAACAGGCACAGCTGTGCACCAACCGAAGCACGAGGTAGGGAGCCTATGCACGCCTGGATTTCTTTTTTTGTTTCGCACATTGCTTCCACATTCAGCCTTCTCGCTGCCTTGCATGTGCGTCCAATTCTCCCGCGCCTACTGAGACGTATATATTCAAGCGCACACATCCAGCCGCGCTACAGACGGGTCGTGGTCGCTAACCTGCGAATTGAAATCCGGCCACGTATTGACGTGGACGTGCTCAAACTTCGCCCTGCTCTTCTTAGCCAGCGCAGGCGATACAAACATGTGGTCGAGCTCTTGCGCATTCATGTCGAACAGATAGGTATACCGCTCAACCTCGTCGGTTCGCACCACGGCATCCAGGTCCTTGAGGCCCGAAATATCGGCATACTCGCGCAGGGGCTGCACAAAGGCAAACTCATTAAAGTCGCCTGCCGTCACGATGCGGGCGTTCTGGTCCTGGGAAAGGATAGCCTATTTTCTCTCGTCAGCGTCGCTCTGGTGACTGCATACACTTTGGCCTAGGGCATCAACCTGTGCGAGGGTGACACTGTCGGTGGCACAGGCGCAACAGAACAAAGACATGAGAAACATGCTGCAGCCACCCTCACCATCTACTCCCGTTCCTCGCATACACGCGCGAATAAATTAGCACGTACCTTGACAAAATTGGCCGTTACACGGGATTGCTCCAGACGGTCATCTAGATGGTCGAGTCAGCGCCAATGGTTAGAGTCGTCTTATTCTCGATAAGCTTACCAACCCCCCCGTTGACAGGTGGCCGTGCATCGCCATGGAGACTGCTGCTTCCGCCCTTTGATCCAAAGTGTACGTTTACCGTGAAGAACACATTGGCCTTCTTTGCATCCGCCTTGCCAACTACTTCCCACTGCGCCACCAGCGGCTTCCGGCTATTTCTCCACGCCGCGTTGGCAGGCTTGATACGACCAGGGTTGTATTTGAGTGTAGGCCCAGCAAGCACCTCTGTCGCATCGAGCGAGCCGCCGGGGTTCGGCTTGTACAAGCGCAGAGTATCGGCCTTGTACAGGTACGCACTACGGATGTTGCCGCCGGGCTGCCCGCCGTCCTGATCGTCCACCGGCACAATGTCCGTGAAGGCATACGTGGGGCCTCCGGCTGCTGCGATGGCGGCACTCAGCGTCGTCAAGGTGAGGTTTGCGGAGACAACTGCATCAGGTTAGCTTCCAGTAGATAAGAGCCTTGGGCCAAGAAGCAAAACACGTGGGTTGTGAAAATGCGATAAAGTCATGTGCTACCTTAGACCGGATGCCGGCGGCATTCTGGTAATAGCAAAGACATGTTATAGTGCGAGGATTTTCGGCAACTTACCATCGTCATTGACAGGGCCGTTGTTATCCTGAATCTCTTGCACAAAAAGAATGTCCGGGCTGTTCAGGTAGTTGACAATGTGGTTGGCCAGATCCGGGTGATGTGTCGAGTTGGGCGCGAGATTCTCGACATTGTACGCGCCCATGGTGATGCCGTCGCATTTTCCACTCGACACGAGTTTGGAGCGAGGCGGCAGCGCAGGTGCCGGGCTCTTGGTCACCTTGATGGCGGTGGTGGGCAGGATGCGGTAGAAGCCGAAAGCGTAGCTAACGACGCCAGTGATTTCATCCACCGAGTCGCCCATCTTGGTGCCGGTGGGGTTCTTGGTTCCATCCAGCGGGCTCCCAATGACAATGGCCTCTGGATTTGCGTCCTTGTCCGTCATGGTCAATCCACCGCGGCCGTTGCGCCCGGAAACCTGCCAGTCGCCCGCCACCCAAGTGTCGCCGAACTGGTTCGGCTTGGTAAGCGCAGTCGGCTTCTTGACTGTGACCAGCTCGCCCACCAAGCTCTCCCAAAAGTCAAGGCCAAACTTCTTGGGCTGCAGCTCGGGATTCGCCACACTAATCTGGCTGACGTTGTTGGGCACAGCGAAGACGTCGCCGCCGTCCAGACTGCTGTACTGCTCCGTTGGCGGGCTCAGCGTATCCTGTCCGATGACCAGCGCCCGCACCTGCGCTCCGGAACCCAGCTTCTTCTCCAGCACCGGCGCCGACAGCTCCGTCAAAGGAATGTAGTCTTTGTTGGACCGGAACTCGACCACCTTGCCTCCTACAACAATGGTATCGCCCACGGTCAGATTGGCGCCAAATGTCCGTCCAAACACGTATAACGACTCTGAGGTCCGCTCGTCGCTGTCGGGTGTTGTCGACCGCAGCCAGAGGCCATCGGGCCCTTTTGCTGTGATGATGCCAGTCACGTTCGATACTGTCTGGTCTTTGTACGGCGACAGGAACTTTGCGCCGTTGATTTGCGCAATCGTGAGCGCACTGCATGTAGCGACTGACGCTGAAATAGCCAGTAGGCGCGTCAATGCCATGATGGGCAATTGAAAGAATGAGACGACAGAACGAGAGAAAGAACAAGCAGCCAAATCCAAAGCGACAGACGACAAGGAATGAAAGTCTACTCCCTCTCTTTTTCTCCCTTGACTAAACCCAGCGCCCACCAGCTTCCTTTAAGTATTCATTTCCCCTACACTCCGTCCTTCCTCTTCCAAGCATCGCCGCCGCCCGCCAATCCCACTATGTACCACTAGAACCAAGGCTCCGAAGTTCGTCGTACTAGACTAGGTACCGAGGCGGCCAAACCGACAAGAAACCCCTACTTACTTGCCCTATCACACCGCGTCCCCCGGACACGCCGTCAACCGCACCGCCACAGCGACAAGGAAAGAAACCTCGTCCCCCATCCGTTCAGCCGTTTGCTCACCCTGCCATTCACCCGTTTTGCTTTCCAACATGCGCTGTGTGCCGTGGATACTCGCGTCTTGCAGACAGCCACATCTGCGGCGTGCGGCGTAACTCGCCCGCTGATTCGCCGCAAACCCTGGCTTGCCCGGCCCGACGGCCTAGCTGCTTTGGGAAGGTGCGAAGGCCTGCACGTGCGGTTTCGCATGCGATGCAATGCAGTGGCTGACATGATTGGTGGCGCGTGAAGGGACTGGAATATCTATGTATGCATATGTATGTTCAGCTGGGAATTGGTGAGTATCCTCTTCTTTGCTGGCAACCAACCCCTGCGAATGTTTTCTTTTCTTTTCTTTTTCCCCTGTTCCGTCAAGATTCCTATGCCACTGATAGCGGAAATCCAGCCGAATTCCCATAACTCCGTTCGTATCCCATCGCCTGTGTTTCCGCTTGGCCTTTCTTACGTCTTTATTCGTGATGAACTTGTATCTTTCTTTTAATCCCTCTTAGTATCCCTTGCTTTATTTCTTGCGTCCCCGCCACCTGCGTTTCCTTATCTCTTTCCCCCCTTTTTTTCTTCCTTTTCCTTTTCTTTTTCGTCCTTTTTCTTTCCTGCCTTTACTTACTTACCCAACATATCGCGATAATGCATCCGTCGCAAACGCACGATCGACCAGCCGATAGACGATGGAAAGAAGAACCTTGGTACGTGTACCCGATTGTTGATACCGGTGCAGATCAACAATCCTGGAAAAAGAAATACACTTGGCAAGCATTGCACGCACTTGGTACGTGGAAGAAGAAAGGAAATGGAAATGGAAAAAAAGGGGGGGGGGGGGTTGAGATGATTTGCACCACTCACTTATCTTTCTTGATCTTGATCTTCTTCTTCTTCTTCGTCTGTGTATGTGTGTGCTTTTGGGTGCAACTTTTTGTTGATTTCGCGTTAGGAGAATGGACGTGTGTAAGGTTTCTGTTGTAGGATTTATTTTAGAGGGCTTTGGGGGGAAAAGGTAGGGGTGGGAGTGGAGTGTATAAGGTATTTTGAGGTTTTGGAGGGTAGCGGATTGTGTAGGTTGGAAGGGGGATGGAGTGTAGAGGGAGTTATGTAGTAGAAAATATATATGTATGTATATATGTATGTAGGTTAGGCGGATTTAGAGATGGAATAGAAGATAGGATAGGAGACTTATGATAGAAATGTAGAGAGGAAAAGCTGTTCCAAATGAAGCTTTTGTGTCGAGACATGGGTAACGTTGTGGAACGACGTATCGGAGGAATCATATTTACAACGCACGTCTGCATCTATTCTGTAAGGGTGTGAATTGTAGTATTGGGATATCTGCTTAGTGGATGGAGTAATATTAAACTCATCAGTGCTCTCTTAGGCGGGAGCACGAGAGCCTCCCTCATCCGCTCGTATAGGACTCGGTTTCTTGGAGTGTCGTAATTGATTTAATTAACTACTACATATTCATACCTATCTAACTATCTACCCCAAAGGCTAGAAAGTGCGACTTGCTCAGCACAAGGTTCGCCGACGACGCTATGTAGTTGCGGGATACCTGGGTATTACATATCAGCTTACCCAAGGAACATGCAATTACTAAAGAGCTTTTGCATTTAGCATGATTATCCTTCTCTCGTGTTTCCTTTTCAATGTATAACTTCCCTCCACTTCCTCCTACTCTGCTTCACACGAGCACTTGTAAAAGAGTCACTACCTATACTCTCTTTTCTACCTATTCTAGCATGCCTTGAACACACTGTATACAGCTTTCTCTCTTTCTATATCCTTTCTCCCTATTACATCTATGTCGTCTCTAAACCGCATAGTTACCACTATAATTACAACTACATACTTTTTCTCTTCTCTCTCTTCTCTCTCTTCTCTCTCTTCTCTCTCTTCTCCCACAAATTTCAACTACTCGACTCCACCTCACTAAACACCACACCACCCCAATACCCGCTATCCCTTCCCTTCTCCCAACCAAAAGCGATTAAACAGGGAAACATATCCCTCGCATCACTCCATCCCTGATTCTTGCCAGCAAACCCGCGTCCGCTATCCCTTCGTACGATGACACACCAAGTATACACGTACACAGCACCTCATCCAAACCAAGCACGTATGTTGCAACGACACTCTCAAAATAACTAGGTAGCTTCTTTTCTAGTGTGTACATTTCTATTCCCCTTCCTCTTCCTCTCGCTATTCTTACTACCAGTCACTTGTGTCAACAGCACAATACGCATTTCACCATGTACAATAGACACTGCAGCAATTAGCAGTAGATCCGCAGTACTGCTATGTGTATTATCCTTGTATCATCAACTACTCAGACATGAATTTCATATACTGCACTACATTCCCATAGTGACACTATATTCAGCACTCAAGACAACGACCAAAAAAAATAACAATAATACCAGAATGAAGAATTAAACAGGTGGCGTCATACAAGTACTACGTAGTAAAAACGTGAAAGCAAGCGCGCAACCCTCCATCTTCCACCGCGTATACAGGGAGAAATTCAACGTGGATAAAAGCACTCATGCACTGAACAAAGCCAGAAAGAGTATTCAGGCTGTTTTTTTTGGTAGCTAATATCAATTATGTATAGATAATCAAGACGTGTATTTCAAACGAGTAGCGTCCATCCACTTGATGAATTCTTAGTTGCATGGATATAGATTAGATACATAGCTATCATATGTATACATAGAAAATCAGTAAATCCCCACACGAATAGCTGTGTGTGTGTGTTGTGCTTGTCTAATTCACTCCAACTCTAACCAATATGCATACTAATTTCAAATTGTCCAAGATATATCCAAATTCTCAAAGCCCTTTTTTTCCAAAAAAAAAACACTATGATTTTTTGTTTCCTCGTCGCTGATATGCACACCATGTAAAAGAAAAGACTTTTAGCGACAAGTTATGTAAATATTATCAAACTGTTTTTTTCTTCAGATTTTTTTTCCAAAAAAACAAACAAACAAACAAACACTAATCAGATTAAAGAGGAAAGAAGAGAGTAAGACAATGATTAACAATGCATTTTATTCTGTACAGTAGACGAGAAGTCTTTCTACGCACTACTTGGTACAACGCATAAAATACACATAAACCGCCAATCAAATTGAACCAAAAGCAAATTATGTTGATTCAGAAATGGAGATTAAAAAACAAAAAAGCATGCAACTCCACACACCACACACACCCACATGTTTCCCACTAGATGTACGTAAATCCAGACCCGTGCTATGATAATCCAAATAGATGAAAGCCAACGCAAGCTAATCCCTACTCTACCACCTTGACACGCCGTCTAAAATTAGCAATTTTTTATAGAAAAGAACAGAACAGAACACAGCCTCACCCCACCACCAGATACTAAAAAAAAACCTAAAAAAAAGTCTACTTAAACTCAGCAAATTATCCACATGACATGACAAGACAGCGTATCCCATACTACATTGGTCTGAAACAGCGGGGTAGATAGCAAGGAGGGAGATTAATCTATTAGTCCATGTGTGTTAGTCCGTGTATGTATGTATGTCAAGCATGTGTGGGAGAGAACTGGATTATTAATCCAAGATCAAAGTAACGTGCAGGGTCAGTAACCTGCATGGACGCGCAATGACCCAGGACGCGCAATGACCCACCCCACCACACTCAACACCTACACAAAATACCTCATAACTCCACCAATATGGACCCAATTCAGGAAGCGATTGAAGAAATCGAATCGCGCGAACTAGGCGCATCTTTTAGCTATCGCCAAGTTGCAAAAAGGTTTAGCATTAGCTATCGTACGCTCGCTCAAAGACACCAAGGCAAAACTCAGCCTCGCGCGCTCGCCCACCTCTCTATCCACCCACAACGCGAAAAGGAGCTTGTACAGTACATCAAATCCCTCACTAAGAGGCGTACACCACCTTCGCGTCCAATAATACGCCATCTTGCGTCATCCTTGCTTAGTAGAGACGTTTTAGAACGCTGGGTTTCTAGGTTCCTTTGCAGGAACTCCTCTCATCTTATCTCTCGCTGGCAGAGTCCTATGGACTAGAAGCGTCACAAGGCTGATTTAGCAACCAAGTATAGGTTGTACTTTGAGCTGTTACATAATAAGATGAAGGAGTATAATATACAGCCCTCTTACATCTTTAATATGGATAAAAAGGGCTTCTTACTTGGAATTTTTAGAAGGTCTAAAAGGATCTTTAGTAAGAGGCAATATGAAAGAGGAGGAGTTGTTTTAAGCCTACAAGATGGCTCTAGAGAGTGGATTACAGTCCTAGCCTGTATCTGCTCAGATGGTACACCTCTTTCTCCATCTCTCATCTTTTAGTCAGATGCTGGAGCTCTAAAATCAGCCTAGGTAGAGGCTATTAATCCAAACAAGCACTCAGTCTTTGTTACCTCATCGCCCTCTAGATAGACTAACAATAATATAGGCCTAGCTTAGCTTAAAGAGGTCTTTGAAAGAGAGACTGCACGCTACGCTCGAACTAGGTACTAGTTACTTATTGTTAATGGCCACTTATCTTATGTAACTATAGATTTTCTAAATTATTGCAACAGCTATAGGATTCTAGTTGCTGTATATCCTCCTTATTCAACCTATAGGCTTCAGCTGTAACGATGTTACAACTTCGCCAAGTATTGAGCCAATCCCAGAGCCGGATCGGAGGAAGTACCTGCCGCCCTTCATCAGCCATTCGCCCGAGGTCGGATCCGAATTCGGACCCGACTAGGATAGGTATATATTGAGACACTCCCTGTAGCTAGCTCTGTAGACTTTTGATATCCTTTCGTACAAGACCTATAGGTGTCGACTTGAATCAAGGCCTGGTTGCTGTCCACCACGCACTCCCATATGCCTCTGAGTGACTCTTCCCGCCGATACTGATCCGAGTCGTCTTGCCTGCGTCGTTACATCAGCCTCTTAACGTTGGGATGTTTGGGCCTCTAGCGTCAGCCTACTCAAAGGAGTTGTCAAACTTCCTCTATTAGAGCCATGGAATCCTTCCTCTAGCAAAAGGAGACTTCTTTAAGCTCTTTTAGAGGGCTTGGGGTACAGCTTTTAGAGAGGAGACTATTATAAGCTCCTTTAAGGCAACTGGCATTAACCCACTAAATGCTAAGGTTATTCTCTAAAAGTTCTAACAAGAGGCCTCTAGTTTAGATGAAAGCTCTTCTTCTGTCCTTAGTGGAGATAATTGGCTTAAAATTAAGTCTATTATACGCCAGGAGGTGAAGGATTTTAATAATAAGGAGGTAAAAAAGCTTCGCCGAAGCCTCTATTACCTCTTAGCTCAAAATAGTATACTTAAAGGAGAAAACTAGGGCTTAAGGGAGGCTCTAAAGGTTAAAAAGAGACACCAAAAGAAGAGCTACACGCTTCAACTTAATAGGCCTAAGGAGTACTATAGAGGAGCTGTCTTTTAGTCTCCTAAGAAGGTTCGCCAAGCCAAGGAGGATAAGATGGAACGACAACAAGAACAATAGCAATTACAACTCCAGAAAGCTAAGAGATCTAAGTTAAGGAGACAAGCTCAATTGTACAAGCTTCAAATAGCCCAGGAGAAGCGTGTTAAGAGAGAGAGGCTCAAGGAGGTGAGAGAGAAGGAGAGAGCCGCCAAGGTGGCTCAAAAGGAGGCTCAAAAGGCAGCCTGGGAGGCTAAAAAAGCTATACAATTATCCTAAAGGGGTAAGCGCAAAGCCTCACAAGGCTCCTCTTAAAAGCAGAAGCGTTAGAAACGTATTGTTGTTGATTCATCTCATGTACAAGCTAAGGTGGCTGCACTAGCCGTCCTAACTCGAACCACCCGCCACAGCCGCACCACCAAGCTACTAAGTAGATACAAGTAGCCTATCATAATCGCAATGCTATAATTACTACAACACCATGAAATCTCGTGATAATAGCGACTGTGGGTGGCTGTACAGCCTCATCTTTTGCAATAGGTTTTTTGGTGGGGTGGGTCATTGCGCGTCCTGGGTCATTGCGCGTCCATGCAGGTTAAGCTGGGCAGATCAGTAAGCTGGGCACCCCACCAAACTTCGCGCGACGTTCTGCGCAATTAAGCCACAACAACGTATTAAAATAATATAAAATTAAGATATATAGTTTACTATTTAGCTTTGTATAAAGTCTAAGTATGTTCTTTAACGTTACACTTTGTGCACGTTAGTAGCGCGCGCCAACGTTGCTTACTAGCCTAGTTCTAGCTACCCTCTATAAGTAACCTTTCTGCCTCTGCTATAAGCTACTAAGCCTACTACACTTGGAGTACCCTACTAGAAGCAATATATTAACGCTATTGATTTTGCTTTTGCTGCTAACGCTAGTTTTTTTTACGTAGCTTCTTATTCTCCTCTACAAGTATTGTTGCTAATTGCATTGTAAGCTAAGCGCTCTTAGCAAGCTAGCGTATCGCAACGCTTGTTAGACTCTCTAGCTGCTAGCGCAGTCGCTTTTGGAGATACCGCACCTGCTGCTAAAGCTCTGCTACTGTATGTGGTGTCTCTGTCTGTATTGCTGCCTGCGCTGTAGTGTTATTATCTGTGGTTGTCTGTGGTGGAGACGGTGTTCTAGCTACTGTGAGCGACGATAGAACGCGATCTAGATAAGGAGGGACAAGCCCTGTCGCCTGAAAGCCTGCCTGGATATTCTGCTGCGTAAAAATCTTTAGCTAGATCCGTGTATAGGCTGCAAGGAAGTCTATCTTGTCAACGTGGTAGACCCTATGCTGGGCGAGCTCCTCAACCTCGCGTCCGTACGCGCGCTTAAGAGGAGAGTAGCAGCTCACATCTAGAGGCTAGAGGAGGTGCGACGTGTGAGGCGGCATATAGAGAGTGATAATCTTATTCTTAGTGCAGTACTAGTCGAACTCTAGCGTTGCGTGGCTACTATAACTGTCTAGATTAAGCAGCTGATAGACTCTAGCTATACGAGCCGTTGTATGCTAGTTGAAGTGCTTTACCCACTCTACGCCAAGCTGATTAGTTGTCCAGCCGTTGTCTGAGGTGCCGATAGTCTAGTCTGGTGGGAGATTGTGATACCAGCTGCTCTAGTGAACCTTGCCAGACAGTATCACGAACGGTGGCAGAGACCAGCCAGACGCGTTAACGCACTTGATTACTGTAACCCACTCCTAATTGCCTAGCTGTACGACGACTGCCTAACTAACTCTATTAGAGCTAGTTATAACTTTTGACGTGCTAGCGACGCCTATTGCGAACCTAGTCTTGTTAAAGTTATAGATATCCTAGTCTAGCACGCTGTACGTCTGGCGCGTCTCCTCTACTAACTTAAACCACGCTACGATTGTAGCAGGATTTTCGTACTGGGCGCGCTGGCTGTTAAGCCTTCTACTCCACTTCGTCTAAAGCTCTAGCTAGCTCTAGATAAAGCGCGACACCTATTTCTTGCCTACAGGTTGTGGAGGTGGATCTTGGCCACGCGCGGCGAGTAACGCGTCTGCCATCCGTCGTACGTTGATAATATGGGGTGGAAAACTACGACGGTCAAGGTCTAGGATCCACTGCACAAGGGACTGCTCTTTAATGGACGATAGCTTACGGTTAACAGACTGTAGCTCTAGTCGTGGCTAAGTACTATAAACGCGAGTATATAGTGTTAATTGTGGCACATTATATGCTTTTGCAAGAGCATAGATAGATTGTTTTAGATTATTACAATAAGACGCGATAGCAAGGCTTATTCTGCCTTCACGAGAAGTATGTATAGAACGTTGTTGTCGCGGCATGGTGGTGGTTGTGTAGAGCGTCGCGTCAAGTTTGGTGGGGTGCCCAGCTTACTGATCTGCCCAGCTTACTGACCCTGCACGTTAGTTGTTTCAATCTTGCGTCAGACGCGGAACGAAGGGAAAAATCACTAATGAAAAAAAGGGTCATGTGATATGATATGATATGATATGATGATGAATAAATAAATAATAGTATAGTGATTAATGAATGCTACGGAGAACATCCGCCCTATTCCCGACATGGCGTGAGAAGCCCCAGACGAACAAAAGGTGAAGGGAAGGAAGGGGAAGAAGAAGAAGAAGAAGAAGAAGAGAAAAAAAAGCCAAAGAAGGCGAAGGGTATATTGCCTCAAAGGCTCAAAAGGTAAGAAAAAAAAGAAGGGGGGAAATGAAGAATAAAAAAATTCCGCTTGAACGAGTGGGTTCGAAAACAAGTGAAAGGAAGAGAAGAAAAAAAGCCTTTTTTTCCGCGCCTTCCTTCCAGTAAAAACCACTTACACTCCAATCCAATCCTTTTTTTCCATGGGTATCAAATCTAAAACTCCCCAAATCCCATCCATCCCATGTAAATACCCCGCCTCCCCTCCAATCTTATATGAGAAAATAATGGAACAAAACATTTCTCCCTTCATAACTCTTCAGTCATGTATAAACATTTATCTAAAACGCCATACCGACAGCCGTGGATGTACGCGCCATTAGGCTGTAACGTGCGTGGATGCCGACATCTTTGGCAGCAATTTCCATGCCCTTGAGGAGATCAGAGTTTGGGCTCATGGGTGGCTTGGCGTTCATGATACTGCGGGTGCTGCGTGCGGTGAGGAGCTCGGGCTCGATTGCGATTTCCTTGTCCTTGACAAAGGTCAGGGGCGCGGGAACACGCCTTAGTTTTCTTGGTGGGGTTGACGAGGCGATGGAGGAGAGGGACTGAGCGGGAGAGGTGGGCGAGGCGGGACGGGTGCTTGCGTCCGGAGAGTAAAGAGTGACGGTAGCTGTGCCGTTGCTTTCCTGAGAGTCCTGACGCGTGTGCAATCTACGCGATTCTGCTGTTGAGGGTCTCGAGCTGGAAGTAGGGAGGGCAGGCTGAATTTCACACTTGTAGAATGAGTTTGCAGTCTTGGGGGTCTCAGGCCGGGAGCTGAGAGCTAGTGAAGAAGTCGAGCGCTTGATCCAAGCCCCTAGACGGGCAATGGGCGTCGTGGGTGTGGTAGCAGGAGGCGGGGTGACGGGGTTGGAGTTCAGGGGTCCAGTGTATTGTAGGAGTGACGGGGTGAGGGTGAGACCGGTGGTAGTGCGTCTGACTGGAGTGATGATTTCAGGTGTTGCTGGCAGAGGTTTCGTGAGTAGTGGAGCCGAAAACGCGGAGCCGATATCAGAAAGCGTCTCGGAGCGCACGTGCATTCGCATCGAGGGCGCAAGGTAAGGCACGTGATGCGATGGCGAGGGAGGGGGTCGATTGGTCAAGGTAGGGGACTGTGTGCGCGATCGGTATGCGCTAGCGCGACGTTCTTCGATGATGGTGTTTAGTTCGCGGATGGCGTCGTCCACATCGGTCTTTGTACGGCGAATACTGCCAGGTCGAGAAGGCGCCGTGTTTGCACGAGCACGAGATGGCGAAGGAAGATGCGAGAGGACGCGCGCCGGCGATGCTGTACCGGAGGTGTTGGAACGTCGGATGGAGGGCTTTTCATGTGGTTGATCAGAGACGTGCGAGTTTTCGGGCAAGAGAGCCAGGGTGGGCGTGGCCATTGTTCCCATGGTCGTCCCGGATAGTCTCCTCTCGTGCGTGACTGTGCTGCGCTGGCTCTGTACGCTGCTGCGTCTGGAGTTGGCAACAGGCTTGCGCTGAATCAGATACGAAGTAGAGGCGGGTTCCTCAGACACAGAGTTAGTACGCGAGTCTCTTTCGCGGACGTGTGCTTCTTCGGGATGCGTGAGGTGCGAAGGCAAGTTGACCCAGGTCTCTTCATCAGCAAAGTCTGGCAGTGGAGAAAGGTTGCCACAGCCATCGGGCAGGTAGATGGAGAGTTCAAGAGGGCGAAAGCTGCGACGACGACGGACAGGCATAGATGCATCGTTGAGCATAGACGGAATGTCATCAAGGCCATCAAAGTGCCGAAAGTCGGTAGGACGGCCAATGGTAGGCCGGGCTCGCGAGCGACTGGGCCGTGTGAGGGTTGAGATGCTGCCGCGAGATGAAGCACGTGCGGCAAATTCACGGCTGCTGGACACCCACTGTGAGACATGTCGGCTTACCGACTGGCTCGTTGATGGGCGTGGGTGTGTCGGCTCAGCGCAAGGCTGCGGTACAGAGCGCGGTTGTTCATAGCAGATGCGCATATCTGTCTCGCCTGATGGATGGACTCGTCAGCAATCATGCTGAGTTGGATCGTTTACGGGTTGTGGAAGTTGGAAGCTTGCAAGGCCATTCCGGCGCATCAGCCACATGAAGGTGAGTAGGCAACTTGCATAGTACATTGATGTCGGTTGACATGCACCATGTACAGATATAAAGTGAGGTAAACTTACCACTAGCGCCGCGTGCTCCCGGCGCCTCGTCGACGTCGTCGTTGGATGCACAGCATCCGAACTTGATGGCCAGCCATGGTGATGTCTGCTCTTTCGCATACATGGTTTTGTGTTTTATCAAGTGATTTTTTTTCTTTTTGCTGCAAACCAGTGCAACTAACAATCCATCCTCCAAATTAAGGGCGAGTACGATGGGGCAGAAACAGGACAAGAGGGAATGACGTGCCTCGATCAGGCAAAACAAAAACCAGCAAATGCTTGAAAGGAGTAGCGGCGGGAGAGGGTGAGACAAAAGGCAGGGAAATAAAGAGTCCGACTGCGCGAACTACGCGGGTCAAAAGCCAGCCCGTTGGAGAATGTGTTGTTGTGCTTGGATTGGGTGTTTGGTGGTAGAAAAGCGGGAGCCTGTAGGTCCGGCCCTCAGGAACAGCAAGCCAGTCGCAGGTCACAGGACGAGAATTGCTGCCGTGTTATAGATGAGAACTGCTTGGAGCCTCTGGGCAGAGGCCCAATGGCAGGACGTGGCCGTGGTGGCAGCTTTTAACGTCCCATGCTAGTGCCGAGGGAGGCTTGCGCGCATCGAGTTGAGCAGGCAGGCGGCGGGCCGTGATTGGGCGGGGGGGCTAGAGTAAGCGCTTCAGGCAGGCCGAGGGTTGCAGCGCCGTGGGCCAGTGGCGAGGCAATAGCGCTTGCGGACCGAAACTCCCAGCGGACGTGTCCAGGGCTTGCCTGCTACCATCTTCTCGTTGGCCGCGGCAGCTTTTTGGGGCTGCTATTTCATTTCGGGCGTGTTCGAGCATGCGCGCAGCTTGTCGCAGCTTGGAGCAGACCGTGGGAGCACTAGAAGCTCTTCGCAAACGCTGAAACGCGCGCAGTGCAGCGGAACGGCCTGGTTCGCCATGGAAAGCAAGGGAGCCTGGGCATGGCGATGGCGATGGCGATGGCGGCGTCCATGTCGATGTCGATGATGACGACGGTGGTGATGACGATGATGGTGGTGATGGTATGGTGGTTAGTAGCGTTGAGTTGCCCAAACAAACTTTGGCCCCGGGTGCGCCTGCCGCATCTGCGCGGCCGTCGCGTGTCGACTAGCCTGGCTCCCGTCTAGACATGCAAGCCTTCCAAGCAGACGTCCACCTCCCCTCCACTCATACTCGCTCCTCGCGCTCCTCTCGCTGCATCGCGGCCAGCCTTGGCATGCACAAAATCTCCATTGGCGATATTTCTGGCCTTGAAACACCGGCCCTCCCCACACGCATCGCACCGCGTCGAATCGCCGTGTACGTGTAGAGAGGCGCGCTCTTGGCGCTCCACTGCCGACTGCGTTGATCGCTGCGTCGCCCTCATGCCCGCGACTCGTCAACGCCTTGGCACCCAAAGTCCACATGCGGCCCGCTGTCTGCATCCACGGCCCAGTTGGGAAGCGTGGCAGCGCGCTCTGTGCTGCAACGGGAATCAGTCACCACATTGATTGGCTCACGGCCGACGCTTGGCCAGGTCAGCCACAGCACAAGGTACGTGTACGTGTCCAAACATGCTTTGCTGTTGAGACGGCACCCTAACCCTCGCTCGACCAAAATCGCTACCATGTCCACGCCCACGCCACACGCCAGCTCCATGTCTTCCCAGCCCGTGGCGTAGCGTGCTCACCGAGATTACTGTCGGGTATAAAACAAACAGACGACCAAACAAAGCCCACGAAACATTTCCCCATGTCCAGATTAAGCCTAATAATGAAACCACATCCCACGTCCTGTACAGCGCCCTCTCAACAGCCTGCCTCGACCAAACAACCCTCCCCCGTCATCAGTCTTGGCTCCAGGCATTGCGCTCTTCTCTGAAACTACCATACGAGGGGCTGAGCCGGTCCTCTTCATCTCCCTGGTCCCCGCTGACGTTGCGTGTTTCCCAATGATTGACTTCACTCGTAATGTGCGCTTTGATGTCTTGCTGCCGCTGCTCCTCTTCGCCTTGCTCCTCCACCGTAAAAGGCCGGTCCAGGTTGTGCTCAGCTTCCGGGTTGTGTGCCTCGGCCTCGTCTGGATTGAAGCCCTCGCGCACCTCTTCCGTCTGCCCGTCCTTGGGATACGTGTGCCTGCAACTACCGTCAGTCGTCTGTACTGTCTCAGCTCAAAGTGCAAACCTACACAAAGTGCTTTGCAGGAACTTCGTTCCATCCCGGTCCTCCCTCCTTGCGCGCTCGCACACGCTCCACTTCTTCAGCCTGCCGATCTTCCACCACCAAATCCACAAGTTGGCTCTTGTCCGACTTTGCAGAGCTTGAAGACGATGATTTTTGCCGGAGAAGGCTACCAAATGGTCCATGCAACTTCGACTGCGGAGACTTGGAGCGCGACGATTCCGCGACGCTCGATGCCCGACGCTGCTTGCCCTTGTCTACAGACTCTTGTATGTCGTGGATCTGGCTCTTTCGCCTTCGCTTGTTGTCCTTGGTCGGTTGCAGCAAGTGTCGGTTGCTTGATGCTGTCAGAATGCTGGGGTTTGCGTACAGGCGCTCCTCGCGTGAGGGACGATGCGCCTCGATGACGGGGTACTATATTGACATTAGCCTGGCCTAACATTGAGCGCGCCTCACACTTACATTCCAGTCGCCAAACTCCAACTCGCGTGCATTTTCATACAGTTGCTCCTCTTCGTTGTCTAGTTCAGGCTCTTCGACGATGTCCGGCGTACCGTACTTGGCACCTTGGCCGTTCAGAGCTTTGTGTGGCCCGGGGCTCATGGCTCTCGCCCGGCTCGAAGTTACTTTGCTTAGCAGGGGCTCGCGCTCTGAGCCCTGACCAGGTTTGGGAATCCAGTACTTGCCTTTGCCTCCTCTTTCGTACCGCATTCCTTCGGCCATCCGCGCAGCCCTCGAGGCCGACTGTTCATGCGCCAAGACATTGTCGCGCGCATCAAAGTACCGATACTCGTAGTGCTTGCCCGCAAATGTCTCCTTGGTGTCCTGGATGAGGTCGAGGGGACCAAAAGCATCACGCAAGGCATACTTGACAGGCAACCTCGCAGCCGAAATCGTTGCATCGGCATAGTCGTGCCATGAGAAAGCATACCAATGAGCGAGTGAAAAGAGAGGCATTTCAAAACAGATGAGCGCATCCTGGATGGCAGCAGCAAGGTTGTCAGGACTGTAACCAGGTACGTCATCGGGTATGGCACCAAGGAACACGAGGATCGAAAGGAAGAAACCCTGCCAGTATGAAGCAAAGATGATACCCTTGATGCACAAGAACTTGGGCATGGGGCGGAAAGGCTTGAGGTCCGTCGACATGCACACCCAGAACATGGCGAGCGCATACAGACTGATGGTGATGCTGACATTGTAGATCATCCCGCTCCAGAAGTAGCCCGAAGACAAGCCAATGTAGCCTTCCTGGTATGTCCCTGTAGCCTTCATGATGATGGTGGCCACCGAGAGCAGCGGCTTGACCCATGTGTATTGCAGAATGCCGCGTTTGATGGCAAGGAACGTGTGTGGGTCCGATATATCGATCTTGGAGCAGACAAGATTTAGCGGCCAGAGGTGGGAGACGGGGGGTCGGCCGGTCATGAGGATGATGAGGGCGCGTTCGCCGCCGATAAAGTTGATCAGCAGTTGGAGGAAGGTGTAGATGGTAAAGGCCTGGCATGGTCAGTACGGGCCAAATGCGAGACTGGCACTCTGGGTACCTCGTAGACGTCTCTAAAGGGCTCTACGTAGGCTGCTGCCGATATCGAGACCAGGCTAGCCCATGATGCGGCCGAGTAGATTGGCACCCTGTAGACAGTGAGTGGGTATGGTCGCAGAGCCGATGCGAAGTGGGGCATACATGAGTAGTATACGAACGACATATCTCTGGAGCACTGGCTTGCGGTAATTCTTCCTGTGTTCGGTTCAATACGTGCACTGCAAGCTGGTGAGGTCTACTCACGTTTGTAACCAGACAGCACTGCAGTTACGTCAGCCCGAATCAGCAGCGAGGGGGGAGCGTGGTACCTACACGAAAGTGACCAGACTTGCGATCAGAGCGCAGACGCCTGCCACAATAATGACGGCGCGTGCAAGGCGGGCACCGGTGCCGCCAGACGAGAAGTCGTCGGCGTCGAGGCCCTGGCGGAGGCTGCCTGTCTCCATGGTGGTGAGGCGTGGGCTGCCTGTCACCCTGTGTAGCAAGCAACGAGGGCCCGGCGGTGGCAGTCGTGAGAAGCGGCCGCGAGCGAGAGGCAGAAGAGAAAAAGGGCCGTGTTTAGCGACGACGCTCTGCCATGGCTTGTCATGCACTCGCACCTGAGGCGTGTGAGGTCTTGTGCTTGTCTCGCCTCCGCGGTGCTGTGGGAGGTTTGTGGAGGAGAGCACTAGGTCCAAGCTCGACATCCCTGCCCACGCCCATGACGCGCATCGCGCAGCTCACGTCTCTCGAGCGCCGCCGTCCCGAAGTAGTGCCATCTCCAACGCCGCTACAGGCGTACTATGTGCGTATAGTCCGGTACACGCACTGCACGCCACTACACTGCACTGCATCACCGTCGCCGTCGCTCGCCACGCCCACTGTGCACGTCGCCCCATTGAGCTGCCCCAGCCGCGCTCTCCTACGCCCATCCGCCCGCCGACCATGCCCAGCGTCTCCCCCATGGCGCCATGAAGACGCATATACTTCTCCAAACTACGCGCAGCAACCATGACGGGAATCGTCACAGAGCCCTTGGACCCGCGCGGCGGCTTCAACTGGTGAGTGCCCAAGACGGTCCAGCCCGGCAAGCCAAGTTGACCCCCGTAGGGTCTTCCTCGTTGAACTGCTCATATGCGGCATCCTGACCATTTTCTTCCTCTTCTACTTCAACCGCGTCTTCGCCACGCTCGTCGCCTACGCCATACGCGCATACACATGGCGCGCCTTCAACGCATACATCGACATCACCGCCCTGCAGATCTCGCTGCTTGGCGGCCGCCTCTTCTTCAAGGACATTCGCTACCACGGCCACAACGAGACCATCTTGGTGCATGGCGGATACATCACATGGAACTACTGGCTGCGCCGCGTCAAAGATGCAGGTGTCTACGCGGATCAGGACGACGCCAGGCCCGATGGCGACAGCAGCGGTCGCTCCTCGCCGAGTACGTCTGCCAGTCCGAGTATCAATATGGACAGGGCAGAGAAAGGGGGCAAGCAGACGCGAAAAGACCTCCCCTGCCGCTTTTCTATCAAGGTGTCGGGTATTGAAGCCTTCATGTACAACCGCAGCCCTGCATACGACGGCATCATTGAAGCCGTGGAGAAAAAGGCCAAGAGCGACGCTGCGCAACAAAAGCCCTCCGAGGCATCTGATTCCGACGTGGACAAGGCGGAAAAGGACGGCCACCACCACCACCACAATAAGCTTAAAAAACCACACGCCGAAGACGACCAGAATGCGCCGCGCCCAGCAACAAGCGGGTCTACTTTCTCCAGCCCCAAAAAGGCCGACCTTCCAGCTTTCCTCAAGATACTCCCGATTCATGTCGATATTGTCAAAGGCGCCATTGTCATTGGAAATGAGCACACGCTAGCCGTCATCACTGCACAATTTGAAAAGGCAACCGGTACCTTGGACGCATCGGCAAGCGGACCTCTGGACGTATACCAACAGCTTTTCAACTTTCAGATCACCAACCCTGTCGTGCACATGAAGCCGAATCCGGATTACAAGATTGGACAGCTTGACTCGGCATTACAGTTCAAACAAGAAGTGGCTCAGGGCGGCTCCGAGGACCGCGTCATCGAGAAGGAAGCCCGTCATCGGAGGCATTGGCGCTGGTTGACACGAATCCCAAGGCTCACGGGTCTCTTTTCAAAGGACTCCGACTCCATTCATACTCACGCCAAATCAGGACTGGCCAACAGCAACAATCCACCTCTGAATTCCCAGTGGACGTTTCCTGGGCGCGAACGTTGGAAAGGCCTGGCACGCTATCTTGATGATACTACCAACGACGGCCACGGCGAGTGGGATGGTGTCGAGTATGCAAAGGCTTCATTAATCGCCGATTGCCCGTGCGTAAACATCTCCTTCTACTGGGATGTGCCAGGTCCCGTGCCGAGCGACATAGATCGCAGCAAGCACATAGACCCTGCTCGTCCGTATGACATCAACGGTTCTCCCCCACCGGACTACGGCATGGACATACAAGTCTTTGGCGGCATCATCCAATATGGTCCATGGGCAGATAGACATCGAGGCGTCTTCCAATCAATCTTCTTCCCTGCTGCGCGCGTAGATGCTGTTCCATCAACCCCTCTCAAGCCCGGCGACCTTCGTGTGGCTACCGTCTTCAAGCTCTATCTCAGCATCGAAGAGGACACCGTGTTGCGTATTCCGACTCGCGAATCCTCCAAGGACTGGAAATGGAAGGGGAAAGCCCACACACTGGCGGCGCATGAGAAGCTGGGAGGGGACCAGAACAAGGGTAAAGCAAAGTCTCGCATAAGACGGGGAAAGCGCAGGGATGCTGCTGGATCGCAAAACGTCCGACCCTTTGCATGGATCGACGTCAAGATAGCCCAGGAATCTACGGTCAATTATGTCATGGACATGTACGCGTCAGAACAAGGATATCAGAGCAAGGTAGACGTCGATATCGCAAGCACAGAAATATCCTCTAGCGTGAACCATGGCCTTCTGTGGCGCTCGGGTGCTATTGCCGTCGACTGCGACTTGTCCAATCCGCTTGGTTGGAATACTCTTCGAAAATGGCTCTTCAACATCAAATGCCACGACCTGGAACTGTTCTTGCTCAGAGATCACATGTTTCTGATAATGGATCTTGTTGCCGACTGGGGATCCGGCCCACTGCCCGACTATTTCCTCTTTGTGCCTTTCCAATACTTGCTCAACGTCGACTTCTCCAACTTCAAGTTGTATCTCAATACCAACGACTCCAACATCATCAACAATCCAGCGGATCTAGATGACAACAATTTCGTTATCTTATCTGGTAAGGAGTTGCAAGGTGAGGTCTTCATACCGCTCGACAAATTCCGACCGCTTCAGAACGAGATCAAGTTCGACGTCAAGGGGCACGATTTGAGCCTTGAAGTCTTGATGCCGCAGAAGAGTACACTGCAGACGTTCGTGCAATCGCCAAATATGGCGCACCTAGGTGGCCTGACTCTGAACGGTAGCCATACCTTTCTGGCCGAGACATCCCCAATGAACACCGACCGGCTTTTCATGGATATCCAAGGTTACAAGCTGAATCTTGAACTCTATGGTTGGCTCATACATCATTTTATAAAGATCAAGGACAACTACTTCGGTGATGACATGCATTTCAAGACATTAGAGGAGTTTCAAGGCCTCCCGGCCGCCAATATCGCACCAGAAGGGGGTCAGCCCAGCGGCGATGCTTCGAGCATCGCAAACGACCTAGATGTGATCCTTTGCATTGCTGTACACGAAGCATGTGTACTTTTGCCTGCCAACCTGTACTCTGCAGAGCGCGGCATTCGAGCAGATCTTCCCTATGTCTCTGGAGATCTCAGATTCACAAATTACTACATGGACCTGATGGTCAATTTCAGCCCCATCAGCGTGTCTCTTGGAGGCTTGGTGCCAGATGCTGATATGCCTAATGAGTTCTCTAGCGGCCGCACTGAGCTATTCATCGATTCCACTGTCATGTTCGGACATCGCCTGTTTGGGTTACCTCCCCTTGAGCCAACCTACTTGTGCAGCTGGGACATTGATATTGGCAAGATCACCGGAGATTGTACGTCGGAACTTATCGAGACTGCAGCAGGAGCAATTCGCTCGTTCGGATTCACTCTAGATGACGACGAGAACACCATGACTTTCACCGAAATCCCAATAATCCACGATGTCACCTTCCTCAGGCTCAAGACACACGACATTGGTATCTGCTTACACATCAGAAAAGAGGCCCTGCTGCTCAAAACAAAACCTTTGAGTGTGGACTTCAATGATCTTGCTGGAAGCACTTTCTCCCAGCGGCTCAAAGTCATTGTACCGGATCTGACTGTGATTGCTGTTCCCTCGGTCTCTGTGTCGCATCACCGAGTGAGGCCCAAAGAAGGGGAGGACATTGCTCCTCAGGCTTATTTTCAGACCACCTTGTCTATTGACTTGTTCTCGAGAAAGCTAGACTTCACCGAAGAGTGCGCACAACAGCAAGCCCACATACGAATGCACGATCAAAGGACCCATCGCACGGCCTTTATGCTCTCAAATGACCGGAGCCTGGCTCGCCAAGAGAATGCGCCCCGAAACAGTCTACGCGCACCCGCTATGCAGTACCCGGACGTCCCTCATCCCATTTTTCTTTACGCGCCACCTGATCAGCAACAAGGCTCATTGGCTTCTTCCGGTATTTCTTCAGGTCGTTCCTCCGCTACAGGGCGGAGAATCCGTCCAAGTAGCAAGCAGTCTTCCGCCTCATCATTTGCTAGTAGCATTCGATCTACGCTTCGGCGCAGACCTGGCAAAGTGGCTGCGCCCTCCAGCGAGAATGGAACGCTTCTTGAAAGGTCACCAAACCGTGCCCATTCCAAACATCCTCAAATGCCCTTCGAGAACGACGAAAACGCTGAGCAGGACTGGGCACACTCATCCGTTGCATACTCTAGTAATCTGGCTACGCCTTGCTTTGCTTTCGAGCAGTTGACGCCAGATCTTTCCGATGTGCCTTCATTCCCTGCAATTCCTGCTGCCACTGAGCCCAAGGACATCAGCGACGTGGTTTTCGACGATGTTGCAACTAAACGCTTTGACGAGAGCTTCACTCACACTAGCATTCTCATCAACGCCAAACCAGGAATTCGCGCATATTGCACTCCAGAGTTTGTCACATGTGTAGCGGAGATCATGGAGCTTGTTCAACCTAAGCGACCTGAGGACCTTTTGGATGACTTCCAAGTCAACGTCATGACGAAGATTCTGGAAAACCGTAATCGCCTCGAGGGCAAAGGTAGCTCACTTGAGTTCAACATTCGTGTGCCCTTTACCCATGTCAGATTTCAACACAGCTTTCAGCACCACTCCACTCTAGAGACGGGACAAGACCAATACGACATTATTCTCAATCGACTCGTCTTTACGGCCAGAATCAAAAATTATCCAGGAGACCGAGCCGGTGAGAATTCCTTGGCGCTTCACTCGACATTGGGATCTCTTGGCCTTTCTGTAGCAGAGCGTTCTCCCCAGGGCGCTACCGGAGGTGTCGCAATTCAAGCCGAGATCAGGGACATACTGCTATGGATGCTGCAGAGCAAGACAATCTCGATAAACGTGTCATTTCGATCATTTGAGAACGCAATAGCAAGCAAAAAGGTGGACTATCTTGCCGCACTCATCCACCGGACGGCGCTTATGGGTGAAACACTCGTACATCAGTTTGCCGAAGTTGACCAAAGACACCAGCATCGATTGCGTTATCTTGTTTGGTATCTCTGCAGTGTACACGACCAATACGCCGATCCTGCTTTTTTGACAAAAGCATCATATGCTATACGCGTAGCAAGAGATCACTTGCGCAGTCACGACTCTTGGAAGATCATTTCACGATTCCGCTATACGTGGCAGTCCCTCCCACACGCTGAAAAGGGCACTATCTTGGGTGATTGCTCTCAACCAGACATCATGTGTCCAGGGGATGCAGAACAGAAGATCATTGAGATGTTGGACCAGTGGCGCACGTGGGATCTCGCGCATGTACAGAAGAGCCTAGCAATGAAGCTACTCTTTGGGCGCCTTGAGGAAAAACTACCGACACCGGAGTCTGCGCCCCTGTACATTGATATCAAGTCTGCTGAGATTAAGCTGACTATTGATCCTGGCCCGCGGCAAAGTGAGATTTCACTGGGTCTTTTAGCAATCAATGTCGCATTATTGCCTCCCACACAGCCTAATGGACTCATGATCGAATCTGACGACACACCGAGAAAGAGAACAGTCGTTCAAATAGGCTCAAGAAACACCATCTTCCATATCCAATGGGAAATTTGTGAGCTTGCCGAGTCTTTATTGAAACTGTTTGAGAAACAAAATATCAAAGCACTGGAGCAATCAAAACCAACTTCTACTACACCACACCCACAACCAATCCCTACATCCGACCACGATTTGCAAGTGGTCTTCGCAACCGACAAAGTCCAAATTATACTGGACACCATCAATCTCAGAAGCATCAATACCGGCCGAAACATGCGCTTTTCGTTCCTCGATGCGAATAGCAAGGCATCTCGACTCGGTGAAATCATCTCTGCTCATATCCATGTCGACATTGCTGCCAGTGAATTAACCTCGGGCTCACGAACACTTGCCAAAACTCAGTTCGAACAACCCAGCATAGATTTCGCCATGATAGAACAAGGCGGCGAGGAAAAGTTGCCCAACGAGATCAAGGTAGCTGCAACAAGCCACAGGATCACCCTAAAGGTGCAAGAGGATATTCTGGGCTTGATCGAACTGACAGACAGGGTGCTTAGAGATGAGGTAGCATATTTCCACCGCCAATCTGCCTTATCAGGAGAAATCACAAGGACGAACTCGACGGATGAAAAGCCCAAAGAGAATTCTGCACAGCTGCCGAATATCTCACTCGCATTGTTCATGGATGCGTACCAAATTGAGCTAGCCGTATTGCAACCGCTCGGCTGGTCAATAACGGGGTCTTCGGGACGCATTGCTGTCATTCCAGCTATTGGAAAGCGCATCACCCTCCAGGTTGATTACGATCTCGAAGCCAACCTTCATCGGCTGTACAGCACGTCAAACGAGGGCTCACACGTCATTAGTTCACTGGAGCTGCCGCCACTCAATGGAAGACTGACTATCAAGCAAAACGAGAGTCAGACAAGGGTTACTGCGTCGGGCATTGTCGAAAAGATTCATGTCCAAGCTTCGGAGATCCAGAGTCTCATCTCGACTGTCAACAAACCGGAGATGTCGCAGATGTTCAAGGCGGTTCAGGACGATGTCGAGGTTCTGAAGACGCATATTGAAGAGATGTTCCCGGCCTCTGCATCCTCACCAGTTACCAAATCCCCCACTGGTTCTCGGGATACCCTGTTCACTGTGCAGATGACGCTTCACGGTATGAACATATATGCGAGCGCTCCGGGTCAACACCCAGACTCGCCCACAGCAAATCTGGCTTTCCGACTTTCAACAGTGCAATTGAGAGCCACAAACATCGACACGGATCATAGCATTATGCTTTATCCTGAGGCGGTTGTGCGGATCCATGAGGTCACGATCGACCTAGGCTTGAAGGACCCTGACTCTGTCCGGCGCTGTGGCAACCTAACCTTCAGCGCAGTTTTCCAAGCCACCACTGAAAAGGACTCTGAGCCTACGCGGAGAGTCTACCGTTTGCGAAGTTCCGGCCTAGAAGTGAATGCATTCGCGGATACAGCATCTGCTGTTGTTGACGTCGTAAATCATCTTCAAGATAGGATCAGGGATTTAGACCTTTCAAAGGAAAAGAAGTACCTACGGCGCCTTCGGCACACCAAGAGCAGGATCTCCCAGCGACGTGACCGCAGCCTCAAACTTGAGGAAGAACAGGATGCCGAGAGTGACGCCTCCGGAGTGCTGTTCACTTCCACATACTCCCTGGAACTGGTTGACCTACAAGTCAGCTGGATCGTCGGTAATTCTGTCGCTCCTTTCCCGCACAATGAGATTGAAGATCTTGTGCTCTCATTTGGGAAGATTGATTTGTCAACACAGAAAGACGATGCAGCGCGATTGATGATTGAAGACATGCGCCTGCAAATGGTGCCAGTATCCGAAGACAAGAAGAAGCGTTCGCTGAACTCAGCACTGCTCCCCAAGATGGTCTTCAATGTTGCTTATGCGTCTACTAAGGATACGCGTAAACTGGCATTCTTTGCTGCAGGAAAGTCACTCGATCTTCAGCTGGATTCGCATTTCATCTTGCCTGGGAATGTCATCGAACGATCGATTGCTCTTGCAGGGAAAAAGTTCCGCAAGGCCTCCGCGAACTGGAGCATGACACCAACGACGACTGGTGCGCAAAGGAAAAATCCTTTCGGCAACAAGCGCTTGACCTCATTGACAGCTGACATCAATTTTGCTGGAGCCGTGGTGCACATTCACGGTGGCGACGCAACGCCAACACAAGGCTCGTCAAGCAGAGCTCAGCAAAAGGGGAGGTATAGTCAGTTCGTAGGCGAAGAGTCTAAAAGCAGTATGGCCTTGCGAGCGCCCGGTGTAGCAGTACGAGTTGAGTACATGGATGACGGAAGTGACCCCTCCTTGAATGCCGAGCTTCGTGTTGACGGGTCAACCAACACGCTGCTGCCGACTGTGGTGCCTATCATCATTGATATCTCTGATAGCATCAAAGCAGTAGTCCGCGACAAGGACGATGACGAGGACGCACCTGCATCGCCGGAACAGGCCGAACAACCCCAGGAACCGTCCAAGCCAGCCGCGAAACTCCTAGAAGACGAAAACATCATCACAGCCGACCCTACAACAATTTTGGGCAGGACTAGACTGAATCTCGGGCTTCGGATATGCAAGCAAGAATTCAGTCTTAGTTGTCAGCCCATCGCTCGCGTCACAGCGATTGCCAAGGTTGAAGATATATACATTACCGTCAACAGTGTCAAGTCCCAGGAGCATGGCCATTTCTTCGCTGTTTCTGCTGCATTTGAGAAGCTTCAAACGACCGTTCAGCATGTCTACTCCCGCGAGTCTACCTTCAGCTTAGATATGGAATCCATTGTTCTTTCACTCATGAACAGCAAACACCTCAGCGGTACGAGCGGGATTTCGGCTATCCTCAAAATCAATCCTACTGCTCTTCAGATCAACGCGCGCCAACTGCAGGACTTTTTGCTGTTCCGAGAAATCTGGGTCCCTCCAGAGATAAGACGAGCCTCCAAACCTACAACGCAGAACGCCAATTCTGAGCCGCAAGAATACCTCATACAGCGCTACCAGCAAGTCGCTGCGGCCACTGCCTTCCCATGGAATGCTAATGTAGCCATCACGGACGTCAAGGTCGATCTAGACCTAGGACAATCCATCGGAAAGTCATGGCTGCATATCCACAACTTGTGGGCGTCTTCCAAGAAGACGACTACATCTGAGCAAAATCTTTGCGTCGGTGTGGAGAAGATCGGGGTCGAGAGTACAGGCCGTACAAGCGGTTTCATTGAGCTCCGCGAAGTCAAAGTGCGCACTTCGATCGGTTGGCCACTGCAAGATCCAGGCTCTCGCCAAACACCGCTTATCCAAGCGTCGGTTGCCTTCCGTCAATTGCGCGTAAAGACAGGATTTGACTTCCAGGCCTTTCTCATGGCCGACATTGCCGACTTTGGTTTCATGATGTACAATGTCCGACCAGAGGGCGAGTATGCACAAGACCGACTGGTTGCCATTCTTGATGGTGGCAAAGTACACGTCTTTTGTCATTCAACCAGCGCTGCGCAAGGTCTAGCACTGTGGCAAGCAATCGAGAGGCTAGTCCAAGAGAACCAGCAAGCGTACACGCAGTCTCTGAGAGACATTGAGAAGTTTCTCCGACGCAAGTCATCCATACCTGAGCCGTTTGAGCGGTCATCATCCCAAAGCCAGATACTCCCCAAATCCGACAAAGACAGCTTCAAAGCGCCGATATCACTACATACCGACGTGGTGGTGACGCTTCGCTCTATTCGACTTGGCGTCTTCCCTTCTACCTTCATTGACAACCAGGTCCTCATGCTCGAGGCCGGCGATATGCAAGCTCGTTTCGCCGTTGCACTGGAAAGAAAAACAAAGATTCACTCCAGCCTGGGCATGACTCTTGGTCAACTCTCCGTGGCCCTTTCGTCCGTGCCGACGCCAAAGAAGAGTAAGCCTGTTACGGAGCTCGAGGTCGAAGACGTGTCTGCGAGCGTCAGCTCGGCACGCGGGGGCACCATTCTGCGCGTACCCAAGGTGATTGCCACCATGCACACGTGGCAGGTCCCCAAAGATACTCACATTGACTACCTCTTCCGCAGCTCGCTTGAAGGCAAGGTAGATGTCGGGTGGAACTACTCCCGCATTTCTTACATCCGCAACATGTGGTCGAACCATTCGCGTACCCTCGCCTCGCGCCTGGGCAAACCTCTCCCAGAATCCAACATCAAGATCAGCACGTCTCAATCGCTGCAAGACGATCCTAGTGGATCTGGCCCAGATCCCAGCATGGCTGACAAAACAGTGGTGCCATCTAATCGGCCCCGCGCATCCTCGGCGTCGTCGGACGGTCAAGAGAAGATCACGGCCGTAGTTAATGTGCCGCAGTCACGGTATGAGTATACGCCATTAGAGCCGCCACTGATTGAGACGCCTCAACTGAGGGATATGGGAGAGGCCACGCCCCCTCTGGAATGGATCGGACTGCACAGGGATCGCTTGCCGCACGTCACGCATCAGATTGTCATTGTCACCTTGCTGGAGGTTGCGAGGGAGGTTGAAGAAGCCTACGAGAGGATTCTAGGAAGCAGCTGATTAGGTATCCCGACAGTAGTGAGGGCTTGTGCTTAGCGGAGGAGGACCAGAGAGGCAAAAGGTGGAGAATGTAGCATCCTTGTAGACAGTACATATTTTCCTGGGTCCAAGCATGGCGTTTAACTGGATATTATGATAAGGTTGAAAATGGCGCAAGCATTTTAGTAGCGAAGCTTGGATCGTACCTGGAGACTGACGTCTCTTCCCCCAACCATCCCATTACGAAACAAGAAAAAGATACTCCCGAAAAGCTTCCGTTTTCCAGAAAGACCGGCCCGAAAACGCGTGCGCGCGCCCCCCGCACACCCAACTCTTGACTTCAACCTTGCCTCTTTCTTTTTGCTCCCGTGACGCCCCATGCACCTTCCGTGCACGCTCTGGAAGCTGCTCCCAACTCCTCCTCCTCTTCCTCCTCCGTGGAGGAAAAAAAAGTCAACCTGCGATATAGATACACGACTCGTGTTAATCCGCTAACTTACTTATCAAACTACTCCGTAACTACATACTTACCTACCTTACATAACATACACAGCATACAAAACACTCTCCACTTTCTTCGCTTTCGCGTCACTTTCCCCCGCGGACCGCAGATATGTCCTGCCAAGGAACCCACTTTGCTGCCCGCAAGGCGGGCATACCGGAACCAGCAATAGCCCAGCTACCAGGTTGTGTTTCAGGATCAAGTACAGTCTTGCTTTATGCACCGAGCCCGCCCTCTTGGGTTTTCCCCACTGTACTTTACTCAATCTATCAGTCACACATTGTATCCTCCTCAGGCGGCGGCGGCGCCCCCAGTTCACGTCACATGGCTGGTTGGTGGGTCGTGTACAGTCGGTCAGTTAGTGACATAGCACAGCAGAAGCGATAAAGTGAGAAATTTATGTGTGTGTGTGTGTGTGTGTGTGTGTGAGAGAGAGAGAGAGAGAAAGACAGAGAGTTTTTCGATTTCAATAACATGAATATTGCTATGTACTTTGCAAAAAAAACATTCTATTTACATCGTCCACGAGCATCAGTTGTGACATTACGCGTTATATTTTCGTGCGCTTGCACTGATACTAGGTATGTAGTAATAGCAGCAGCAAACAAGAATTTGATTGTTTGGTTCGTTTCCCGTGATATTCCTGGCCGTGTGTGTGTTTGCATGTGTGGACGTAAAAACATGTACAGAGAAGGGGACATGAGGAGGTGGTGGTGGAGGGGGATGAGGAGGTGATGATGATGATGATGATGATGATGTAAATGATCAGAGCTGTGATTAATTTGGTCCACCCCAGAGCTTGGTGCACAACACACTTTGGACGTTGTTGACGTAAACGCCGTCCAGTGCAGCATACTGATTGGCACCGTCGAGGTTAAGGACTTGCTGATCCCAGTTGGGGCAGTCAGGGTTTCTGTTTGTAACAACCGTTAGCTCGTGTGCACTTTTCAATCGAGGATTTGCGCGTCGTTCTAGTTGATCTGATGCTGCCGCAGGCATAATGTGCAGCAAATGCAGGGAGAATGATGATGGCTAGAGGTAGAGAAAAGGGGAGAATAGAGAGAGGGGGGAGGGGTGGGGAAAAGGAGGTGGCAAGAAGAGGAACTTACGTGAAGAATTTGCAGTTCCATCCCTTATTAATGGACACACTGACTAAGTTGCCACCAATGGGTGACATGAGAGCGGGTACGCTGTAGCATATGCTGCCTGTTGGAACCGGGACAATGCCGCCGGAATTGTTGGGACCATTGGATAGCGAAGCAGCGGACAAGGGAACTGGAGGTGCGGCAGCGGCAGAGGCCACAGGGGCTGCCGAAGGGGATGCCGAAGGGGATGCAGAGGGGGATGGCGAAGGAGATGCCACTACAGCAGCTGGCTTAGGCTCTGGCTTAGGCTCTGTCTTGGGTGTTGGCGTGGGGGCGGTTGCGGCAGTCGGCGATGCAGAGAGCCATGGCATAGGCACCATTGGTGGCTGACTACGGGGAGGGTCGGCTCCGACTGCGGGCGCGGTAGCCTTCGGTGCCTGCTTGAATTAGCGGAGAACGATAGGATTTGAAATTGAGTATATCATGAACAAAGCTGCAAGCAATGGGAAGGATGTAAACAAGAGACATACCGGGAGGGGATTGGCGAGAGTGAGACCCCATAGAAGGGCTAAAGCAGGCACAGTATACCTCATTTTGAGCAGTTCCAGAGGAGTCAAGTCCGGTAGTTTGTGAGGATCGGTGGAAGAGCACAGGTGGTGAACTGCCTAGAGAGAAGGTGGATGTCTTGAGCGGAGAGGTAGAAGCCCACGCAGTCTGGTATGACGAGCAGACTGGGCATTAATGTACTCATCATGGTAGGCATGTGGCGTAGGTACTTGCGGAAGAATGCGTTGCCATGTTTACCGTAGCATTGAGCTCTAGAGCTTGCACGGTGTGGTATAGGTAGCCCTGAGAAGCTAGTCAATGTCTGTGCACCTGAGTTTCACCTTGCTATAGCGCGGATCTAAATCCCATTAGAACAACAGCATACTCATCTAACGTAAGATGGACGGGCTGCATAGACAGATAGAGATCGCGTGTTCTTGGCGACCAGCCTCAGATGCTGACACGGGCCGATGAATGGTGGGCTTTCGGACCGCAACTACCCCTGCTATCTCTCAGAACACCCACTCCGGCCGTGCGTTTACCTGCATGGCGTTGTACAGACTAGCCTAGATATACCAAGCAAGTTCTCGTGTTGATATTTGGTCTGAGACGTTTTCCATACTGTAATGGTTCTGTGAATCTGTCTACTGTTTTGTTGGTCGACCATCAAATATCAAGATCCATCTGGCTTAGTTCGACCAGTTAATGATAATGCAACGATACAGTATTTGTCTGGGTTTCAGCCGATCCTTCCCACACCAAGAAGTTCAAGAGGTTGGCTACCCACTTCTCGTATCTTGACTCTGGTCGAATTGCCGCAAAGACCTTGCCTTCCAAACCATGTGGGCACCTTGGACGTTCTTAGTAAAGTATGTGATCATAGGGATTGCCAACTCTACAAAGGCCTCGGCGCCATCTTTACGGGCTATTGCCGGCCTTACATCACTGAACTGGTCCGTGATTTCTGTTATCTTTTTGTGGTACGTACTTTTAGCCTAACCGGCAAATATAGATGGCTCTCAATCGTGTCCTGGTGTTGATGCAAAACCGCGTGTCGCTATACAGTAGTTGTAGCGCTTTGAGAATGGCCGACCCCATGTCGAATCTCTGCATATCACGATGAACTGTTCGTCAATATATGAACCGGCCCCTAGCTCAACTCTAATTACAATCCCACTAATCTAAAGTCGCTTAATCGAGTCTCTATAGGACTTGCGAGCGTATAGTAATAGATCTACTAATGGATTCCGGGATCGGGGTTGGGGAGAGCTCAGACCCGGGCCCGTAACACGTGTGGTGCTGTAGTCGTACGTAGAGCGAAAGGCCCTTTAAATTGGCCGTGCGGCTAGCATTTCGTCATGCCGGCGCCAGTAAGGTTTGCGCATTGAAGCTCTTCTTTTGGATCAGCAAGGATGCTCTTGCGCAATCGGTGGCGTGTTCACGTATTCGGTGCAGGGTGAATATTGGAGCACGAATTGCGCCGTGATACGTATAGGAGACGGAAAAAAGGACAATTACTTATTGAATTTGCCAGCTCTTAAAAGTAATCCGAACCCAAACCCATTGGGAATTTGAATATCTGATTGGGAGTCCTCATGAATACATGGTTCACCTAACAGTACGGAACAAATACCGGGCGAATGAAGGTCCGAAACTGGACAACGATGGATCTTAATATAACGCCATCGATTAGCAGCATCCCAAGACGGGTATATTTTTCGGCACGACTGTCAGCACTTTAGGAGCAGATCAGCTGACAAGAGTTGCAGCTGTCACGTAGGATTTTCGCTGGGGGCTCACAAACGTACAGTCCCCCGGGGTAAGTCACGCCCAAAGTGGTCCGTGTGAGACGTCTTTGTCCCAAGGCTATACCTTTCCACCCAACCTCCCTTCTTTTAATGGAACAACATCTATGTTTATGCTTATAGTTGAAAGAATATAGGGTTCAAAGTGTTTCATTGAATTCCAGGAACAAAAAGACGTCCTTTTCACCAAAAAGAAAAGTAGGAATGCATTCCTAGTTTCTACCAGGTGTAGGGCCCTTGCTAGCGCTGATGCTGGAACTTACCTGGTAGACTATACAAGTCGAGATAATTATGCCGCTCCCTAGTGACCCCATGACATGCCTCTGCGGTTTGTTACAAAGGCGCTAAGTAGGGATGATCGGGGCTGTATTTCTAACTCTGTCCATTGTGTAAATACTGATCGGCGCCTCGCAATGCCGTGCTGTATGGTGTTACCTAATGGTCAAGCTCCGACTAATTACTAAATTTAGTTCGACCAGAAATAGAATGTGCATCTTGTGATTGGCACATCTACACTTTGAAACACCAGTTCATATGCCAATCATGTGAAGCTTCTTATTGTTATCAGAGCCTGTTGTTTGTTAAGGAGCCGACTGAATGGCCAAAAGAGGTTTTCGAGATTATCACTCTCGAATATGAGTCGCGTCTTCAAGGAATAGATGTCTACCTCGCTGTAGGAACCCAAAACCCTGCATGCAACCTCAATTCGAGAATGTACTCTAGATAAAGGGACGTATTTTCTGCATTGGCCCACGGCTGTATGCATTGCGTGATCTGCGCTGGCAACGTAGAAAGCTGAACATTTGTCGAGTCCAACAAACAAATTCATCGTGAGAATAGCTGAAGGATTATAGCAGGATATAGGTCGCAATGGAAGATGATAGCAGGAACAGTACTAGTATTACACCAGACGGATTGCGAGTAAGTCTTACTAGCAATCAAAAATACTTATATATTACGTTCAGGTTAGGGCACATAGTAGTACTCTCAAGCTTGACAGGCTGAAGCGTATTCTGACATTGATCTCTAGTACGATATATATTGACCTGCTAACCATTCTCCATCTTCTTCTAAACTATAATCGAGACACTTGAATCTAGAAACAAAGTGTGTAAAGCAGATACGATGATTATCATATGCGTAATCACCGCCAATAAAGCTCGAGAAACGATCCTCTCTTCTTCAACCACTAAACTGGTAATATTATGATCTAGAATTGATATCTTTTAGCAGAATGTAGCTAGAGATTCTCCTATAGATTGAAGGGTCCGAGACGCACATAAAAATCAATAGACATCAGCGGATATATTTGACACATTGTTGTTTTCAAATCATGTATATATAGATTGCTTTTGCGGCCCTACTTGATGAGCTATCTGCTTTTCGAGACCAAGGGATATCAAGAAAGAATCAAGGAAGCCTCGGTTGCACTGAGGCTGTAGAAACTAGGTCGTTATCACAAATCGATTAACTAACACCAGAAATAGAATATACGAGGAAAGATGCTAAGTCTGCCTTTTTCTTGATGTGATATGATGTGATGTGATGTATTGAATTTATCGTCCCTAATTAAAAATCTCACTCGAGGCATGTGGACGGGCGAAGCCCAGGCAGGGCTCACAGCGATAGTGCGCTGCCTATTCATAAGGGTTGTGCGTTCTATCTACATGGACTCCCGCCTTTTGAGAGACCAGAGGGTTGTTCAGTTTGGTGTGTGAGTTGTACTCCTGATATCCTTTATTTGTTTTTGAGACAGGATGCATGAGATATTATTTACCTCAGTCTTATATTCTCATAGTTTTTCCCAAGCAACTGACTTGTTATCTAGCCCGTGACACAAGAGTTCACAGCTCTAGAAGATACTTGTAATTCAATCTATATTACTCGTTCGTGATTTTTATTTCATTCATATCTAAAATAAAGTTATCACAGTATACTTAGATGGACGAGATTGTTACAGAGTAAAATATTCAAGCATCGTCAGAGAATGACTAAGAAATCTAATTGTATTGAATATATACTTTCGGGTTAGAAGATTTGGTGCTTGTTTTTAAAAGAGAATGGAAGAGGGTAGCCTTGACTGAATTTATTTTCCATGTTTTATCACGAGTGGAAGGAGCTATCTCTAACTAATAATACCCTCAGAAATTGAACAACCCCCTACTATTGACTATTTTCCCCCATAGCTGAGTATTCAACCTCTTCTAAATTAGATGCATGCGCCAGTGCTTGGTGTTCAATTCAAGGACTCAACAGTCTGCCTATTAGATACTCAGGTGATCTGTTCACCTCTCTCTCTCTCTCTCCTTCAATTCATATGTGAACACAGTTGGTAGGGATGAAAGAAATCTTCACAGTCACTAATGCAAGCCCAGCTTTTCAATAATTTCTAGTGTTTGCGAAAGACAATAGCTCATTGCAATTATTCGTATTTTATATTACTGCTTAGGTAGTGTATCCAAGGCATAAGGGTATGGTGTCTTACTACTGTCTGGTATTGTATGTTGCACTGTGTTGTAAAAGGTTAAGTTAGCGCGTCAAGATCACCTATGACTACGTTTTGTTTTCTCGAAACGAATATAGGTATCACATCTAAAAAATAGATTGACAAAACTTAATCAGATCACTCATGGAGGAAATAAAAGGATAGCCTAAAACAGCAAATAACCCATATCTAATCAGTCTCATTTCTTTCAATTTAATCATCTGACGTTTGCCTTCGGCTTCTTCCTACAAGTCCAGACAACCCTATCAGCATCTAATACGAAAAGTTAAAGCATCACCTCCAAATTCCAGCAGTTCCTGCTTCGTTTCTCGATGTTTAATATCCTCCGTAGTCAACTTATTTGGGAGTCTATATACATCTTGTCTCATCCCAGAACCAGCTACTTTTCCCTCACAAAAGCAATCTCTACTCAAACCACAGTAACATGCCGACGTTAGGTAACCAGTAGTCTACTTACTTAGTGTCGCTGTCAATATGATCATAATTGCAGCTTAGCAATAAATGTTTTGACAAAGATCAAGATACAGGTCTTGATGGATTGGATTAATTGTGACCAAGAGCTTTCTTTGCTGCCTCCTTGTACGTGGTGTCTCGACATGTTCTTGTGACAGCATAGTGGCGCTTTAGTTGGATTCTTCAACACTCTCATGTATCGAACCAGTACGGGAAAGGCAAGGAATGATGACAAGGAAATGTAACCAGTGGATTTTCATGATGTGCTGATATATGCATTGTATCATTGACACGACATTACAAACTAAACGCCGTTGATAAGAATAAGGTATCTCAGAATCAAGTCGTGAACAAACGCCATGCCCTAGCCTTCGGATGCAAGCATATGTACGGCAGTCTCTTGCTTGGAGCAGAATGTAAACTTTTGCCCATGGTTCTGCGACCAGCGCAAATGCAGATCGCTTCAACCCAGAATCACATTGTCCGCCAGAAGTAGTTTGTGTAAAAGTGCCGGGAGAATTTGGGGTCAATGTTCACGACGTGCACATCTCCCTTTGCAGCGTTGCGGATTACGGCCTTGTTGTATTCGCCAGTGGTTGGGTCAGCTTCAACATCAATACCCAGGGTGCGGTAGAGCTTGAGCTTCAGTCTAAGGTACTCGTTAGCAACTATGCACAGATACATGTGGTGGGGTTTTGGACTGGAGAAAGCCTTGAGCAGGAATGGTGTGCCGCTTCTTGACCGTGTCATGGAGGATTCAACTTACACTGTAGCATCCTCACCTGCTCTAGGTTCAACGCCTCCTTCGACACCCTCCTCTTCTAGCTCACTGGCTACATTCCCCAACCTTGCCAAGTCGCTCTGCAGCCGCTCGCCCTCAATCTCCAAATCGCTCGCTTGCTTGGCAATCTTGAATTTCTCTGTGTCGAGCCTCAAAATTTCGGCAGCATGATTGGTTGGGTTGTGTTGCGATAGGGTGTGGTTGTGGTTGGCGGCGAGTGTTTGGTGAGTCCGGTTCAGCGCACTCAGGGATGACTGGATGGAGCGCAGATGTTGTGTGCGGAATTCGCTCAGTGTGCTAAGGGACTCGTTGATGCGGTGAAGCGAGGTCTTGTCGTTGCCAATCTTGAAGTGCGAGGTGCATTGCGCAATGAGCTGCTGCGGTGTTAGTCGCTATCAACAAATGGCATGGTTGGAGGGATGTTGCGTACGGCAGCGGGATCTTCGTCGAGGAGCATGTTGGGTGTGTGACTTGGAGCGTGTGGTGTATTTGCAAATGTGCAGGCTCAGGTGGAGGGTATCTGTGGGTGTGGTGTGGCAGAGGGGTGGTCATGTGTATCGCGACAGGGACGTGGTGTTGATGTTCTTGTTTGCATGGTCCGTGCCCAAGCCGCGTGCATGGCAACCACGCGTGGTGTGGCGGGACGAGTGGCGCCACGCCAGGGCCTGCAGCCACAGCCACATCCACGGGGCGTACGTCACGGTAAAAGATCGCCTGTTCGGCCCAAGCAGCTGGGGCTTTCACGAGACCAAGACCGTTCCTGACACTGACGTCGAACACCACTTCTACCACGTCGACCTCCAGATCGCATCCGACGACCACCCTCTTGGTCTACGCATTTTTCCTGGGTTCCTCTCACAAAGCAAGCTGCCGCCATGGCGCCTTCATTACCATGTGAGTGGGAGGACGACTTCTGGGCCGACGAACACTCATTCCCCTTAGATGCTGCAGACGTTGAGTCGCCGCTCAAGCCCGAAGAGCTCCAGGTCCTCCGAGCGCAGTACGAGAAGGAGGGCGAATATGTTGGGCTGCAGACAAAGTTCAACTACGCATGGGTACGACTTCCCCGCTCTACCGGCTGCATCTTCACGCGCGCATAGCAGCATCTGCGACAGGCAAGCTTATCGTGCTCTAGGGCCTGATCAAGTCGACGTCTCGTCCCGACCAGCAAGAGGGCGTGCGCCTGCTCTCTGAGATCTTTCGCAACTCGCGCGAGCGCCGGCGCGAATGCCTATACTACCTCGCTCTGGGCAACTACAAGCTGGGCAACTACGCTGAGGCGCGGCGGTACAACGAGCTCTTGCTGGAGCTGGAGCCCGCCAACCTGCAGGCGGGAAGCCTGAAGAGCCTCATCGACGAGAAGGTGGCGAAGGAGGGGCTGGTGGGCGCGGCCATTGTGGGCGGAATCGTGGTCGCGGCGGGCGTCGTGGGAAGCTTGCTGCTGAGGGGCGGCCCGCGAAGGTCGTGAAGTGTGGCTGCCTTGGCAATGTTTGTCTATCAAACCTCATGCATGCATGGTTGCGGCATGGCACGTTGGGCTTGCGCTCATGTTGACGAGACGAACCCATGGGACTGGCGTTTGTGGGCTCTATACCTCTGGCCAGGATGGTCGAATATCATTGCATTTGGATATTTGTAAAATGAAAAGCCGGTGTTTTGCGTTTGTGACGCGCTGCAGTGTCTCACGTCTGCGCGTCTGCTGCCTCGCCCCAGGCTCGTAGACGGACTTGGAAGCAAATGGAACACAAAAGAAACCAAGAGACAAGCGGCCGGGCGAACGCATCGTCCAGGTAGGACAAACAGCAGCCGCTCCAAACAAAAAGAGACAATACCATACACTACAAAGCCTCGCTGTCTCACCCGCGCGCTTCTCTCCTACGCCGCTACAAACCCGGTTTTCTCCAAGTCGAGCTACGACGCTCTCAGCCGCCGCGGGACGAATCGCAGGGCCCCTGCTGGGCGAACAACGTCATCCCCGTCTGACAACTTCCGCACTCAGTGGCCAAACCTTGCCGCCGACTTCGCATTCGCGCTTCTCTCTTGCCCCAACCTGCGTGGTAGTCGGAGCTTCTGGATTCCATCGCCATACCCCGTACCTGTCTGCATCTGCAGGGTGCCCCCACTTGGATGAGATTGCCGCCGACGGCGAATGACAAGGCTCTGAGTAGATAGGCCTGAGCGGTAGCTTCCGGGCGAAGCGCAGCGCCCGTCAGCCCGTTCAGCATGGCCATGAAGCCCCCTATAGATCCTGGCGGCATGCCACCCTGAGGAGACATGGACCGCGTGACTGTGGCCTGCAGGTTGTACCGCCCCGGCGCCGTCTGTGTGAATCGGAAATTGCTAATATCGTCCTCGTCTGGATCGTCATTTTGCCACGGGTGGTTGTTGTGAGGATGGTGGTGGGGGTGGGCGCCACCGAGATCGGGTAGAGATTCCGAGTCGTCGCCGTCGTGCCCAAACATGATGCTATCGCGAGGATCATTGTTCTCCTCTATCTGCTCCGTGTCAGCACACGTTGATTGCCATCCGCCTCAGCTCGTTGGGTGAGTTGAAAGCTGGTTCCGACGGCCTCAACTCACGATCTCTGTGAAGTCTGAGCCGCATTCTGGGCACGACAGACCATGTTCATCTCGATACCACTCGTCGGCGCACTCGTGGCAGAACATCATATCCCGGTGGCCCGGCCGCCGGGCTTGGGATTGCGCATTGTCGCTGCTTGGCTGGTCCATGATGGAGCGCGCGGGGGGGGGGGTTGTCTAGTAGAATATAGGGTCCTAGGTAGTAGTCGAAGCGTCTAATGGAAGAAATCCAGCCAGGAAGCAACGCTCTAGTAGCAAGGAGAACGACAGACGACGACCGCAAGGTCAGCAACAAGGCTCGGGGCAAGGCCAGGGCGAGGGTCTGTTTTCTGGCCCCGGGTCGAATGCGAACCAGTCTGGCTCCCAAGACGCAGCAAACCAAGGCGCAGACGGAGGACCGCAAGTTCGGGGAGGAAGATTCACATATCATGGTGGAGTGCGGATTTTGCCTCGAGACCTAAACAGTGCTGGGCGGGCTGAGCCTGTCGACGAACTAACCAAGTAAGCAAGGGCGCACTCTTGGATCATAACGCGGATGCTAATAAAGTGGATAGCGTCATGACAGGCCTCTTTGCCGCATTTGGCGCGCCTCCTGGCCACGTTCACGCCCATGGCCCTGCCCAAGGCGGTGCCCAGGGCCTGTTTGGTGGCGAGCACAACCATGGCGCTGGCGAGCAGTTTGCTGGCAACCCAATCCTGAATCTCTTCTCTGCAATGGGCATGATGGGCCCTGGTAACATGGGAGACTTTGTTTATTCACAAGAAGGTCTTGACCGCATTGTTTCTCAGCTCATGGAACAGACTGCAACGAGTAACGCACCGGGGCCTGCGACTCAGGCTGATATCGACGCCCTCCCGCGCAAAGAGGTGACGGAGGAAATGCTGGGCGAGGAGCACAAGGCCGAGTGCAGCATCTGCATGGACGAGGTCAACATTGGCGAACAGGTGACGCTATTGCCCTGCAAGCACTGGTTCCATCATGCCTGCATATCTGCATGGCTGCTAGAGCACGACACGTGCCCGCATTGCCGAAAGGGCATCACCAAGGGTGGTCAGGACCAGTCGAACAACCCTGCACCATCGGGTTCACAGGAGGATCCCACATCCCAGATGCCTGGTGCGTTCACGGCGGGTGATGGCGCGGCAGCTCCTGCAGGATCCCCAGATCCACGATCCCCTAACCAGGGCGGCACGTCTGATAACGGGGATGCAGGGTCGGGCAATGGAGGTATCAGCGACCGGATACGAAGGGGTCTGTTTGGCTCTCCGCAATAATGGCACCGTCTCCGTTTGTGCGTGTGTGTGTGTTTTAATACGAAGCTGACACTCTTTTCTTGGTGATTGCTAGGGCGGGACCATTTCAGGAGAAGTCGAGAAAGGCTGAGAGACGCGAGACGGAACTGGCGCGACGAGGCAGGTGGACGTGGGTCGGGCGAGAGTCAAGCAGCACAAGTCATGACGGGCGGCAGCAGCAGCAGCAACAACAACAGCAGCCGCCTCAACCCTGGACGTGGTGGGCGACGGGCTTCTTCGCTACAGGCTCTGCTTGAGCCAACAGCTGAGGGCGGTGCACGAGTAAACATGGGGCGATCTACAAGTGGTGGTTCCACGTGTCCAAGCGAAACGACTCCACCGCCGACGGCTTGCTCTGAAGACGATGGCGCACAGGCGACAACAGCAGCGGCGGCGGCGGCGGCGGCAGAGTCTAGCAGCCCAAGGCGTAGCTGGCGATCTGGTCTTGCCGCACGAACAAGGCGTCAACGGTCGGCATGAGTGGACGGATTTGCATTTTGGGTTTGGGGGCATTGTCGAATAGGATGATTTAGCGAATCCCTGAGCGGTTTTTGTTTGGATTTTCCTATTGGTGGTTGGGGGTTTTCTATTTCTCTCTCTCTCTCTCTCTCTCTCTCTCTCTCTCTTGGGGTTTTCGCCTCCCCCCCCCCTTCTTCCGGCCAGTCAGCGAAGCGTGATTAAATAGCCCGTCCCCATCCCCTCCCCCTTGTATGTACATGATGAGTATGCGCGTGTGCGTGTGATGTTTTTTCTTAATGATTACTTGGACAGATGGCAGCGTGGAATTGGTAGTATTATGGTCATGGGCGGATTCTTTTTTTTAGGGGGGGGATAAAAGGTTTGGGACTAGTACTAGTTATGCATGGGAGGCTGTGTGTGTGTGTGGAAGAAGACGATGATGATGATGATGATGATGGGCTTGCTAGTCATTTGGAAAACAAGAATGCGAATTGTGTTATTGTTCCAGAGGAAATTGATTGATGTCCATGCTAATGCTAATGCTAATGCTAATGCTCATGTCATGGCACTAATTAGTACAGCTACTGTAGGTGTAGTTGGTGGATGCAAACATGACTGAATGCAGTCTAGTCTAGTCTAGTCTAGTCTAGTCTAGTCTAGTCTAGTCTAGTCTAGTCTAGTGCATGTAGTGTGATAGTGTAGTGTAGTGCAGTGCAGTGCAAGTCGAGTCGAGTCAAGTTCAAGCCAAACCAAAAGTTCAAAATGGCATAACTGATTTTCCGCCACCAAGACCAAGACCAAGACGGAAAAAAAAACAGATGATGCACCAAAAAAACGATCGTCAAGTCTCTCCTACTAAGTAAGTAAGACGATGAGAAACTCTAAATGCTAAAAAAGATCGTCGAGTTTGCATACTACATGGGTACTACTCGTTTTCCGTGGTGGCGGGGGCACCATGTCCTCATGCTCATTGTCACATGCACACACATGCACATGTGCACATGCCAAGTCACCGCCACTGGTGGCCAGCTCCGACGACGACGACGCCGCCGCCGCCGCCGCCGACAAGGCCGGGCTCAGGCCGACGCCTCACAAGCGGTGTCGAGGTGGGTAGGTAGGTAGGTAGGTAGTTCAAGTTGTCCCAACGTACTAAATGCGAGGACAAGGTCAAGGTTCAAGGTGGAGAGGTAAGGCGACCAGGGTGAAACGGGGGGAAGGCAAAAAAACAAAAAAAAGATAGTGAGTGATTCATATTCCCTAGAACCGCTTTTTTTTTCTGGGGGGGGGGGGGTTTGTTGTCTTGCTACATCAATTAGGTCTTGTTTTTTCTCCCATGTTTGTTTCGAGTTTTTGCATTGTTGTCTACTTGGAAACATCAGAATGAAAAGGAGGAAAAAATAGCATAGAGTTGGTGGTAGGGAGTATGTTGGGAATGGCTAGTTGGCGCGGAGTGTTAAAAAAAAGATGTTGGGTGAAGAGGCGGTGGGAGGAGCTTGGTGGGACAAGGCGGTTGGGATGCGTGGACTGGTGGTTAGCGCGGGGGCGGAGGGCGCTTGTGCTTGTGTTTGGTAACGGGCGGCGGGTGCGGATATGCAGGGTTGGGGGCAGTTCTAGGGTGGCGTGTGTGTGTGTGTGTGTGTGTGTGAGTAAGTATGTGTGCGTGCGTGTGCGTATGTATGTAGGTGTATGTGATGTGATGCGATGTAGTGTGGTGTGGCAGAGTCAGCGCATGTGCGGTGAGAGGAAAAGAATTTCCTTGTGTGTTGCGGGTTTCTCTATTTCTTGCAAGAAAAGGCATGTTGCACCCAGGGACGGCTTTCAGGAGAGAGAAAAGGTCGCTTTCAGGGATTCAAAATGACAGTGACTTGGAAAACAAGTATCTGCGTGTGTCAGAATGGGCTTTCGCCAGGCGTGATACAATGGGCGGGCTCGGGGGGCCAAGAAAAAGAACAAAGCATGTACAGTACGGATTCGATGTTAGTAGGTGATGGGTAGGGCAGGGATGATTGGGTGATTGGCGAGTGGAAAAAATGTTGCAGGACTGCGGATCCCCGAACAACGCATCAACGCATCGACCGCCCATTGCCGTCCAAAGCGCCATAGTGGCAGCCCTGTTTTTTTTTCTTCTTGTTGCATGATAACGAGGGTGCTAGGCAGCCCTGTTCATGTGAGAGAATGGGCGTGCACGGGCGTGCGGGCGAGAAAAGCGGGCGGAAAAGAAGGCGGCTCCCATGTGACGCACAGGCGCGCGGACACGCATTGATGAAACGGCGTGGTTCTTTTGG